ATGTTTCAGGGACTTTCCTCTCTCAGTTATTAAGCTGGCATTTGGGAATGCTACAGGCAAGGTTTTCCAGGCCCCCATATGCATCAGACATCTTCCATATAAAAGACTGAGAGCCAGTGTGGTGCAGTGGTTAAGAGTGGTGGACTCGTAATCTGGTGAACCAGGTTCGCTTCCCCACTCCTCCACATGCAGCTGCTGGGTGACCTTGGGCTAGTCACACTTCTTTGAAGTCTCTCAGCCTCACTCACCTCGCAGAAAATTTGCTGTGGGGGGGGGGAGGGAAAGGAGATTGTATGCCACTTTGAGGCTCCTTACGTAAAGGTAAAGGGACCCCTGACCATTAGGTCCAGTTGTGACCGACTCTAGGGTTGTGGCACTAATCTCACTTTATTGGCCAAGGGAGCCGGCGTACAGCTTCCGGGTCATGTGGCCAGCATGACTAAGCCACTTCTGGTGAACCAAAGCAGCGCACGGAAATGCCGTTTACCTTCCTGCCGGAGCGGTACCTATTTATCTACTTGCACTTTGACGTGCTTTTGAACTGCTAGGTTGGCAGGAGCCAGCTCCTTAGGGTAGTGATAAAGTGGGATATCAAATACAAAATCCAATCTCTCTTTTCTTCCTTCCAAAAATAATCTACAGTTTGCAGCCCACTAGAGCTCAGAATTGCTGGCAGTCCGTGAGTGCCATTGGGATGGCCTCATATTCCTGTTGCAACTGCAGTGTGGCTTTGGCGCTGGCTGCAGCTGCAAACCTACTTCTCCTCCAGCTGCTGCTTCATTATCTTCATGAGGCACTGTGACACTTCTGTAACCGGGACCAAACCCTGCAGTTTCTGCACACAGAGTAGCAGACCATGGTGGACAGCTTGGAAAAGGGTCTATAGCAGCTCAGGACAGGAGCCCAGCAAGGGGCTCACAAGCCTTTGGTTGAAGGCCACAAGCAGTTCATTGAAATCAGAAGCCCCCAGCTTTGGCATCCTCAGAGGATGCAAGTGCACCGCCTCCTATGCCTCTCTCAGGATTTCCTCATGCACAGAAGTCACAAGCAGAAGGTAGCTTTTCTCCATTATTTCTTTCCTCAACAGGAGGGCCTTTGGGTCCCAACTCCAAGAGTGACATTTAAACAGTTAAAAATTAAACAACTGCCCCATCCATTCCCCCTTTCCCATCATTCTCTTCACACTCCCAAATCTCTTCCTGAAAGGGGAAGGGGTGGCTTTTGTCTCTTCCTTCTGCAAGTACCTGATGAATCTTCTCTTTATTCAGGAATAACTTTCTGATAGCAAGAGCTGTTTGACAGTGGAACACTCTCCCTCAGGAGAATGTGGACTCTCCTTCATTGAAGGTTTTTAAACATTGATCATTTCATGGGTCCCTTGCAACTTTACAATTCTGTGATTCCGTGATTCTATCATTCTGCCAGAGGTGTATTGGGGAGAAGGGGGAGTCCCAGGGCTGCAGGAGGAGGATGCATGGATCTCCTGCCCTTCCCATGTAGGAGAGAACTAAGTCAGGGAGCCAAGGTTCCTCCCTCTCTTCCTCTCTGCAAGGCCTGGGAGGGGGCAAGTTTGCAGGAGGTCTGCAATGATATTCTTCATTTGTATCAATATGCTGCTTGCAGGGGCAAAACTGGGCTTTTTTGTGAGCCAGTGTGGTGTAGTGGTTAAGAGTGGTAGTCTTGTAATCTGGGGAACCGGGTTCGTGTCTCCGCTCCTCCACATGCAGCTGCTGGGTGACCTTGGGCCAGTCATACTTCTCTGAAGTCTCTCAGCCCCACTCACCTCACAGAGTGTTTGTTGTGGGGGAGGAAGGGAAAGGAGAACGTTAGCCTCTTTGAGACTCCTGAAGGGGAGTGAAAGGCGGGATATCAAATGCAAACTCTTCTTCTTCTTCTTCTTCTTTCTTTCACCAGGGTCAAAAATTCTTAGGATTCTGGTAAAAGACTGCAAGCCTTTACACAATGACCTGGGAGTAAGCTCCATTGAATTCAGTGGGGCTTACGTCTGAGTAGACATGTTGCAGTGAAAGGCTCAATTTACAATAAATACTCCACAAGTTTCCTTTAAAAATTGCTGGTTGTGCTGAACCATTCCATTTAAAAAATGTGAGGTGGATTGGCTACATTTTTCTTCAAAATTACAAGAATGCAGGAATCTCAACTAAAGGAATCTCCATGACAGATGGCCATCCAACCTCTGCTTAAAGACCTCCAATGAAGGAGAATCCACAATCTTCAGAGGGTAAAGACATGGCAGAGGCTAATGTATCAATAAGATAGAATCATAGAATCATAGAATCATAGAGTTGGAAGAGACCACAAGGGCCATCGAGTCCAACCCCCTGCCAAGCAGGAAACACCATCAGAGCACTCCTGACATATGGTTGTCAAGCCTCTGCTTAAAGACCTCCAAAGAAGGAGACTCCACCACACTCCTTGGCAGCAGATTCCACTGTCAAACAGCTCTTACTGTCAGGAAGTTCTTCCTAATGTTTAGGTGGAATCTTCTTTCTTGTAGTTTGGATCCATTGCTCCGTGTCCGCTTCTCTGGAGCAGCAGAAAACAACCTTTCTCCCTCCTCTAAGTGACATCCTTTTATATATTTGAACATGGCTATCATATCACCCCTTAACCTCCTCTTCTCCAGGCTAAACATGCCCAGCTCCCTTAGCCGTTCCTCATAAGGCATCGTTTCCAGGCCTTTGACCATTTTGGTTGCCCTCCTCTGGACACGTTCCAGTTTGTCAGTGTCAGATAAAGAGATATAAACAGCAAAAAAAGGATATTGCTATTAACAGAGATAAAACTGATGTGCACACATTAGTTTCATTGCTTTGACACATTTGGTAATTTTTACAAGTTACAAAATTGTATAAAAGGGTTGGCAATGCATATGTTCGAGGCCTGAGGCCTTTGGGTTTTGACCTGGAGTTACTGACCTGCTCCTGTAGAATTAATTCAATCAATAAAGTGATACCTCTTAGGTGCCTTACTGCTTATCTCTGGTCTTGACAGTATATTTAAGACTAAAATCCTACCTAGGAGAAACTGCATTTCCATGACAAGGAGATTTTAGTTCCTTTAAATTTTAAAGGGCGGGGGCATTTAATTTTTAAAAAGCTATTAGCCACTATCACTTTTGGAGCTATGTTTGTGCGTTGTGAGACGGCACATATCTACATGGATTGTATCTCTAACACCAAGAAGCGTTTATTTATTAATATTTATTTATTTATTAGATTTATATTCCGCCCTTCATCACAAGATCTCAGGCGCTTCACAAGTTTAGAAATCGGGTGAGAAATCCAGGATTGTACAATAAGTGCAACTGGGCACCAGTGGATCCCCACCACCACCACCACACCGACGGGCTCAGAGGAGGCCAGTCTTCCGAACTCACATGGCATTACATGGTTTGGGCAAACACACACATATCATATATGTAATATATATATAGGTGATATATATCTCACCTTTTCCCCATCCCAACACAACTCGTTACCAGAGCCTGGGCTGGAAGGGAGCAGCTTACAGCAGCCCAGCAATGCAGCTCTCTCCGACTTTGAGACGGATTCCCGCTGCCACAAACCAGGCCAGCCTTATGAGACCCCATTGCAGCTGGAGGTTGGGCTGTGGAGAGGAACGCGCACAACAGGGTCCTCTGCCGTGGCTGCTGCTGCTGCTGCTGCGAGAGAAAGCGCTGAGGTGACCTTAGCTGTTTTGTTTTTTTAATAATTTTTTTAATTAAGAATAAATTCTTTCATACAGCAATTTCATAATAAAGTCCCAAAGCCCTTTTCTCTCTTATGTTTCTCTTTTGTTTCTTTTCTCTAAATGTTTCTCTTTTACATTTGTGGGGTTTTGCGTCAGCATCATTTGTGCAGGTTCTCTTTACTATTCGCTTGTGTTCCTTTGGTGGTGAGAGAGGTTGGGGTTGGCCATGGGTGGGATTAGCTGTGGTGAGCTTTCTTTTTGTGTGTGAGTGGGGGCTGGGGCTGTTTTTGAATCAGGTTAGCCAGAGGGATTCCTTTGCTGCTGGTGGATTCTTGTCGTTGTCTTCTTGGGCTGTGAATGTGATAGAAGGGAGCCATATCGGGTGAAGGCGTCTTCTTCTATTTGTCCCCATATCAGTTTCAGTTTGTTGGTTAGTTTTCCAAGAAGGCCGTTTCCCATACTACCGGGTACCATTGGCCCATGCTTACTCCTGACAGCTCTCTCTCCAGTGACCTCAGCTGTCTTGACTTCTTCGTTGTTGTTGTTTAGTCATTTGGTTGTGTCCGCCTCTTTGTGACCCCCTGGACCTGAGCACACCAGGCACTCCTGTCTTCCACTGCCTCCCGCAGTTTGGTCAGACTCATGCTGGTAGCTTCGAGAACACTGTCCCACCATCTCGTCCTCTGTCATCCCCTTCTCCTTGTGCCCTCCATCTTTCCCAACATCAGGGTCTTTTCCAGGGAGTCTTCTCATCTCATGAGGTGGCCAAAGTCTTGGAGCCTCAGCTTCAGGATCTGTCCTTCCAGTGAGCACTCAGGGCTGATTTCCTTCAGAATGGAGAGGTTGGATCTTCTTGCAGTCCATGGGACTCTCCAGAGTCTCCTCCAGCACCAGAATTCAAAAGCATCCATTCTTCGGCGATCAGCCTTCTTGATGGTCCAGCTCTCCCTTCCACACATCACGACTGGGGAATCCAGAGCTTTGACTATACGGTGTCAAGGTGATGTCTCTGCTTTTGAAGATGCTCTCTAGGTTTGCCTTGACTTCTAGCTGCCCTTTAGCCAAAGGCCCGGAAGCTGCGTTCACTTCCGCCCACAGGACCCGCTCCTCTATGGTCAGGCGGACCAAGTCAGGCCAGTCAGGGCGCACGCGCGGCCTTCAGCTCCCCGGCCAATCCCGACGCCAGGCCAGCACGTGACCTGCCCGGCGCCTGCTCCGCCCGCTCGCCGCTCGCGACGCGGCTCCTTCTCTCGGTGGGCGGAGGCCGCCTGCCTTTCGCGGCGAGGATGGTCCTGCGCCGGCTGCTGCTCGCCCTGCTGAACGACCACCGGCTCCTGGAGCGGCTGGCCGAGGCGAGGCCTATCCGGGCGGCGGCGCGCCTCACGGCCGCGGCCCTGACGCGCGGACTGCGCCTGCGCGACACTTTCCTGCGCGAGCTGAAGGAGGAGGCCAAGGCCAGCGGCTGGTCCAATGAGGGTCGCGGAAAGGACAAGGGGCGGGATCCCTGAGGAAGGCCATTCAGGAAGGACGGAGCCCAAGACGGACGCTGAGGCGGCCAATCGCGGACTCGGGCCCGCCGGCCAATGGGCGAGGCTGCCGGCGCCCCCTGGAGGAGCAAGCGGCGAATAAAAGGGGCGGCCCGCTTTGCCCCGCCCACTCCGTCTTCCTGCGTGCGGGGGAGGGAGGCGGGAGGAGGCGGTCGCCATGGCAGCGGCCGGAATTTTACCCCATTTTACGGCTGTGGAAACTGAGGCTGGCGAGGTTCCCGCGCTGAGCTGGAGTCGCAGGCCGAGCCCACCAGAGACGCAGCACCCCCCGCCCCGCTCCCTCCCTGGACAGCCTCCCCGCAGGGGGACCTGGAGCCGCGGCCGCCCTCCCCGCGCCCACTGCAAAACTTGGGGGGCGGGAGCAGCCGAGTCCCCCCGAGATTCTCCTGGGGCTCTGCTTGGCGGCAGAAGCAGGCCCCGCCCTCTGGTCCCGCTCCTGTTCCAGCAGCCGCGTCGCCTTCCTGTAGCAGGGAGTTCCACAGGACTGGGCCAGTGACACCAAAGGCGCGACTCCTTCTTGTCAGACGAGCCTCACCAACTCGGGGAATGACCAACGATGGTTCTGCAGATGACCTCTGTGATTGAACTGGGGTATGATGGGGTATCCTGGACCCAAGTTGTCTGGGGCTTTGTCAAGCAATGCAAGGACCTTGAACCTGACTCAGCAGTAAGTGGGCAGCCAGTGCAGCTGTTTGAACAATGGCCAACCGCCACCACCGCAGTCCGGTCACAGCATTCTCCCATCAGCTGGTGCTTCTGAACCAAACCCAAAGACGGGTTGTGTTTCCTTAGAAAAGTTTGAGATGGCTCACAACTTAAAAAACATAAAATACAATAAAACAATTGCAAAACTGAACAGAATTGCAGAGCAAGAAATAAAAGCAGTTAAGACAGCGGCAATGCTGTGTTTAAAAACACCCGTAAAAAAGAAATGTAGTTCATTGCTAAAGTCTGATCTTTAATGTAAAATGCAGCATCTTGAATTGGGCTCAAAGAATGAGGAAGTCAGTGCAGTTGCTTTTGCTCTGAAGTAACATGTTCCCTCCCAATGCCTGGTTTTTGTCAGCATCTTAAGCTGTAAATTTTGGGCAAACTGCATCTGCTGTCCCAATGTAATAGCCAGCTCTGCATTCCCCAGTATGTGGCACAGTTGGCACACCAGCCCCCTAACTGTGTGGTGCCACTTTGGCATCCAAATCCAGAAACAGCTCTGAGGCTATGGACCTATCCAGGAGAGGCCAAACCTGTTTCTAGATGGGTTGTTTTCTTCTTGTGATTTGGAAGTTGTACTGTTTCGAACTGCCTTTGCCTATTTAGCCCTGCGAGGAAAACCTCCCCTGCATAATCGAAGGAGCAGACAGACCAGGAGGACTTTGACTTGTGCCTGGAAATGGAATAAGAGCTAGTGGAGCTCCCAGTATGTGCATCCATCCAGACTTTTAATGATCAGGCCAAAGTCACCATGTTTTGCAGTAGAACTGTGGGATAGGGGGCCTTGAAACAAAATGCTGCAATTGCCACCAGGGATGCTTTTGTTATGGGCTGCTCCAGCCAGCCTGGAACAAGGAAAAGAAAAAGCAGTTTTCTTAAAACAACAAAAACCCTTACCTTCTTGAAATCTTCACAAGCTTGACTATATATGTAGCCTAAAAGGCTTCAGTTGAGGGCTGACTGCCAGTTCCAACCTGAAGTACTTTGAACATAATAGAAAGCTACTTTGTACCAGGTCAGGCAAGACCATTACCTATTCTGACTGACACCAGTTCTCTAAGGTGGAGATTTTATCCTGGAAGTTTCTTTGTTTACAACATACAAACCATGTGCTCTACCAATAAACTGTGATTCCTCCACCTATTATTATGGTTGTTATTATTAATGTTATTTATATTTATCATTACAGTTCAGTTTTAAAAACCAGTCCAATCCAATATACTTTATTGAAGAGTTTGGATTTGATATCCCGCTTTATCACTACCCTAAGGAATCTCAAAGTGGCTAACATTCTCCTTTCGCTTCCTCTCCCACAACAAACACTCTGTGAGGTGAGTGAGGCTGAGAGACTTCAGAGAAGTGTGACTGGTCCAAGGTCACCCAGCAGCTGCATGTGGAGGAGCAGAGACGCGAACCCGGTTCCCCAGATTACGAGTCAATCACTCTTAACCACTACACCACACTGGCTCTCTATTGCTCTGAGGAAGGGAAGGATGTGTTCTTTCCCCCACTTCTTCCCTCCTGAAGCCTTGCATATAGCAGCAGCCTGGAGGGGGCAGTGCTGCCCTCCGAACACCAGTGTCACTCCTACTACTTGGATAGGACTGGCATGAACCTGTGGGGGCCAAATTGGAGCAAATTGGGGGCAGGCTTCGGGGCATTGATTTTATTATATATATATACATATGTGTGTGTATCATAAAAATGTATCACAGCGCTTTACAACATAAACACACAAAACCCAACAATAAAATAGCAACAAGTTAAAAGCAAAAAGAAATGTAAAACACTTTCACAGGTCCAGCCTCACTACTGCCCTTCCCCATGCCAGCCCATCCAGGTAAGCTGCAGCAACAATGGTCAGGAGGACAGCTCCACATGGGCTACTGCTGGGGCACCAATAGGGTTTTTCTGGGGCCAGTACACTAGACAGATTGGGCCCTCTAACCCACTTGCAATAGAGGACACTGATTTGCATAATAATTGCAAATGCTTTGAGTCATGCAAAATTATGTGATTTCTTGCAGGTGGTGTGGAGGACCCAAAAATAAATTGCTGGTGACACAAGTAATAAAACAGACAGACCGTGAATAGATGAAGCTTTCCCCATAATTGTATTTCTATTCTGCAAAAGGCTGACCTGTTGAATTTCTGCCTGCTACACAGCTGGTAAAGGCAGTAGAGCCAGGGGCATGCTTTGTGAGGATATTATTTATTATTATTAATTTTATTACCCACCCTTCACCAGTGGGCTACAGCACTCTAAACCTCAAAACTGAGGACAGTTACAATCACAGGAAGAGGGTGGGCTCTGAAAATGCAGGTGTCAAAGGCTATGGTAAATGTATGTAGAGCTTGTTTTTAGGAAGAATAGACTAAGTACTTGTTCATTTATTGTATTCCACCACGTGTCCTAAAACACCTTCAGGGTAGTTTACAAAACAAAAAACAGCAATTACATTTTTAAAAAAACCAGCATTTAAAATTATTATTAAACCAAAACTATCCTAAATCACAACAACGGGCAACAGTATCATAACAGCAGAATCTAGTCCAACCCCTTGCAATACACAGATATACACAGCTATCAAAATTCCCAATACAGATTCCACAATAGGGGAACAACCACTTGTATCTAATCTAACCTCAGAGGACCGCTTACCTATGAAGGGCTTAGGACCAGGGGAGGCTTACACCAGGGTGCTCAAACCTTTGCGATCGTCAGACCCAGCATTTAAAACTATGCCCAGAAGCCAAGGGAAAGCCACTGCCAGGGCTGGCCCAATACATTTTGTCACCTGAGGCAAACCATGAAATTCCCCCACACCTGAGAAGAAGGCGGTGGCAGAGTTTTATGTCAGGGATAAGGGTGGAAGGAGACCAGAAGCGCTTTCTGTTCCCCAAGAGGCTGCCGGGGGGGGGGGCAGATCTAAAGCACTCTGCAGCTGTCACTGCCAGCACAGCAGTGGGCAATGCATTCCTTGGAGGCTGGATTTGCTGCTCTTGTGGCTTCTGCCAGTAGAGGCAGCCCATCTCTATGTCTTCTAGTGGAGAATTCACATTGCCATCTGGGTTATGGGTAGAAAGGATGCCAGAAGTGTTTGCACATTGTTGCAGGGGGAGTGGCGGTGTTGCTCCAGAAGGAAGCCAGGAGGGTTGCTGTGGCAGAGACTGACCCAAGGCATTTCATCTGGAGGATTTGAGGGTGTTAAATAGCAGCTCCCCACCTCAGTACAGTCTTAGGCATATCTTGATTTTGGACACTTTCATTTTCTAGCAGATAATGTTCCATGCCATCAATACTGATGCAATCCTGTGCCCTTTGGTCCCTTACTAACAAAGGAGGAGTTTGGCAGTGGCAACTGCGGTGCATAAAGCAAACCTTTTGCAAGGGCCTCTTTCTGGCTTCAAAACGCAAAGAGCACCTTTCAAAGGCAGTTAACACAAGTGCCCTGGTCAAAGTTTTCTTAAACTGAGCTTAATTTATATTATTGTTTATAATTATTATCCGGTCTTTGCACAAAGTTTTCTCAAGGCAGCTTAGAATCAATTTTAGAACACATTTTTATAAACAACACTATGAAACAATTTCTTCAAAAGAAACAAGCAAACAACAGTAATGACAGATTGAGGTGCTTTTGAAAATGATGATGCTCATGAAACTCAGGTCAGAAGAACAGGTGCCAGGCAAATATTCCTGACGAGAGTGTCCCACAGTCTGGTTTCTCTCCAGGAAAGGCCTTGTCCCCGGGTGCCACCCACTCAACTGGCTCTGGTAGAGGTATCGGGTTCAAGTGGCAACAGAGTTTCTGAAGGTGATATCAATGAACTGGCAGCTTCCTAGAGGGGTAGGCAGCCCTTCAAGATCCTCTGATACACCTCAGACTTTTAAAGCCCCAAACAAAATCAGTTTCTTGAATCATGCCCAGAAACAGAGTGTGTGTTGGTGGATGCTGCTGCTCATCTTGGTAGCAGTTTTTGTCTCGATGCCAATTCTAGAGCAATCCACCAGGTCTAGCTCGTTCTTGCCATTACACCAGGCTGTTTCCACCAGGCTGTCTGTAAACATGTCAGCTGGCCCATCTTGGCTTGGAGGTTTCTCACATTAGCATATAAACACATATTTCCACGCCCATCTCCAAATGTCTTGGGCGCGAGCATTTTAGCTCAAGGCGCTTTGGCCTCTCTGAATTGCTATCAGTGTCCCTGCACTCTAAATGCCTCATTCTACCCCTCCCCTATTTAAAACATCATGGATCTTTTCTCGCCTTCATCCTTATTACAGGAGAGGGGGAGATATGTTCCGAACCAGATCCTCCTTAGTTTCCTTTTTTTTTATTATAAATATTTATTAAAGTTTTGACAATATTACATAATGAAAAATAAAAAATAAAAAATACAAAACAGTTAAAAACAATTCCATCTTTTCATCACTTATCTTTCATTTGCTTGTTTCCCGGACCTCCTCATACCTCCCTTTTTTGTATTCCAGTTCGATTTATTAATTCAGCAATACCTTTCCCTCCTTATTTTATCCTGATCTTTATCTTAATATATTATAGCATTAAATTTTTACCTGTTAAAAATCCAATTTTTCATATTCTTTTATACCATTACAGCTAGAAACCACTTAACTTCAATCCAACATCATTCTAACATTCATTAATTTTGCAATATTTCTGTAAATAGTCTTTAAATTTCTTCCAATCTTCTTCCACCGACTCTTCTCCCTGGTCTCGGATTCTACCAGTCATTTCCGCCAATTCCATGTTATCCATCATTTTCATCTGCCATTCTTCCAGAGTGGGTAGATCTTGTGTCTTCCAATACTTTGCAATAAGTATTCTTGCTGCTGTTGTAGCATACATAAAGAAAGTTCTGTCCTTCTTTAACACCGATTGGCCGACTATGCCCAGGAGAAAGGCCTCTGGTTTCTTCAAGAAGGTATATTTAAATACCTTTTTAATTCATTATAAATCATCTCCCAGAAAACCTTAATCCTTGGGCACGTCCACCAAAGGTGAAAGAATGTACCTTCAGTTTCTTTACATTTCCAACATTTGTTATCGGGCAAATGGTAGATTTTTGCAAGCTTGACTGGGGTCATGTACCACCTGTATATCATTTTCATAATATTCTATCTTAAGGCATTGCATGCCGTAAACTTCATACCTGTGGTCCATAACTGTTCCCAGTCAGCCATCATTATGTTATGTCCAACATCTTGTGCCCATTTAATCATAGCAGATTTCACCGTTTCATCCTGAGTATTCAATTTCAACAGCAAGTTATACATCTTTGACAAAATCTTAGTTTTGGGTTCTAACAATTCTGTTTCTAATTTTGATTTTTCCAACTGGAAGCTGATTTTTTTATCCAAATTGTATGCCTCCATTATCTGATAATAATGAAGCCAGTCTCGCACGACTCAGCAGTGAAAGCTTCAAATTTGACCAAATTTCTAAATCTTTTTTCACTTCAGCCCAGCATTTTTCATAGTTGTCTTTAAATAGATTCCCATTTTTTGCTGTCATGTTAATCCCCAGGTATTTCACTTTCTTAACCACTGTTAAACCTGTCTCATTCTGAAACCTCTCTCTCTCTCAATCGGTGTTAAATTTTTCTCTAAAACCTTGGTTTTTAACTTATTCAGTTTAAATCCTGCAACCTGACCAAATTCTTGAATCAGTTCTAAAACCCTTTTGGTACTAAATTCTGGCTCCTGTAACGTCAATACTAAGTCATCTGCAAATGCTCTCAATTTGTACTGTTTAGCTCCGACTTGTATACCTTTAACCAACTGGTCCCTTCTAATCATATTCAGCAAAACCTCCAGGACCGATATAAAAAGCAATGGGGAAATTGGGCAACCTTGTCGTGTCCCTTTTTCTATCTTAAATTCTTTCGTCACCACATTATTTACAATTAGTTTAGCCTTTTGTTCTGAATAAATTGCACTTATACCATTTTCGAAGCCTTGGCCTACCCCCATCCCCTGTAGGTTCTTCTTCATAAAACTCCAAGAGATATGATCAAAGCTTTCTCCGCGTCCACAAATATCAAAACTGCTTTAGTATTTATGTTCACTTCTAGTTTTTCCAAAATATCAATTATATTCCTCAAATTGTCAGACAAGTGTCTTCCCGGGAGAAAGCCCGCTTGGTCTTTATGAATCTCTTCCATCAACACTTTTTTCAATCTCTTGGCCAAAATGTCTGTAAAAATTTTGTAATCCACATTAAGTAATGATATGGGGTGGTAGTTCTTAAGCTGAGTCTTTTCAGTCTCTGTTTTCGGTATAAGTGTAATATACGCTTCTTTCCACGACTCTGGTGCCCTTTTCCCTTCCAATATTTCATTACAGACTTCCTTTAAAGGTTGTACTAACCACTCTTTCAAGGATCTGTAGTATCTAGAAGTCAGTCCATCCGGTCCTGGAGATTTACCCAATTGCATATTCTGAATGGCACCTTCTATCTCCTGTTCAGTTATTTTGTAGTTCAACATTAATTTGTTTTCTTGAGAGATTTTTTGTAATCCATTTGTTTTCAAAAATCGAGCTACATCAGTTTCTTTCTGTGGCCTTTGTGTATATAGTTGTTTAAAGTACCTCTGGAAACAATTTCTAATCTCAGCTGGGTTCTGTATATTCCTTCCTTCCACTTCTAAATTTGTAACTGTATTTAATTTTTGTCTTTTTTTCATTTGCCAAGCCAACAATTTCCCACATTTATTAGCCGACTCGAATGTCTTTTGTCTCATTTGTTTAATTTTCCATTCTATCTCCTGATTCATCATTTTCATATATCACATTTGATATAACTTTATTTCTCTCAAAATCTCTTGCGACTTTGGTTTTGCTCTCAGTTTTTTTTCACTTTCCTTTATTTTCTCCAAAATTTTATCCTTCTTCTCATTTTGGGTTCTCTTCTTTAATGCATTCTGTTGTATCAGGAACCCTCTCATAACCGCTTTACTTGCGTCCCAGATTACTCTTTTTTCCACATTGGTGCTCATATTTATCTCAAAGTAGTCTCTCAAGGTTTTTTGGGCCTTCTTAAGCACTTCTTCATCTCTGAATAAGGTGTCATTCATCCTCCATCTAAAAGAGCCAGTTGGTGTTAGTTTCATTTCCATCTTGACAGCATTATGGTCGGAGGAGGTTTTTGGGCAGATTTCCACTTTTCTTCTCTTTGGTGCCATTCCTCTAGTTAGCCATATTTGGTCAATTCTTGTCCATGTCATATTGGCTTCAGAAAAGAAGGTTCCTTCTTTAGCCATGGGGTTCCTTGTTCTCCAAATATCGACTAAGTCCAAGTTGTCTGTCATCTCAAAAAAAGTTTTCGGTAGTCTACCATCCTTAGTGACTACCTGTCTTTGTGCCTTGTCCATATGTGTAGATACTACTCCATTCATGTCTCCCATCAAAATCACATTATAATCCAAATAGTCCATCAGGGTTTCATGCAACTTTTTAAAAAAATCGGATTTCCCCTCATTTGGTGCGTAAATTCCTACTATCAAAAATTTTTCTCCTTGTGTTTGAATTTCAATTGCCACAAATCTTCCTTGGTCATCCTCCTTAGTTTCTTTTGGCTTTCCCTGCAAAAAATTGCTCTGCCACCTTTTAAGTGCCAGCAGTCTGGTTCCACACTGGTTCAAGTGAAGCCCATCCCGCTTGTCCCAAAATGTTCCCTGGTGCCTAGAGTTAATCCGGACCTTTCCTCTCCACACCCATGTCTCATCCACGCATTGAAGCTCCACAGATGTGTCTTTCTAGCTGGCCCTGTACATGGACCTGTTAGCATTTCAGAGAAAAGTCACACATATAGCCAAAGTGCCTGTGGTCAGTGGCGTACTGGGGTCCCTAGAAGGCAGAGGCAGACGGAGGCCCTAGGACACACAGCTATGAGACAAGATGGCTAGATTTTTGGCTGGAACAGAACAGAAGATGCTGGAAACTGAGAAGCAGGAACTGGGGTGGATGGCATTTGGGGCACTTGGAAGTTGAAGAAAGGAAATGGGTTGCTTGGGGGACACAGGACTGTGACACAGTGTTTGGTGGGTGAGGTGTATTGGGAGATTTCTACCAGCAAATGGGAGCTACAAAATGCACCTGCTCTATATAGGGCTGAGAATAACTAGGGTTGTTGTGGACTGCATGTTTGTGCGCCAAATGTTCTTTAGCTTCTTTGCTTAGCTCACCTTGATGCTAGATGCTCTTTTTATTTCTCTCCAGATACAGGATATGCAGTCCTAACTGGCTTCTCCACTTTTCACTAAGGAGAAAGGACATTTGTGGTGGGTCTTCCATCGTCAGATGTGGAAATATTACTGTCTCCTTCTTGACCAGTAACGGACATTGCTCTATTATGGTTCTGACGGTGCCTGGGATGATAACCAGCACCTGGCAAGTCATTTCCTTGCCCAGTTCTCTATTGACACAGGCAGGACCATTCACTATGGATCCCAGGATCTGGCAAAGGAAGCCTTTCTCGGCCCCAGCCATGTCGACAAGCTCCACCAGCGTGTTGCTCTTGTTAACATTAAGCAGAAACCTGGGAGGCATGTAGGTCCGAGCAAAGAGTAGTGTGTAGTGTGTGCGATGGCTCAGGGACTCTGGGGAATGGGTGAGCTGCTCCAAGTGGAAGAGGCAAGGGACTATGCCTCCCTGGTGGAAGCAGCCAAAGAAAAGGGCACCACAGAGATTGAACACAAGGTTGATGGATTTCCACTGCTGGGCCTGTCTATGCTGCGTGACCAAAAGGACCAGAGGCAAGATGAGAGGGATGAGGAAGCGAGGTTCTTGATGGCTGAATAAAGAAAGAAGTGCCAGAGGGATAAAATAGAAAGCCAGCAGTGCCAGTCTGCCCTCTGGGCATGTGATAGCTGAATGTGAGCTCCTCTTCAAGGCCTTCAACCACATAAATTGGCTGATGTGCACTTTCAGGAGTTTGATGCCATTGCTAACAGCTTCTACATGAAGGATCCCAAAAAGCAGGACCCCGTTAACTGCAAAATGTGTAAGATGCGGGTGAGTCCCATGTTGTGCAAGGTTATCAGGGTTGAGGTTATAGGTGAGGAAGTTCAAGGGGGTCACAACGACACTCTGGCGCAGCCTGGCAAGGATGCTCAGTGGGCTGGCCTCATAAAAGCTATGCAGGCTAATTCCTGACAGGGGAGAAGTGAAATACCAGGTGTCAGCAGCTATGAAGAAAACAGCAGTGAAGGCGGCACTTGGGGCAAGACAGAGAACATGGTGTATTGTTCTTCTAACGCTTTGCTGGCATGTAGCACCTGCACATACCCAATGCAACAGCGGCACCAAAGCAAATGCCAGAAACGTTGGCCTGTTAAAAAATCCAGCAACTATGATCATCCCAATAAGTCTGTGATTTAGAGGATTCTGCCACCGATAGGCTGAGGCCGAGGTTTTGCTGGCTGCTTTTGAAGACACTAGTAGAAGCAGCAAGGCAAAGAGAAGTCCTTCCACAGTGTTAGCAAAAGTCCTCGTGTAAAACACAAGTGTGACGTAGGAGCCAGCAAGCAGAGCCAGTGAGTTCCACGGATCCGCTCCCCACAGAGGAGCCAGCTGGTAAACACTGTAGTCAAGGATGAATGAAAAGATGGTGAGGAGGAGGCGGGGTGAGACGAGGAGGGTGTAGCTGGTGATGCAGCTGGTCGAGAGGCCCAGGTGCTGAAGGGCTTTGATGGCCCAGAAAGCAACTCCAGATGTGATCAAGGGAAACACTACTGTCCTGCAAGGAGACTTGGGGAGGAATTCCCAGGGGTGGTAAACCTTTAAGTCCAATATGCTGCCTGAGGAGGAGTGGGGGAAAGGTTAACACAGTTAGCAGCTGGAGCCCTGTCAGCTAGAAACCTGCCGCCCACCCCAGTGACTTGCAACATAAGATTAGAAAAGTTAAAAATAATTGAAGTCTTTGACTCACTAAAATAAAAACAAAGAAAGAATCTAATTAAAAGCAGAACCAACTGCAGAAGATCAATAATTTAGCAGACTCAGCGTTGCTCTTGTTGCTCTTTATAAACCAGGCTGCCTATATGTGGCCAGTTTGGAACAATGGAGGAAATGGAAAGCGGCTCACCTGCCATGTGGGGGCGGCCCTAGAATTTAACTCGTCACCGACCCCCCCCCCCCCGCTCCCAAAGACAAAACCTTTTCATACCACATACATAAGATGTCACCTTTACCTGCCATGACCTCTGGAGACTGGAAAAACTCATCTGGGTGCAGGTAGCCAGTCTGAGGAAGAAGACACCAGCCAACTCTAAGCATGCAAAGAACTCTCCAAAAGGTTTTGGGTGAAGCCATCACAGTTTCACCAGACCTGCCGGGATTGGAAGGTTGTCCACTGGAAACAGCAGCAGTCCTAGTTGTCAAAAGCCAGCCCTGAAAAGGACAAAATACTTAAAGCACAAAACCCGATTGAGTATTGTTGGTGACAGAAATAATTCCTAGATAGACAAATATTGACACCTTTTTAAAGCCTCACCCCTTAAGATAAAAAGTAAAGGTCCAACAATAATTTACAGTCTTTCCTCTTCCCTCCCCTCTCAAGAGCAAAGAAGAAAAAAGCAAGTTATAACTGTATATCCTTTAAAATTGCTGCTGCCGCTTTGCCGGTGAGTCTTGGGGAGGACCGCTCCCCCTGGAAGCCCTTTTTTCCACTTTGGGCCTGGGGGCGGGCCCCATACTCACCTCCGCAGCCTAAGGGGCTCCAGGGAGGCCTCGGGTGTGTGGGGTGGGGTGGGTGTTTAGTTGGGTGTGGGAATTTGTTTAATTTAATTATGTTGTTTGTAACTTTGTTTTTTGTTTTTATAGTTTTATTGTTCTGTTAGTTTGTTTTCTGTCTAGGTTTTAATTTGATTTTAAGGGGAGGGGTCAGGGCTGCCCGGGAGTGGGTCCCAGCAAACAAAATGGCTGGGGCAGGTTCCACAGGGGGGGATGCACTGGGACAACAGATCTCAGTGATCATGGGTAGGAGGAGGAGTTACGCTAAGACCAGACCATGTCATTACCGAGGAAGCAGGCTTAGTCGTTGTCTGAGGACTATCCCTGCCTCCGGGTCTGGTCCTGACCAGACGGATACTGGAATCAGCAAGGGATACCCACACGACCTGAAGGTGCTGCTGTGCAATGCCAGGTCAATGATCCATAAAACCATTGTGATCCATTATTTGATCGTGGATGGAGGATTTGACCTGGCATGTGTATCAGAAACTTGGTTGGATGAAGCAGATGGGCCTGTCCTTGCCGCTGCTTGTCCACCAGGTTTCTCTTACGCACAGCAACCCAGGCCTTGTGGGCGGGGAGGGGGGGTTGCAGTGATTTTTAGGAAGTCATTAGTTTGCACCAGGCGTCCTATTGGGAAGACCCAGTTTTCTGAGTGCATGTTCTGGAAGTTGGGCAATAGGGGCAGTACAGGATTCCTATTGGTGAACCAACCTCCCCGCTGCACCAAGGATTCCCTGTCCGAGCTGCTTCAGGTCGTGACGGATGTCCTCCTGGAGACACCTAGTTTGTTGTCCTAGGGGATTTTAACATCCATGCCGACACGACCTTACAAGGGGCCGCTCAGGACTTCGTGGAAAGCATGGCCTCCATGGGGCTGTCCCTGAATAAGTTTGGCCCAACTCATAGCCACGGGCATGCCTTAGACCTGGTGTTCACCTCTATGGATGTTGGTGATCTGACACTAAGTAAAAGTGAAACCAAAGAAGTGCCATGGTCAGATCACTTCCTGGTGCAACTGGACTTCTCCGCGACCCTTCCCCTCTGCAGGGAGGTGGGACCAATTCGGATGGTCCGCCCCCCCCCCACTTAATGGATCCAAACGGTTTCCAGAGAGTGGTAGGGGATGTTTTATCCCCTGTTGATGGCCTTTCAGCCGATTCCCTGGTGGCCTGCTGGAATGTGGAGTTAACCAGGGCTATTGACTGTTTGGCTCCAAAGCGCCCTCTCCGATTGCATGGAGCCTGGAGAGCCCTGTGGTTTTCCACGGATCTGAGGGCAATGAAACAATTGTTGAGACGGCTAGAGCGCCGGTGGCGGATAACCCATTCTGAATCTGACTGGACACGGGCTAGAGCTCAATGTTGAGCCTACCAAGTGGCAATAGCGACGGCGAAGAAGACTTTCTTCACCGCCTCTATTGCATCTGCGGAAAACAGCAGCAGGAGACTCTTTCAGGTGGTTCGCAATTTAGCGGAACCACCTGCTCCATCAGGGCCCAGTACGGGCCACATGATCTCCTGCAATGAATTTTCAAAGTTTTTTGTAGATAAAGTTGCTCAGGTTCGAGAAGAGGTGGACTCCACCGTGGGAGCAGGGCTGGGGCGGGAGAGTGCTAGAGTCCTGTCTAGTCAAGTTGTGTGGGATCAATTCCAATCTGTTACCCCCGAGGATGTGGACAGGCTGCTTGGACGAGTGAAACCAACCACTTGTCTCCTTGATCCTTGCCCATCCTGGCTTATAAAAGCAAGCCGGGAAGGGCTGGGCGATGGGCTTCGTGGGGTGGTGAATGCTTCCCTCCGTGAGGGAGCCTTCCCAGACCCGCTGAAAGAGGCGGTTATTAAACCGCTTCTTAAAAAACCATCTTTAGATGCGGCCACGATGGCCAACTATCGCCCAGTCTCAAATCTTCCATTCTTGGGCAAGGTGATTGAGCGGACCATTTGGATCCCTTCCAGTCGGGATTCAGGCCTCATCATGGGACTGAAACTGCCTTGGTCGCACTGGTTGATGATCTCCAGCGGGCTAGGGACAAAGGTGAGAGCTGTTTCCTAGTTCTGCTGGATCTCTCAGTGGCATTTGATACCATCGACCATAACATCCTTCTGGACCGTCTTGAGGGGCTGGGAGCTGGGGGCACTGTCATACAGTGGTTCCGCTCCTTCCTCCTGGGCCGTGTTCAGAAAGTGGTGGGGGGGGATGAGTGTTCAGACCCCTGGGCTCTCACTTGTGGGGTGCCTCAGGGTTCTGTCCTCTCCCCCATGCTTTTCAACATCTACATGAAGCTGCTGGGAGAGATCATCAGGGGGTTTGGGCTGGGTGTTCATCAGTATGCAGATGACACCCAGCTCTACCTCTCTTTCAAATCAGAACCAGTGAAGGCAGTGAAGGTCCTGTGTGAGTGCCTGGAGGCGGTTGGAGGTTGGATGGCGGCTAACAGATTGAGGTTGAATCCTGACAAGACAGAAGTACTGTTTTTGGGGGACAGGAGGCGGCCAGGTGTGGAGGATTCCCTGGCCCTGAATGGGGTAACTGTGCCCCTGAAGGACCAGGTGCGCAGCCTGGGAGTCATTTTGGACTTACTGCTGTCCATGGAGGCGCAGGTCAATTCTGTATCCAGGGCAGCTGTTTACCAGCTCCATCTGGTACGCAGGCTGAGACCCTATCTGCCCGCGGACTGCCTCGCCAGAGTGGTGCATGCTCTGGTTATCTCCCGCTTGGATTACTGCAATGCGCTCTACGTGGGGCTACCTTTGAAGGTGACCCGGAAACTACAACTAATCCAGAACGCAGCAGCCAGACTGGTGACTGGGAGCGGCCGCAGAGACCACATAACACCGGTCTTGAAAGACCTACATTGGCTCCCAGTACGTTTCCGAGCACAATTCAAAGTGTTGGTGCTGACCTTTAAAGCCCTACACGGCCTTGGTCCAGTATACCTGAAGGAGCGTCTCCACCCCCATCGTTCTACCCGGACACTGAGGTCCAGCACCGAGAGCCTTCTGGCAGTTCCCTCACTGCGAGAAGCCAAGTTACAGGGAACCAGGCAGAGGGCCTTCTCGGTAGTGGCGCCTTCCCTGTGGAACACCCTCCCACTAGATGTCAAAGAGAACAACAACTACCAGGCTTTTAGAAGACATCTGAAGGTAGCCCTGTTTAGGGAAGCTTTTAATGTTTGATGTATTTTAATATTCTTTTGAAAGCCGCCCAGAGTGGCTGGGGAAGCCCAGCCAGATGGGCGGGGTATAAATAATAAAGTATTATTATTATTAATTATTATTATTATTATAAAATATAGAACAAGTGGTTACAGACAGTAAATCACCGGCGGGGGGGGTGCATCTTAAAGATCAATCACTTAAGCTTCTCAATTTGACAACCCCCTTCCTTTATTTCTGATGGCAGACTTTTTATTTGTACGTACCTTTATTTTTTCCAACAGCTTATTCCCATGCAAGGCAGCAACCATTTCCGGAGTAGACTCCCTTTTCGTTTTCCAGTCAATACAACAAATAGTTCCAATAGGCTAAATAATTCACAATTAATCCTTTTGTTCCTTTGGTTAAAATTTTGGAAACTGACCACTCCTGAGACGGGGCAGCCTGCTGCTGGACTGTGTCAGAGCCCAGCGACCACGGCTCCACCACTGGGACGACCTGGCTCTTCGTGGGACCAAGCAGGCCCGTTGGGAGCTTGTTTGGTCACCACAGGACGCCTCAACATCCTGGTCATCCCCAGGACCTTCTTCAGGGCTCTTGTTGCCTCCGGGCTACTCCAAAACTCAAAAAAAGCAGCAGCTTCTTTAAAAGAGGCCTTACCATCTGAAATAACTCTGCTGGTTGGCTCCTAGAGGATGCCATGCAAGCTGCAAACTGAGCCTTCTTCGCAGCCCACACTACCACATGGCACACCTGATTATGTGCTTTGTTCAGTTGGCTTCAGAGCACGACTTGAATCATTTGCACACTAATCTTTGTCCAGCTTGCTTCATAGTCCAGAGTTCCCCAGGATGCCAAGGGGCCACTTGAGTTTTACTAAGCTGGACAGGATACTTGGGGGTAATTGTGTCATCACATTGCATAGCGAGACCGGGGCTTTGACATGATCACAGCTTTATCCACCAGAAAATCCCCAGAGCTTTCAAAAACATATCAGTTCCATTAGCCTCTGAGGGCAGGCCATCTAAACAGGCCCACCAACCTTTCAGCGGGGAGTTGCCACTGCCATTCCAAGCTTTATTGGGCAATGATCCAACCATGAAAAGGGAGTGCATTTCACCCCAGCCCATCCTTTGTCCATTCCACATATCACTTTGGGCAAAGACTACAGCTCCTTGATGTAGACCAATGGCCACTTGAGAGAGTTGCATGAGCTGGCCTAGTGGGAGCCAACATAAGAATATTGAAGTCACCCAGAACTATCATCCTAGAGTCATCCATCAGTACCCCAGATATTACCTTGGCCAGCTCCATCAGAGAAGCTGCTGGGCAACAAGGTGGTCAACAGACCATCAGCATTCCCAGTCTGTCTCTTTGGACCAATGCCAGGCGGAGATTCTCTGAACCTGTCCAAAATCACAAGTGGCTTTTTGGTAAAGGAGATGGTGCTTTATGCACAATAGCTACACACCCACCCCTCAACCCGCCCCCATCGAGCCTTGTGCTGTACCAAGTACCCATATGGTCAAGCCCTCCCAGCTCACTCACCTAAGTCTCAGTAATGCAAGCCATGCCAGTCTCTTCATCCATGATAAAGTTGTAGATGATCATGGCCTTACTTTGCACCACTCTGAACAACAAGAAGAAACACGTTGGCTAATAATATACCAACAATATTTTACTGTTTCAAAGTCTACTCATGGTAACAATTCCCCCTCCTTTATCAGCTGGTTTTATGATAATGTTAGTATCATTTGATAAGTCATTAAGGCAGGCATGTTGGGACTTGGTTAAATTGTCCTGGGTCCTAGGGCTCCTCTTTTCAAGTTTATCCAAATCACAGATCACCAATTGATGAAACAAAGTGATGGAAAGATTAAAGCTGGGCAGGATAAAAGATGATTTAGGTCTAAATTGCTGTGGCTGTTGATCTCTGATACCAAACATGTCACATAACTTAATATTACACACAAATTTATGTAACTCTACCCTGGTGCGAAAAGCGTTATAGTGAGGCTTAGGAACAAAATCGAGTCCCAATTATAGGACCTGCTTTTCTTCTGTTGTTAAGGAATGTGAAGAATTGCTTACTATTAGTATTTTGTGTCATCAATTGGTGATCCAACCTCCAATGACAATGGGTAGATCACTGCCAGGTGTTTTTTTTACTGTGAGTAGATTGCAGTCTCTTGGAAGTTGGACGCGCCTGACATATCCCATATATATTTCATGCATTCACCTGTGGAGCCAAGTTGAGGAGCTTCATAGTCACATACATAGTAGAATTATATAGCTGATAAATTTCTTACTGATAAATTGTAGGGAAAACTAAGGGCACTCAAAATTAAAATCATTGAATCGTAGAGTTGGAAGGGTTCCCAAGGATCATCCCAGGAAATTAAACTAAAGCATCCATGACAGATGGTTAAAAACTTCCAAGAAAGGAAAGTCCACCACCTCCCATTTCACTGTTGATCAGCTCTCACTATCAGAAATTTCTTCCCCTTGTTTAGTTGGAATCTCCTTTCCTGTAACTTCAAGTCACTGGTACCACTACTCCCCTCTGGAGCAGGAGAAATCAAGCTTGCTCCATCTTCCATGTGACAGCCCATTAGATATTATCATATCTCCTCTCATTCCCATCTTTTCCAGGCCAAACATACCCTGTTAACATATTCAACCATTCCTCATATGGCTTGGTTTCCAGACCCTTGACCATCTTGGTTGTCCTCATCTGCACACATTCCAGCTTGTCAATATCCTCCTTAAACTGTGGAGCCCAGAACCAGACATGAGATTCCAGGTTTGGTCTGAACAAGGCAGACCACTTACTTCCTCACTCTGGATACTATACTTCTGTTGATATAGGAATATGGGTGGTGCTGTGGTCTAAACCACTGAGCCTCTTGGGCTTGCAATCAGAAGATTGGTGGTTCAAATCTGTGCAACAGGGTGAGCTCCCGTTGCTCTGTCCTAGCTCCTGCCAACCTAGCAGTTTGAAAGCACACCAGTGAAAGTAGATGAATAGGTACTGCTGCAGTGGGAAGGTAAACGGTATTTCCATGCGCTCCGGCTTCCATCACAGTGTCCTGTTGTGCCAGAAGCAGTTTAGTCATGCTCGCCACATGACTTGGAAAGCTGTCTGTGGACAAATACTGGCTCTCTTGGCCTGAAGCAAGATGAAGAAGAAGAAGAAGAGTTTGGATTTGATATCCCGCCTTTCACTCCCCTTCAGGAGTCTCAAAGCGGCTCACATTCTCCTTTCCCTTCCTCCCCCACAACAAACACTCTGTGAGGTGAGTGAGGCTGAGAGACTTCAAAGAAGTGTGACTGGCCCAAGGTCACCCAGCAGCTGCAGGTGGAGGAGCGGAGACGCGAACCCGGTTCCCCAGATTACGAGACTACCGCTCTTAACCACTACACCACACTGGCTGCCGCAGCCCCATAGTCATCTTTGACTGGACTTAATCATCCCAAGATCCTTTACCTTTACCTTTATTTACTTCTGTTGATGCAGCCTAGAATAGTAGTACCTTTTCTTGCTGCTGCATCACACTGTTGACTCTTCATCATCATCATAATTTATTTCTACCCCACCCATCTGGCGGCTCCCAAGAGAATATTATTATTATTAATAATAATAATAAAGCGACAAAACTTCAAACATGAAAAGCTTCCCTTAACAGGGCTGCCTTCAGGTGTCTTCTAAAAGTCAGATAGTGGTTTATTCCTTGACATCTGATGGGAGGGCGTTCCACAGGGTGGGCGCCACTACCGAGAAAGCTCTCTGCCTGGTTCTCTCTTAAGCTTGTGGTCTACTAATATCCCTAGATCCTATTCACATGCATTACTGGTAAGCCCGGTGTTCCCCATTTTATTTTTGTGCAGCTGGTTCTTCCTGCCTAAATGCGGAACCATACATTTGTCCCTATTGAAATTCACTTTGTTAGCTTGGACCCAGCTCTCAAATCTGTTAAAGTCATTAATGAACACTCTTGGTGTTGTCAGTCAACTAGCTACAATCTACCTAAAAGTTACATCATCCAGCACCAGAGTCGTGGAAAGAAGCATATATTACACTTGTACCAAAAACAGAGGCTGAAAAGACACAACTAAAGAACTACCGCCCTATATCATTACTCAATGTGGATTACAAAATTTTTGCAGATATTTTAGCGAAGAGATTTAAAAAAGTGCTGTTGGAAGAGATTCATAAAGACCAAGCGGGCTTTCTCCCAGGAAGACATTTGTCTGATAATTTGAGGAATATAATTGATATTTTGGAAAACTAGAAGTGAATATAAACACTAAAGCAGTGTTGATATTCGTAGACGCGGAGAAAGCCTTTGACAATATTTCTTGGAATTTTATGAAGAAGAATCTTCAGGGTATGGGGGTAGGCCAAGGTTTTGAGAATGGTATAAGTGCAATTTATTCAGAACAAAAGGCTAAACTAATTGTAAATAACGTTGTGATGGAAGAACTTAAAATTGAAAAAGGGACACGACAAGGTTGCCCAATTTCCCCTCTTCTTTTTGTTTCGGTCCTGGAGGTGTTGCTGAATATGATTAGAAGGGACCAGATGGTTAAAGGTATACAGGTCGGAACTAAACACTATAAATTGAGAGCATTTGCAGATGGCTTAGTATTGACGTTACAGGAGCCAGAATCTAGTACTAAAAGAGTTTTAGAACTGATTCAAGAATTTGGTCAAGTGGCAGGATTTAAATTGAACAAATTAAAACCAAGGTTCTAGAGAAAAACTTAACACCGTTTGAAAGAGAGAGGTTTCAGAATGAGACAGGTTTAACAGTGGTTAAGAAAGTTAAATACCTGGGGATTAACATGACAGCAAAAATGGGAACTTATTTAAGGATAACTATGAAAAATGTTGGTCAGAAGTGAAAAAAGATTTAGAAATTTGGTCAAATTTGAAGCTTTCACTGCTAGGCCGTATTGCTGCGATAAAAATGAATGTATTGCCTAGAATGTTGTTTTTGTTTCAAACTTTGCAGATTGTGGACAAAATGGACTGTTTCAAGAGGTGGCAGAAAGATATTTCTAAATTTGTCTGGCAGGGCAAGAAACCCAGAATAAAATTTAAAATACTAACAGATGCAAAGGAAAGAGGTGGATTTGCCCTGCCAGACCTCAAACTTTATTATGAATCAGCAGCTTTCTGCTGGTTGAAAGAATGGCTACTTCTTGAAAACACTGACATTTTGGACTTGGAAGGTTTCAATAATGTATTTGGATGGCATGCATATTTATGGTATGATAAGGTCAAAGCACACAAAGCATTTAAAAACCACATTGTCAGGAAAGCGCTATTTAATGTTTGGATAAGATATAAGGATTTGCTAGAAAATAAAACCCCAAGGTGGCTGTCACCAATGGAAGCGAAAGCCTTGAAAAGGGTCAATATGGAGGTCAAATGGCCGAAATATTGGGAAATTTTGGAACAAGACGGAGATAGACTGAAATTGCAGAGTTTTGAAAAACTAATAAACAAAGTGCGAGACTGGCTTCATTATTATCAAATAATGGAGGCATTTAAATTGGACAGGAAAATTGGCTTCCAGGTGGAAAAATCAAAATTAGAAACAGAATTGTTAGAACCCAATACTAAGAATTTGTCAAGAATGTATAACTTGCTGCTGAAATGGAATACTCAAGATGAAACGGTAAAATCGGCTATGATTAAATGGGCACAGGACGTAGGACATAACATTATGTTTGCTGACTGGGAACAGTTATGGACCACAGGTATGAAATTTACGGCATGTAATGCCTTAAGAGAGAATATTATGAAAATGATATACAGGTGGTACATAACCCCAGTCAAGCTTGCGAAAATCTATCACTTGCCCGATAACAAATGTTGGAAATGTAAAGAAATTGAAGGTACATTTTTTCACCTTTGGTGGACGTGCCCAAAGATTAAGGTCTTCTGGGAAATGATATATAATGAATTAAAAAGGTATTTAAGTATACCTTCCCTAAGAAACCAGAGGCCTTTCTCCTGGGCATAGTGGGCCAAATGGTGTTAAAAATGATAGAACTTTCTTTATGTATGCAACAACAGCAGCAAGAATACTCATCGCAAAGTATTGGAAGACACAAGAACTTCCCACGCTGGAGGAATGGCAGATGAAACTTATGGACTATATGGAACTGGCGGAAATGACTGGTAGAATCCGTGACCAGGGAGAAGAGTCGATGGAGGAAGACTGGAAGAAATTCAAAGACTATCTTCAGAAACACTGCAAAATTAAGGAATGTTAGAGTGATGTTGGACTGAAAACAAGTGGTTTCCAGCTGCACAGGTTAAAGTTATGGAAATTTGATATTAAAAGGGAAAACTTTAAAGTTATATGATATTAAGACCAAGGACTAGGTTTAAAAAAAATTGAAGTTATATATTTTAACATTTTACTAAATTAAAGATTGGGATTAAAAAAAAGTGGAAAAGAAACTGCTGAACAAACAATGTGGACTGGAATACAAAGGAGGGAGGTTTGAGGAAGTCTAGAAAATAAGTCATGTAAAATTGGAAATGGAAAAGAGAGTTTGTTTTTAATTGTTGTGTTTTGTGTTTCTATTGTTAAGTTTTGTATTATTTTTATGTGAGTTTTTCTTTTTTTTTGTTTTATGTTGTTTTAAACTTTAATAAAAATTATTTTTTAAAAAAAAAAAGTTACATCATCCAGCCCCCACTTTACCAGCTTCTCCTCAAGAATACCATGGTGGCCTTTGTCAAAAACCTTACTGAAATCAAGATACACTATATCCACAGCTTTCCCCTGATCCACCAAGCTTGTAACTCAATTTTTTAAAAAAGAAATGAGATTTATCTGACACCACTTTTTTAAAAAAAAACCATGCTGGGTCTTAGTAATCACAGCATCCTTTCCTAAGTGCTCACAGACCGACTGTTGAATTATCTGTTCTACGAGCTTTTCTGGTATCGATGTCAACCTTGCCGGGCGGCAGTTACCTGGCTCTTCTTTTTGCAGATGGGGACATTTGCCCTCCTCCAGCCTGCAGGGACCTCACTTATTCTCCAAGAATTCTCAAAGATTTTAGACAGAGATTGCATCTGCAAGCTCCTTTAGTACCCAGCTTGTTTCATGCTGCTCCTTATCATAAGACTCAAACCAATGGAAGAGTCCCACTAAACATGTGAAGAACTTTCCAACAGTGAGAACAGTGGAATGGACTCCCTTGGAAGGTGGTGGTCTCTCCTTCATTGAGGATTTTTCAACAGAGGTTGGGTGGCCATCTATCAGGGATTCTTCAGCTGTGATTCCAGCATTGCAGGGAGTTGAATTACTTTTGTGGGTCTTTTCCAACTCTTCTATTTTAAGAGTTTATTGGTCTATGATGACGGCTTTATACATCCAGCATCTTTAAGTGGGCATGATGCATCCCACACATACATGTCTTCTGCCTTGGTGATACCTGCATCCAACTGTCATTTAATTGAGATTTCCCTGATCCATAGATACTGCAGTAAGGTGGGGAAAATCTAACATAAAACCAAATGCTGCCAAATGGTGAGCATATTGAAGTGCATTGTGTGGGCATGTATTTTTACCCCTGTGATGTGATGGTTTGCTAGGTGCCATTTGTCCCCACACCCCCTCTTTCTGCTGGTGAGATGCTTTAGGTGAGTTGCTGGTGGCAGCAGTCATGACACACACTTAAAAAAAACAGTCTACTGTTTTGTGCAAGTTTGGCATATTGGAAAACTTTGTATTTCCAAAATAAAGTTTTAAAAATGGCTGCCAGCACAGGTAGTCAAATGGTCTCAGCAAAGCTCGGGGAGGGTGGGCTGGAACCCACACGTTTTACAGAAAATATGTTCAACACACTGTTCTGTCAGAAAACTCACATCTATTTTTTAAAAGAAATTGGCCATGTACAAAGGCAAACAAATACCTCCATGTGTGCCCACAATAGACCTCAGATTTCTGGCACTCAGGGAGTGTGGGAAGTCCTGAGTGAGGGGACAATAGCCTCCAGGCAAGCACAACCTACTAGTGTGCTGGGAAACATTGAGGAGTTCAAGTGAAAGTGCTCATGTCAACAAATGTGAACAAAAGCCCACATGGAAAACATGGGATCTGTGTGACCCATGTGCATGTTATCACTCTGGTGTATCCACAGCCTAACACAAACTCCTGGATAGAGTTCTTCTGGGGCAGAGCAGGAGGGAATGAAGCCAGACCCACAGAGATGTCTGGGGGAGGGTTTTACATAGGAAGCTGACGGATGCAGGGATTTTCATAAGGACAGTTCTCAATGAAGAATCTCTGGGTGCAAGATGTGGTACTGCATCAAAAGATTAGATTTCCTTATCTGGTCTGGAACAGCAAGGCAAGGAACTGGGTGAGTCACCACTGGGAAGCAAAAAGCCAGGAGCCAATCACAAAAACACACCCTGTGTTGGAAGAAGATAGGGGGGAAGGCAAAGGTGGAGCAGAAAGGAAGAGAAGCTGGAGGAAGGCGTTGTGGAAGTACAGGAGTGTGTGGTGGAACAGCGTGGGATAACCAAGGGAGGTGCAAGAGATCACTCCATCCATCTGCTGTGACAGGACCATCTCATCAGACCTCTTCTCCCTCCATTGTCACTTGGGGGCAGCTGTTCCAGCAAACAGTCTTCATGGGAGACATGGGAAACACAAGGCTCCTTGCATCCACTTGGCTGGTGGTCCAGTGCCATTAGGCACTTACTGCCTCTGAGCTGTGCCACTGGCCAATAGAAATTGGTGCCCCAGTTCTGATTTTCCTCTTTCCTCCTTGTCCCTTTGTGTGTTGTTTTTCTTCAATTGTAAGCCTGAGTGGGGAGCATCTTCTGTGATTTTAAGTAAGCTGCTCTGAGAACATTTATAATCTGTTCTTCAAATGCTCTAAATAAATAAATACATTAATAAAGCACCTGGGTTTAGACACAGGAGACACTCTGAATGCTTTATTCTTTTGTGTATGTTACTCTATTAATCCTGTTACACCTACAGCTGAATAAAACTTTTAAACTATTGGACTTGGACTGATCTATCACCACTGCCTGTTCAGATGGTGGGGAGGCATCAATGGACTCCAGGTTCAACCTTCAAGCAGGGCAGCCAACTGTTGGAGGGTGTTGGGGTCACATTATAATATATCTCACTGGAAGTTCTACTCTTCTGGAGGCTGCCTAAGGGGACCCAAACATCCATGTTACTTTGGCCACTGGGACACATGTCAGGTTCTACACTTAGGCAGAAATAACCAGCTGCACAAATATAAAATGGGGGACACCTGGGTTGCCAGTAGTACATGTGAAAAGGATCTAGGGATCTTAGCAGACCACAAGTTTAGCATGAGTCAACAATGTGATGCAGCTGCTGCAGCAGCAAAAAAAAGTGGGGGGAGATAATGCTATTCTAGGCTGCATCAACAGTAGTATCCAGATTGAGGGAAGTACTGCTCTATTCTGCCTTGCTCAGACCACACCTGAAGTCTTGTGTCTGGTTCTGGGTGCCACAATTTAAGGAGGATACTGACAAGCTGGAATGTGTGCAGATGAGGGCAACCAAGATGGTCAAGGGTCTGGAAACCAAGCCATATGAGAAATGGTTAAGGGACTTGGATATATTTAGCCTGGAGAAAAGGAGACTAAGAGAAATGATAGCCACCTTCAAATATCTAAAGGGTGTCACATGGAAGATGGAACAAGTTTGTTTTCTCCTGGTCCAGAGGGTAGGGGTCAAACCAATGGCTTCAAGTTACAAGAAAGGAGATTCCGACTCAACATCAGGAAGAACTTTCTGACAGTAAGAGCTGTTTGACAGTGGAACAAACTCCTTCGAAAGGTGGTGGACTCTCCTTCCTTGGAGGTTTGAAAGCAGAGATTGAGCGGCCATCTGTCCTGGCTGCTTTAATTGAGATTCCTGCATTGCAGGGGGTGGGATTAAATGATCCTTGGCATTCCTTCCAACTCTAGACATTTCTTCCAACCTCTGGGCATTTTTTTTACCTGAGAACCTGGGTACCGATTGTGAACCCCCTGGAAAGAGGAAAGAAGGTGACCAGATGAGAGCTGAGCAGTGGACTATCCCCTGGTGGAGACAGTTGAGGTGAGGATCCCTGCAAGCGGAAGGATGAGGCAGCTCAGCGCAGTCACTTTCTTTCGCTCTAACCCAGTGCTTGCTGCTCTGTAGTGCTGTCTGTGTTATATTGCTCCATTATAGCAGATACAATATAGCCATTAGGCATATTTAATATCAGAAGGGATAATCAGGGAAGGGAAGAGGGTACTCCAATTGCCAGCCCTGGCCATGATGATTTGGTGGGCAGGCCAAGAAAGTTCGCAGACCTGTAATACAGTCCCCCCCCCCCTTTAGCTTCTCTCCATTTTAAAGACCTCGTTGCCACATGAACGTACCCGTGAGCACTGAAGTACTGCTGCTAAATGCCAGTCCTGTGCATGGTCGAACAGCAGCTGTTGAGGACATGGAGGAGGTTGCTGACTTGTCTTGCACTGACAAGATCTGGCTGGACCAGGCAAGCTGGATTCTTGGGACAGCATCTTCAACCTAGACTCCCTGACCAGGAAGCCATTTTTCCTGGAAGAGGCTATTGTAATGCCAATCTCCTTTGCGTCTCTGTCAATGTACTGCCCATGCCGCTGCCAAGTTAGGAGTCTGCCTGAATTGGCAGAGGTGGCTTCAGATTTGGTGTTTCAGGCTGTCAGGCATTTGGCTCTTGGGGGCCTTCAGCAACACCAAGCACCCCCACACCCCTGGCATTGCCCCCCCAAGGCGATCCCAAAGCATTGTGATCCCTAGGCGTGTGGCAGATCCCATTGGACTTGGGGTTCTCTGCTGGGCAGAATGATGGCAATCCAAGAATGGGGGAAGCAGCTGTCCGGTGTGACTGGGCGAGGTCTGGGCATCCCGAGATTCCGAGCCCCGGCCTGCAAGTCCAGCTGTCCGATCCTGGCTCTCCAGGGCACTCGGGGTCTCTGGCTTTCCTGCCGGCACAGCTCTGCTCCTGCTCTGGAACACAGAGGTTTCCTGGGCCGTCGGGGCTGGACTAGTCCGAGCCCCCCACCCTCCCTGCCAAGCGGCGCACGGAGCCTCCCAAGGGCCCTTCGGGGCCGTCCAGCTCAGGAACAGACTGGGGGCCCGGCGGCAGCAGCAGCAGATCCCGGAGGGTCCCTCGGGTCGGGCCTCCTGCTCGCCCCGGGGAAGCCCCCCCGCAGCCGCGCTGCTCTCCCCGCTGGGCGCTCATGCCCGCCCCGCCCTCTCTCCCGGCCCGGCCCCATTCACACGTTCCGGAGAGAGACGCGCATCTCCCGGGAGACGAGCCCGGCCCCGCCCTCCCTCCTTCGGGCCGGGGCGAGGGGCGGGGCCGGGCCGGGGGCGGGGAGGCGGCTTACCTGGGCACCAATGGGCGGGCGCCATGCAAATGACCAGCGCGCCCTCGCCGGGCCGGGAGGTCCTCCAGGGCAGCCGAGAAGAGCGCGCTAGAGCGGCGGCTGCCACGACGAGCAGAGCTCCGAAAAGGCTAGAGGGGACCGCTTCCGGAGGGCCGGGAAGACGGCGCGGCCTCGGGCGGCAGATGGGGGCCGGGGGGCCCGGGCGCGGGAGGGAGGGAGGGAGGGAGGGCCGGGCAGACGCCCCCGAGCGGAGCCGGGCTTCCTTCGGCTTGACGCCCCGGTCCCAGGCGGCACAAATCCAGCATGACAAAGAGCATAGAGCCTCGCCAGTCCCAGGAAGAGGGAAGGGCTCGAGGCCTCCTCCGAACAAGCTCCAGGCAGCAGAAGAGGCCTCGCTCTTGGCCCAGAATTCACCTGCATGAGGCGGCTCTCCTCGTCTGAGGCTCAGAGAAAAAGGCCGCTGCAGATTGCCCCCTGCTCCGGGGGGGCTTCAAGACTTGCACGGTGTTGGGCAGATTACACAATTTGCAAAACAACGAAGGCCACCCTCTGCAAGATGGAAAAGTTCCCGCAGATTAAGGAATGTTAGAGTGATGTTGGACTGAAAACAAGTGGTTTCCAGCTGCACAGGTTAAAGTTAATGATAGACTAAGATTAAAGATCAAGATTAAAGATGTTTAAAGAAATGGAAATTTGATATTAAAAGGGAAAATTTTAACGTTATATGATACTAAGATCAAGGATTAGGTTTAAAAAAGTTGAAGTTATATATTTTAACATTTTATTAAATTAAAGATTGGGATTAAAAAGTGGAAAAGAAACTGCTGGACAAATAATGTGGATTGGAATACAAAAGAGGGAGGTATGAGGAAGTCCAGAAAATAAGTAATTTAAAATTGGAAATGGAAAAGAGAGTTTGTTTTTAATTGTTATGCTTTTTGTTTTTTATTGTTGAGTTTTGTATTGTTTTTTGTGTGTGTTGTTTTTTTTCTTTTGTTGTTTAAAACTTTAATAAAAATTATTTTTTTAAAAAAAGGAAAAGTTCCCGCAGAGCAGCTCAGGGAATTGCATGAATGCCGGGGGAGAGTCAGCCATTCCTCAACTGTAAGGTGCTGAGATACTGACCTGCACTGGTCTCCTCTCTCAGTAACCCCTAGCCCTGCACTCGCACACACACTTGATGTGACATCAGAGAATGCCATCTATTTCCTTTGCACTGAATGATGTGTCCAGTGGGGAGGCCAAGCCTTCCATTTCCGCCCCTCAAAACATGCTGGAGCTCATAACAACCAGCACTTGGGAACGGGTGCAATGGAGGACAGAGGCCTGTGCTGATCAGTAGAGAGAAGAAATTGTGATACAGGTGCCTGTTCCCATCACACGGAGATGTTGGGTTGTGCAATTAGAGTCTGTGGCAGAAGGACAACCCTCTTTAATCCAGATTATCTGCACCTGCCCCAGACTGGAGATTATGCTTTATTTCAACCTTTTCAGAGCTGGCTTTTGACAACTAGGGATTGTCGTCGTTTCCAGTGGACAACTGCCCAATCGAGGCAGGTCTGGTGAAGCTGAGATGGCTTCATCCAAAGCATTGGGGAGGGTTCTCTGCATGCTTAGTGTTGGCTGGTATATTCTTTCTCAGACTGTTCATCCGCACCCAGGTGAGTTTTTCCAGCCCCAGAAACCATGGCAGGTATGGCTGACATCTCATGTTACTAAGCTTTGCTGTTATTGTTGCGGCAAAATCCTGGAAACTGCAGTTACTTAACTTTGTCTCCCTTCACGATAGCTACTGCAGGCATTTACTAAGAGGTTGTGCCCTTTTGTTGCTTATGGGAGGGCTCTTTGGCGTTGGATTTCTAGGTGCTGCAACATATAGCCAAGATAGGCAGGGCTGGAAAATGCCTTCCTTGCCATCACCTCTCTCTCCTGGTTATTCTGTTTATAGCCTGCTTTTTTATTCATAGCGGGACTCTCAAGGGAGTTAATAAATACAGTAATTGTGTTAGTCTAGTTAGTATAAAAAGATGGGACACAGTGACGCTCCTCAAGCAATCGGCAGGCAGACATGCAGCTGCTTGCCTCCTCCCAGCACACCTGAGCCCAGGGCCATAACTGCCGGCAGACAGGGGGGGGCGGGGGGAGTCATATCTCTGGATGCAGAGCCAAGCCTCCCAAAAGGGGCTGCAGTCAGACAAGGAAGCCTGGCTAGTCTTGGAGGGAAGGAAACAAGTCCCCCCCCCCCCAGCTCACCTACTCCGAGCTTGTGAGGAGCAAACTGGAAGCTTTTGCTCCTTTTACTTAAGCACAGTTAAGGATGTGGCTATTTTTAAATTTGCGTTGTTGAAACAAGTCTGCTTCATAAGCCATTGCTTGGAGTTAACTTGTTTCAAACAAATGTCGGTTATGAATAACCAGTTTGTCAGTTCTGAACGACATGATAATTAACCAAAATGGTAAGCAAAAGCTTCTGAGCCCCCCCTCAGGACTGTGCCAGAGAAGGAGAAAGGAAGGCTAGTGCAGGAGTCCTGGAGAGGCCAGGCTTGTTCCCACCACAATGGAAATGCTTTAGCAACCATCGTTTGTGGTCTGAGGAAAAAGGAAGGCCCAGCATGCTCCACTTCTTCCAGATGGGTCAGGCCAGCTGATTTGATTGGTTTGTTGACTTTGTGGTGGTGGTCCATGGTGCAGCTGCCTTTTGCCTCCTGGCATGTTGGCATTCAGCCAATGGATCACGGACAGCAGAATCCAGCAAGACCAAGACTTGTCATCAGCAGCAGGAGGAAGACATTCACTGACAAAGCTGGAATGTAACATATGGACATAAAGATATAAGAAGGGCCTGCAGGACCAACCACCTGCTCTCCCATTGGCCAACTGGAAGCTGGTAGGAAGCCCAGAAGCAGGACCTGCATGGAATAGCACTAGTTGCATTTGGGATTCCCGACAGCTGAGATTCAGAGGCAAACTGCTTCCCACAGTGGAGGCAGAGCAGAGCCATCAGGGCAAGGAGCCCCTGACCCTCCAGGAATTTGTCGAATCCTCTTTTAAAGCCATCCAGGTTGGTGGCCATCACTGCCTCCAGTGGGAGGGAGTTCCAGAGTTTAACTAAGCTGTGTGAAGAAGGATTTTCTTTTCTTTGTCCTGAATCTTCCAACACTCAGTTTCATTGGATGTCCACAAGTTTCAGTGTTGGGAGAGAGGGCAAAAAGCTTTCCTCTATCTACCTTCCCCATGCCATGCATAAGTTTATAAACTTCCAAGTCAAGTGATGAAGTAAATTAAGGTTTATGTTAAAATTTGTAAAGTTTTTTTTCTTTGTGAAAAATTAATTAAAAATATTTTAAAAGCAAACAAACTTATATGCTACACGGAAGGCGTGAGGATCACTGTGTTCCACAGAATCTTTGAGGCCCAGATATATGCAGGGACAAGGATGCCTATCCTCCCCTCACTCCTTCCCCAGATTGGTGAGGGGGGAGCAGTCTCTTTCCTCTCAGCTCAGTGCTAGGACTGGGATATGGATTGCTTCCTCTCCCCTCACAGCCCAGGATCAGGGATCCCTCCCCTCCCCCCCAGGGACCCTCAGGAGTAGCCAGACACATTCATTAACAAAAATTCACATAAGCTTTTAAAAGGACATTGTTTCAATGGTGTTTTTGCACCCCAGGCTCCTTTGGGAGAAAGGGTGGGATATACGTTGAATGAAAGTAATGCTACTATACTTAGAAATGGCAGAAATGGACATATCAACTGAACTGATTCAATGGAGAGCAGGGAGGCTGTGATATACTCACTGTGTTGAGAGACAGGCCTGTTTTGTCGATTATTGGAATGACAGAAATGGAACTGTCATATAATAAACTAGTATGCTGATGTGACCCACACAAAGACACTGGGCATGCTGGATATAGCCCATGGGTCACTTCTCCCTGCTGCAGGGACAGGAGAGGGCAGGGGAGGGGGAGTCCATGGGGCTTCTCAGACTCACCTGCCCCAGAGCACTGGGAAGCCCTCAGGCCCTGCAGGGCCTCCACAAATGGTTCCCCCAGCCAGGAGATGGCCGTCCTCCTCGCCCCAACTGGCACAATGGCAACGGTGGAGTCCCTGAAGATCAAATCTTCCCCTTCGAAGGCTGTAGAGTTGAACATTTGGAATCCATTTTCATTGTGGTCGCCAAAGAAGTCCTGAAAGCCAAGCAGAGGTCCCTGATTACACCCAGGAACACCTCTCATTTTGGAGCGGCGGGGGGGGGGGGGGCTGAGGAGCTGCTGCCTGCCAGAGTTTGCAGCGAGCAGGCAGGGGGGTTCCCAGCACCTTGTGATTCCCAGCACCAGAGCGGGGAGAAGCAAGAAGTTCGCTACACTGGGTTGCCTTGTTTGGCTCACTATTAACTTAATTCCAAAAGGTGAATATGCTTAGAAATTATGCTTCACAACTAGATGGACTAGAAGAAATTGGGGGAGCTCTGACCTTAAGCAAACACTGGCTGATTGCTCTGTCACTGCCATTGTAGTGCTAGGCTTACACCATTTTAAAATGATACTGTTCTAAAAAATACTATACTGCATTGCTTTAAGTTGTTTTGTTTTCCTCTAACTTCAAAATACCATTATCTTCTGAGAAGATAGCATGCTTTCAGTGAAGCTTTGTACACCAATAAATTGCTTTCTATTATCATCTTGAGTGTGGTTTTTATCACTGGCCGTTTAGGGAACTTTTTAATGTTTGATGTTTTTTCTGTTTTTAATCTGTTTGGAGCCACCCAGAGTGGCTGGGGAAACCCAGCTGGGTGGGCGGGGCATAAATTCTTCTTCTTCCTCCTCCTCCTCCTCCTCGTCCTCCTCCTCTTCCTGAACCTCTACTGGAGGACCCAGTGAAAATTTGTGCGCCAACCAGGAACTGCTCAGGTAAGCAACTAACACTTTTAGTGGGTTACAGGTAGGTAGCCATGTTGGTCTACCATAGTCAAAACAAAATTTAAAAAATTCCTTCCAGTAGCACCTTAGAGACCAACTAAGTGTTATCGGTATGGCTTTTGTGTGCATGCATACGAAAGCCGTACCAGTAACAAACTAGTTGGTCTCTAAGGTGCTACTGGAAGGATTTTTTATTTTGTTTCGACTTTTAGTGGGATTCCTTTTTATGATCTTATCAAGTGTTGTGTTCATTCCTTTTTGTTGTCTGCATTTTAAACTCTGTTTTGAAATTAATTTCATGTAAAAAACCCCCACAGAGGTTCAGATCATATTCTTGGGATCATATTTTTGAATGAGACAATTTATACTTTTCAAACATTCCATAAGTGCTGGAAATATAAATGGATAGTTTTGCTAGCGTTTTGCTTTGTAGCATCACAGATGAACCTAATCTGTACTCCTGAATCACAAATTAGTCCTCACTCGCCTGGAGGCTCCTGGGCCACCTCCAGACCAAGAATCCTTCCCACTCACAGCCTGCAGTGCTGCTATAAATATTTACTCAAGGAGGAGGCTGAGTCTGCTGGGCTGCCAGGGATGGGTGACACTGCAGTGCTCTGATTCCTTGGATTTTTCCATGAAAGTTTAAACATAACCAACAACTCCGCTCTACACCTTTCTGCAACAACCTTTGCATTGTTCATCCCCCCCCCCCCCCATCATTCATCTGCCCCTTCTCCTCCATTGCTGAAACCTTTTCCTGATTTTATTTTCATTTCATGCTGACGGCACCTAGATGCCCATTTACTATTTCCACGCTTGAAGCTTATAAAAAAAATCTTAGCAAAAGCCAAGCCTGGCTACCGAGAAATACCGCTGCTTGGCTGCTCCACAATCCTGCTGTGACCATGTTGATCCTATTCTCATTTCTTGTTCACTTGCATCCAGACGTTAAGCACAGACTGGGATGGCCTACCTAGCAGGGATGATGTAGTCTTGGATTTCCTGCACTGCCAGGTGGTTGGACTAGATAACCCTTGAGGTCCCTTCCAACTCTATGGTGCCAAGTGGGGTGGGAGGGGTGGAGAGTTTCCTATGAGGGTACATTGTTGGAAACAGGGTTGAGAAAGTGCATCAAAACCAAGCCCACAAATCTCAGGAGCAGGAAGGGTGGATGGTAGAAGGGGGCTTCATTTACACCCTGCTTTTTGTTTGATCCTGACCCACAAGGGGAGTGAGCAGAAACAGAGCAGCTCAACACAGCGACAACACTAAGGGCTTTAACACTCTGTGTTGGAGCATTTATTTTGCCTCAGAACTTTCCCCACGAAAACCCACTCTTTAGTGCTCAGTCAGAGCAAATGTCAATTGGGGTTTTCTTTGGATTGCCGTTTGCTCCAATTGAGCTGTAAAGAGTGGGGTTGGGGGGGGGAGGCTGTAGATCAAAAAGGGTGTGTGTGTTTGGACACAGAGCATTAAATTGTGGGCCATGCCTGCAGAGAGCGGAGGAAAGGGAAGTGTGGATAAGCCCCAAGTTCAAATAAACCAGCAGCAGAATAAACTACCTAAACCATGTGAAACCAAACAGGGATCCAAGAACTAGCACGGACTTCCGGGGTGGCGCCATCGGTAATGGCGGACTCCCTCTGATCTGGAGGGACTGGCTCCACAGAAAACGGGTCTTTCCTGCTACGGCGAAGTGGGAACCCTTTGAAAAATCACAGGCGGAGGAAGCCTGTGACCATGGGACTCAGCGGGCACCTTTTGTGCCCCCCCCAATCCGTAAAGGAACCCAGCTACGGGCTCCGGAGCGAAGAGGGGCAAGTGGCGCGGTGCTGAGAGTCAACTGCTTCTTCTGTGGAGCGAAGCCGCCTAGCCGTTGCCGGAGAGCGCTGCCTTTTTCCTGGGACAATTTGGCTTTTAAAACAATTACCCGTGAGTAGCTCAATTTTGGACAATTGGACTTTAAATAATGACCTGCGAGTAGAAAGGAAATTTGAACTAAGAAATTCTTCTCAATTTGGCACTGAAACAGGAAGGTCTAAACAGGAAGTCCGCCTTCCGTTTCTTGTAGATAGATTAAAGCAAAGACATGGCAAACTAGAGTTCAGAAAATCGTTTGTAAAGGATTAACTTTCATCATTTAAAATTGTTGAACCCCCTTCGGAAGCAGGAGAAGAGGGGGGATTTTTTCCGGACTGGTTAAACCTGCAGAAGAGAGTGTAAAGAAAAGTAATTTTCCACCGTCTTGAACCTGGGAGCGGGGTGTCAGGAGTGACGTTTTTTGGGAAGTTCATTGACCATAGACAAACGTCTTTGACAGACAGTTAAAAGAAGAGAAACATAGTGATTCCATAGTTCTCCTTCGCATTTTAAAGGAACAAATATTGACAAAATATCTGAAAAAGGAAACTTTGCTGCTAGATTTGCTTTTAAAAGAAAAGAACAAACAGAAGTTCTTCCCCTAGAGGGAGCCTGTGAAACTGTTACTAAATCTGAATCGGGGAGCTCTGCAGCTGCAACAGATTACAATTGTGGGAATAGACTTCTGACCTTGTATAACAATGTATTCAGAAGCTCTGGTGCGTGCTTTCTGCAAAACAAGTGCCCTATTGGAACAGTTACATGAGAAGACGGACTTGATGACTGTTGCGATCAGAAATTTTGGACAGGTAGTGGGTAACTATATAGAACCCACCCAGGAATCAAATCAGGAGTGTGCTCTGACAGATGAGATGAGGGAAGAGGATGTTGCTGAACCTTGGGTGCCAGAGATGGAGGGAGCTGTGGCCCAGCCGGAACATGAGTTGTTGGATTTGACAAATGAACTTGGAAAAAACCAGACTTGGAGAGATAGAGTTTTGTTTGGTTTGGAAATGGGGGGTTGGATAGACCCCCCTATGCAGGGATGTTTGGACTTTTCAAGTCTGGCAATGGGCCGTGAGATGTTTGGGGTTGTGGGGGCTCTTAATTTTGGAGGGATTTTGAAACATGTTTTTAAATACCACATGGAGTTTAGTGTGGATTATGGAAAAGGGGCTGATTTGTCGAGAAGGGTCAAAAACACTGTCAAGTTGGAGTTCCCACGAGTGAAAGGAGCAGAAGACAAAGTAAAGTACAGGTATAAATATGAAGAAGAGCCGCGGAAGGGACATGGAAGAGACTTAAGGGCCTCGGACATAAGGTTACCAGGTTAATGAGCTAGATTGATGGGATAGAAAGGACTGACAAAACCCGGGACCAGGAGGAAGAGACGCTGGATGAAGATTGGAAGAAAGTTTTTTTAAAAAAATTATTAGGATTGTTTTATAAAATTGATGAATGTTAGAAAAATGTTGGAACGAAATCATTTGGCTTTAGCAAAAATGTTAAAAGAATTATGTAAGAATATGTTATGGTTATGAGAAATTGGTATAAATAAGATCTAAGTTTTACGTTTTAGGGTCTTTTATAGTAAGATAAGGTTAAAATAGATTAAAGTAATTTAATGACAGAATATTATGAAAAATGGAAAGGATTTGCTGTGATAATTAACAACTAGGATACAAAAAAGGGAGGAGTGAGGAGGTCGATGAAATAAGGCAATGACAGTTAAGGATTTGGGAATATTGGATTTGTTTTTAAATTTTTGTGGTTTATTTTTGCTTTTTGATTGTCTTGTGTTACGTGTTTTGTTGTTACTTTTTGATTATCAATTTGTATTGCTTGATTGTGGTTTGTTTTTCTTTTGTTTTTTTTTCTTTCTTTTTCTTTTTGTTTTTCCTGTAATTTTAAAATTCTTAATAAATATCATTTAAAAAAAAACACGAACTAGCAGGGACCTCCACTGTCTGATCTTGCATCCCCACCAGGGGCCAGAGTGCCAAGGGGTGTCGGGTCCCCTCCTGAGAGCACCAGGCTCCTTGCCGCCAGCCTGGCCTTTGAGGGCAGAATCACCAGAGGAAATGCAGACAGAAGGAGTGCCTGGCAGTGCTGGATCAGGCCAAGGGGGCCCACCTCCCACTGGCCACCCAGGGGCCCAACAGGAAGCATAGCAGTGAGAGAAAAGAGCGCCCTCCGGAGGATGAAGATGGCGATGGTGCCCTCTTGTGTTCTCTCTCTTCTAAGCCATAAACCGGTACCTGTGCAATGTTCAGAAGTCCAAAAACAGCCAAAGCATTTGTGTCTGGGTGGACCATGATGGCGTGGGCGGGCACCTGTCCCCAATGACAGTGGGCAAACTGGCTAACTTCCGCACGGGCACCATTTGGGCACAAGAGCTGGAAATCCCCCGAGCGCAGCTGGGAGGCCCAGGAGCCCATGTTGTTCCCTGGAAGGACAAGAGTGCTCAGAGAGTGGTTTCAAGGAGAGGGAGAGAGGGATCATAAAAGAGAAGAGTGGGCAACATACCATCTGTGTTTTCAAAGACTGTGGAGTGCTTGACAAAGGCCACATCGCCTTTACCCTCAGCTAAACACCTGCAAAGAACAGCAAGAGTTTGACGGCAAGTGGGAAGCAGGTGGCAGAAGGACCTCCAGCAGCAGCAAAGCAAGGCATGGGGACCCCCCCCCCCCGGTGGAATGGCCAGCGGCAGCCAGGAGCTTTGGCTGATGTGAACAACTTCCATGGTTGGTTTGGTGGTTGTGGGCTGAGAGGAACCAAGTACATCCCCCCTTTTTCTGTACTGAAAACACCCTTCCCTGCTGCAATCAGCGCCATCTGACTTGGACAACACATGTGCCGCTCTGTCTCAGGGAATGCCCCATGCTCTCCCCAGAGCCTTCCGGGTGGCAAGCAAGAGGAAAGACCCCCTCCTCTCGCCTGCCAGGCAATGGAGGCTCAGGCCAGCTGGCACCCCCCTGCCAGTCCCCGTTACCTGAAGGCTCCAGCGTGGCCATAGTAACGTTCTTGGCTGCTGGCAATGCACTTGTATTTGCCACTGAGGTCCCCAATGCAGAGCTCACAGAGGCTGCCCACGTAGCCGTCTCCCGGGGCCCCAGGAACACAGCTGCCAGAGAAGAAGGTGCTCACCGCTGGAACGAGAGGAGGAGGGCGAAGCCGGGCATGAGCCCATGAGGGTGTGGTTCAGCAAGGCCAGGAGGAGCCCCAAGAACAGCTGGGCACTCGGAAAGAGGGACTTGGAAGGGGCCCGGCCCTGCCTGGATGCATGAGGCTTCATCAGGTCCCAGATGAACCAGGATGAGGGCAGAGCTTTGGGGCAAAGTTCTCCTAAGCCAAACTCTGACTCACCTGAGAGGCTGGTGGGCCACAGCTCAAGGGCAGAGTCCCTGCTAGGCATGCAGAAGGTCCCCGGCGCAACCCCAGGCAGCGCCAGAGAAGACTCCCTGCCTGAGACCAGGAGTGGACTAGATGACCCCAGGGGTCCCTTCCAACTCTACAATTCTACGATGCTGTGAGACTCCAGAGGGCGAGTTCTGTTGTCAGCACAGCCAAGACTGAGGGGTGGGGATCACTGGCCTGCTTCAGTACCAGGCGACTTCCTCTGTTGGGCCAGAGCGGGCCTCAGCACCTGCCTTCCCTGGCCTGGTGGCGGGCATCCCATGACCCCCCCGGGGGGGCAGCCACATGCCGGAGCTGGGAGAAAGGCAGGGGGAGAAGGGGGGTCAAGGGCCCCTCCACCCTTTGCTCCCCCTTCTCTCTCTCTCTCCAGCAGAGGTCTGTGTCTGCCCTCCATGTCTCCTTTGGCCCCAAAGGGTCAACCCAGAGTCCCAAACAGCAGCCCCCTCCTGCCCCCTACCTTTGGGGATGTTGCAGTCCTGAGGACGAATGAACCCCTTCTTCAGCAAGAGGCCAATGGGCATTTTCCACCCAGCCATTGTCCCATAACCTGCGTGGCAGGACTTCCTTCCTTGCAGCTCGTAGATGGTGAAGGCGTCATCAGCCACCCGCCTCACAAGGGCCACTGCGTAGTAGGTGCTGGTGGTGTCCTCATCTGGGGGGGCGGGAAGCACAAAAGAAACCCTGAGCCCCCTCTGCCCCCTCCTTTAGCTGTTTAAAAGGGGATCTCTAAAAAAGAGCAGCACTTTGGACAAGAGCTTGAAATGAAGGGGTCAGGAAAGACAAGGGGCACCATAGAGGCACAGGGATCATTTCTGTTTACACAGTGGAGGGTCTCCCCCCCCCCCCCCCGAGACACACATGCTTCCCTCCTTGGGTCCTCCTTGTTCAGTGACTGTTGTCTTAGAGGAAAGAGGAAGAGCTGGGCAAAGACTGGCAGCCAAAGTGCCCCTCCAAGGCACAGTACGAGACTGGCAAGGCAAGCCCCTGCCCCAGTCGGGGTTACAGGTGGGCAATGTGTGCCCCCCCAGCTCTTGAAGGACTCCTGGCCAAACCTTCTGGGGCCAGCGTGACCCAGGAACCTGACAGGTTGCCCACAACTGTCCTCAGGGGAGCCCCGCCCCAGCACAAAGGCCGGAAGGAAGCCCTCGGCTTGTGAGCCCCACGGGGCAAGAGAGCAAGGGGGAAAGGAGTGGGGTGGGTCTCCTGTCTCCTTGAAGATCAGCACCTGAGCGCAGTCTGAGCCAGAAATCTGAGGCCTCCAGGCTCTTTGCGTCTTTGCTGCCAATCACCAATTGCCCCACGGACCTTTGCGCTTGGGGGCTCCTCCTGGAGGCCTGGAAAGGTCCTTAGAGAATCCCTTGGTTCAGCTCTGTGGTGCCCAGCTGGGCGGTGGCCACGTTTGTGGGCACTGAGTCGCCAGCCGGCTGGCCACAAAGCAGCTTGCACACAAGAGGCCTTCAGTCCTGCCAGCCTCCTCACCTGCGTAATGCTCGCCAGCAGCCGGCACCAGGCCATATGTCTCCCCGGCCGTGTAAATATCCTCTCCGGCCAAAGACACAACGTCAATGTCTCTGTTCTGAAAGGAAATCAAAACATCCTTTTAAGACCCGGCTGAGTCACGTTGGGGGGGGGGGAGCGGAGGTGCCTGCCTGCCCCAATGCCTGTCCCCAAATGGCCCCCTCCTGCACTGTCCTGTCTTGCTCACAGGTCACAGAAGGAAATGGATGCAGAGGGGCAGGCTGAGACCCAAAGGGGATGGCCAGCAGGAGATGGCAAGGAGAAGCCAGTGCAGCCAGCCCTCCTGTGGCCTGGTAGTCTGTTCCCCGCCAGATACGTGACATCCATCCTGCCCTCTAACCCATCTGGGCATGGCTGCCTGATAGCTTTGCTTCGGCTTAGTCCATGCCCAGATGCTCACATCCCTCTGCTTCACTCCACCTCCCTTGGGCTAAGGAGGGCTCCCTGAGCGCAAGCCATGAATTCCAGAGTCCCAGTCGGAAATCACACGGCACATGCTGGGAAGAGCTTCAAGAGGGTAAAGAGCCGTTCAGCGGTGGACGGTGGACTTCCTCAGAAGGTAGTGTTTTGAGCAGAGGTTGGATGGCCATCTGTTGTGGATGCTTTGAGCTGAGATTCCTGCACTGAAGGGGGTGGACTAGAGGACCCTCAGGGGTCCCTACAATTCTAGGATTCTCAGTGCCCAAAGGACCACCTCGGTGCCCATGCAACTCTGCCAGGCTGTGAAGGCAAGACTAGCCAAAGGCTCTTCTCTAGATGCCAATGACACCCGCCCCCAGCTCATTGCCCAGACCTCCACCCTGGGATTCATGGATGGTGATGCTCTGGGCTTCAGCTGCTGTTTTGACCCAACGTCTTTTATTGGTTCTGACAGGTGCAGGTTTTGTGATTTTTTTAACGTTGTTATTTGGCTGCTGGTCATTATTTTGAATGAATAAAGCAAAGGGCCGGCATGTCTTTCTCTAGTAGCTCTGGTGCTCCTGGTGAGGTGAGAGACATTTGCACCTGCAGGGATGTGCTTGGGAGGCTGTGCGTCCAAATGGCGCCAACCCCCAATGGAAGAGGAGCGGGCAGAAGAAGAAAGGCCCCCACTGCCCCAACTGGCGCCCGGTGCTTCAGGGCCGCTGCAAATTCTCTCAGCCAAGGCACCGATTCTGCTGTGTCCAGGCGCCTATTTGGATGTGGAGAACAGGAAGGAGCAGCTGCCAGGAGCTGGCTCCCCCTGCCTGCCCCCCACGGCCAGAACAAACTCTTGGCTCCCATGGCCAGTTGCCCCGGTCCTGGGGGGGGGGGATTAAGCCCCATCCATCACCAAGGGCAGGAAGAGGGAGCCGTTGCAGCTCCCCTGCCCAGCCAGGGCCACAGGGAGGGAAGAGCAGAAGGATCCTGGCAGAGGATCCTGGGCAGCTGCCTCCCCTTCCCAGCACTGTCTGCCCTGACTGGCAGACATGGCTCTCCTGGGATTTGGGGTGAGGCCCTCCCACAGCCCCACCTGGAGTTGCCCTCCGGGATGGAAGCTGCATGCAGAGCCCTGAGCTGCTGCCCTTCCCCTTCTGACCATTTCCCAGCCCCCGACACCCCCACTTCTTCCTCCTGCCTTTTCTCTCCTTGGGGCAGTGTCTCTCTCTTTTATTCCATCTGTCTGTCTCTCCACCCGCCTTTCAGTTGCCCTGAGCGGCTTTGGGAGACAATATTTGCCTGGAAAGCAGAATGAAAATAGGAAAAAGAGATACAATAGAACACTACCACCCCATGCCAGGTATTCTCATGCAGCCTAGTCAAACAGCCTGCTGCCTGCCTGGCAAGGACCCTGGGATGAGACCCCTCCCCATCTCCCTGATGGCCACCTGAGGTCTGCCCAGGTGCCCCAGGCCCTGCCAGGAGAGGGCAGCAGCAGCCCCCAGGCTAACCCATCACGCTGGGCACCACACCTGGATGCGCTCCATGCACTGCTCGGGACTCTCTGCCGAAACACACTGCAGCTCCGGCTTCAGCTGCTTGTCCTTGAAGGCCGTGGCCATCTGGCTGCATTTCCAGATCTCCTCTGTAGACAAGACGCACCAGCGCAGGAAGGGAGGCAGCCCTGTAGCCCCAGAAAAAAGAGCGGCTGAGAACATGGCAGGCCCACGGCAGGCCCAGCTCCCAGGCAAGCAAGCAATGGGTCAGCAAATCCCACGCTGAGGGTGGCAGGACTGAGATCCTGGGGGTCCTTGTGCAAAGACACTGAGAAGAAACTCGGTGGCTGCCACAAGGGAGAAAAGAGCTCCAAGCTGCAAGTGCACTCTTCTCAGAAAGGCTGCCATCAGGCAGGTGAGATGATGTGGGACTCTAACACTCATCAGAAACACCTGGAGGGCCACAGGTTAAGGAGAGCAGAATGTGGGGGGTCAGAGCATCTGGAAACAGATCAATTCCCTGGAGCACATGGACCTTGGGCGGGAAAGGTTCAGGAAAGCACCACCAAAACGGTCAGAGGGGTGCCGCTGCTCCCTTACGAGGGAAGATTGCAGCGCTGGGGACTTCTCTAAAAAGTCCCAGAGGCAAGGAAGAGGCAGCATGATAGAAGTTTATAAAATTCTGCCTGGCATTGAGAAAGTGGAGAGAGAGAAAGTTTCCTCCCTCTCTCCTCACACCAGAACTGGTGGACCCAGCCTGAAGCTGAACATTGGAAGGCTCCGGACAGATAAGAGGAAGGCCTTCTTCAGGCAGCACAGAATTCCCCTGTGGAACTCCCTCCCGCAGGAGGCAGCTCTCACCACGAAGCCTCCTTGACCACAGACACCCAGGCTAGTTTGCCTGCCCCACCCCATTGCTGACCCTCTGTCCAGCCCTTGTGGCTCTTTCTCTCCCACCCAACTCCCAGGGCCTCCCCTCCACCCAGGGGCTGATTCTGAGATAAAGGAGCCACCGCTCTTCCTTAGAGAGACAACCCCCAGGTGCCCCATACTTGTAGGGTCACAGTCCAGCCCCCGCACGACATGCATGTACTCTTCCCCCAGCCAGGCCTGGTAGGACTGCCCCTCAATGGGAACCAGCTCCATGGTGGAGTCTTTGAAGAGAAGATTCTTTCCATCATAGGCTGAAGAGTCAAACATCTGGAAATCAGCACCTTCGGTGTTAAACCTTTGCTGCAACAATGACAGAAAAGGAAGTCCCGGTTAGGAAACTTGGCTCTTCTTAACACCACAATCTCCCCCAAGTCTGCAATTGAGGGAGAAGAGCCCAGAGAAGCTCAGCATCCCGCCTTCCTCTCCATCTCTGCAGAGCAGGGGACACTGGGAGATGCAGCAGGCCATGGGGGTGGGGTGGGCACCCCTCATCTCCAGTCAGGCCAGCAGCTGAAGCAGAAGCCGGGGAGGGGGTCGGGGAGCCAGAGGGACCCACCTGCCCCTGGCTGAGCAGCTGGAAGATGAGGCTGGCATTCGCGTCCTCCCTGGCCACCACGGCGTGCGCAGGGACACGGGCCAAGTGGCAGGACCTCCACTCCGTCACGGCTGCTCTGCTGCCATCCCGGCAAAGGAGCTGGAAGTCCGTGGCCTGAAGCCCCAGCGGGATCCACGAGGGGGGAGCTTGGCCTGGAAGGCAGAGCAGAGCACAGGCAGTGACCCACATAGGCCGGGGACAGCTCCCCTCCCTGCAAACCAGGACTCCCACGGGCACCACTGAAAGGGAGACCACAGGAAACTGCGCCAAGCTGAGCAGTTTTGTCACTGTTCTTGCTTCATGCCTTTGCGTTCCATTTATTTTAAAAACTGCCCCAGGAGAACCAGAAAGGCCCTTATTCCTTCCCCAGGTGACGTTTCCCTTCTCACCTAGAGAAGCAGAGGGAATAACTCCCTCCTGACCCATAAATCCAATGTTGTTGAAAGAAGAATTCAACTCCTGGAAAGGGAGTTAGTGCCCCCTCTTCGGTCCCTCTCCCAGCACCTGCACATGCCTAAATCTTCACCCCAGAGGCCACCAGCTCCCCCTGGCAGAAGCTGACTCACCCTCGGTGGCTTCGGCGACTGTGCTGTGCTTCACAAAGGCCACCTCCCCTGCTCCGTCCACCAGGCACCTGAGGGGAAACCGAGGCACAGTCAAGGCCCCACAATGGCTGCAGAAGCACAGCATGGTGAGATAAGGCTCCCACTACCGAGAAGGCCCTCTGCCTGCTTCCCTGTAGCTTTGCTTCTCGCAGTGAGGGAACCGCCAGAAGGCCCTCGGCGCTGGACCTCAGCGTCTGGGCAGAACGATGGGGGCGGAGACGCTCCTCAGGGTTCAAATTTCCTCTTTCAACCTACAGTGGTACCTCAGGTTACATACGCTTCAGGTTACAGACTTCGCTAACCCAGAAATAGTGCTTCAGGTTAAGAACTTTGCTTCAGGATGAGAACAGAAATTGTGCTCTGGAGGCGTGGCAGCAGGAGGAGGCCCCATTAGCTAAAGTGGTGCTTCAGGTTAAGAACAGTTTCAGGTTGAGTACGGACCTCCGGAACGAATTAAGTACTTAACCCGAGGTACCACTGTATTGCACAATAAACTTTGGTCAACAGCTATTTGCTCCAGTTGGTGGCTGGAATCCTTCCTTTATCCCGCAGGGACCCGCGGGCTCTGCCTGACCAGCTGGGGGACTGAGCAGCCTCACACTTAGATTTTTCCGTAACAACCTGAATGATTGCCACTTTAGCGCAGGGTAGGGTTTGCTGCCTGCTTCAGTTGTAATGTTGCTGCCTGAAGAAGCAGCATTGATATATTCTGTGACTTTCATGTCATATAATAAGCCAAGCTTTCTTTATTCCTCAGCATTCATAGATTTCCAGGGGAACGGGCCCCACTCTCTGGTCCCCCAAAGGTACCTGAAGGCGCCCATATAGTCGTAATATTCCTCGTTGGGGCTCAGCTCACATTTCCCCCGGCCGGCCCCGTCTCCTCTGCAGAGCTCACAGAGGTTAGCTGGGTAGCCGTTTCCACTGGCTCCAGGGACACAGCTGGCGCTGAAATAGTTGCCCACGGCTGGAAGAGAAGGAGGAGTGAGGGGCTGGACCCACAAGCCAGGCCAGAGCAGCCCCCGCTGCCACCCCTGGCCCCAGGGGAGAAAGCAGCTGGAGAAGCAGCCTTGCTGGGCTCAGGTCAAGGCTGGAAGGAGCTCTCAACACAAGGAGGGACAGCCCTCCCTCTGGCCAAGAGAGCCGCCCTGGCCCAGCTCAAGGGACACACCTGTGCAGCTCACAGCCAGCCAAGGAGCCACAAAGCCCCACATGCACACACAACCCCCGTTTCCCTCTGTGCTGAGCACAAACCAATGCTGGGGAGTGAGAGTCTTCTTCTGTGTGTGCAACTGAGTACATCAGGACCCAGCATGTTCAGGGCTCTGCAGGTGATGCTGTGCACCTTCCCCGACCCCAACACACACACTGTGGGGTGGGAAGAGAACCCTCTCTCTCTGGGACTTTTGCAAAGCAAAGCAAGGCTCTGGACGTGGCAATTGCAGAGAACATGGTCAAATTCTGCACACAAAAACCTCCTTTGGCAGGACATGGGGGTGTTCCTGTGCCAGCTGCAACCCAACCACAATCCCAGTCCAGAATATTATATAAATGTACGGACATCTGTGCAACTGCTCAGAGGAGCAGTTTGACTTTCTGCAATTCAGAAGCTGGTGGCACGTCCTCAACCAGCCCTTTGCAGGCAGGCCTCACCTGCAGCTACCTCGCAGCCCATCACTGGCATCCGGCCGCTGTCACGAAGAAAGCCAATGGGGACGTTCCAGCCGGCTGTCCTGTTGATGCCCGTGTGGCACGACTTGGTCCTCAGCAAGCTGTCGATGGTCAAGTTGGAGTTTGCTCTCACAACAGCCACGGCGTAGTAGGATGTGCCAACATCTGCACAGGGATGGTGGGAAGGGGGCCTGTCAGTCTGAGGAAGGCCTTGGACCTCCAGGGCCTCAGCAGGATGGCACCCTGGATGCCACTGGAGCCCTGTCCAGTCAGCATGGCTTTTCATGCACACAGTCACTTGGCTGTTCCCCACATTTGAACCGTGCTCAGTGCTTGACTTCGCCTGCTGGAATCAATTGCTGCTGCAACTGGGAAGAGCCGTTGCCCAGGTGGGCAGTGAGTGAACTGGATTTGGCTCACAGAGATCCTGCCTCCCAGTGCTGGCCTTGCTGGACTGAACTGGCCAAGTCACTTTCTCCACTGAGTTCCTCCACACAAAATGAAAGCACCAGTGCTTCTCTTTCCACGTGGGTGTTGTGAGGCTGGATGGAAGGAAGATGGCTGTGCATACAGATTATGTGGCACTGCTCTTCCCCCCAGCACCCATGTGTTATCAGCAGAAAAGGCATTTGTGGCACACAAGTGGAGCAGCTGCTGGGTCCTGCCTGAACAGAGGGACGGATGCTGGCAACAACTCACTTACCTTGGCCATAGGCTTCTCCCACCACTGGCTTCAGGTTGTATTCCTTTCCAGCCTGATAAATGGTGCCGCCATCCACGGCTGCCACATCCGCCACACTTGCCTGTCAAGGAAATGGGAGGGCATTTTAGGTACCTGCTTGGCAGCCCCTTAGGAGGGAAGGGAGTTGCAGGCTCATGCCAAGAGACCCCTCTGCCCAGCCCAGCCTCCCTTCTTCAAGAATTTGGTAAGAGGGTAGCCATTTCCACCAGGCTTCCTCATAGCCACCAGCCCCCAAGTTTCCCTGGGGTCTCATTGAAGCCTCTGAAGGTAGTGTGAAGGTAGAGAGAGAGTTAAAAATAAGCTGAGACCACATAGTGGTCATGAAACAAGAAAAGAGTTTACTAAAGTGGAAAAAAATATGGATTTTTAAGAAAAAGAGGTGTAGCGTGCTTCCCTTTGGAGACAAATAGCAAAAGAGAACCAATGAAAATGCCCCCCATTTTCCCTGGGCTAAACATTCCCTCAGCTCAGCAGGCTCTCTGGGGAATCCTGCTCTCAAGTAGCAACACTTGGTTTGCCAATCCTGCAGCTCCCTAAGGTTTTCCTTCTCTCTCATGCAGAGTTCCACCTTGAACTGCCCAACTGCCAGGATGACGACATCTGGAGGCAACCCCCCACCCCCATCATCATGCTGTCAGTCACAGGCTCAGCCCAGTGGGATACAGAAAGCCATAGAGCCTCTCAAACAGGAGACTGACCTTTCCCACATCCACAATGGGGTTTCACCGCCTTGACCTATAACCCCCAAGGAACCACCAAGGAAGGTACGTCACAGGCAGCAAGATATGTCTGCCCATATCTCACACATCTGCACAACAGCCCTGGCTAGCAAAGTTCAGTTCCTGGCCAGAAGGAGCTGCCTTCCTCCTGGTGGCTGATCCCAGATCCTGCCCACCTCATAGTCAGCCATTTAACAACAGGGTGAATACCACAGGGAAGTTTCAGCACAGCCAAGCCACCAGCCTAGCCTGGGCTTGCTGATGTGCCTGAGGGAGGGAAGGAGGTGACCAAGGGGGAGCAGAAGAAACAAGGATTCAAAACATGAGACTGGAGGAAGAAACAGAGGCAAAGGCATCACCCTGTGCTCTGCACACCTGCCTGCCTGGCAATTAAGAGAAGCAGCAGGGAGGAAGAAGCCCGCCGCTTGCCACTTTCTCCTTCACAACGGCTGGGCAAGCCCATCTCCCAACCTCCCTGTCTCTCTGACAGCATCAGCAAAGGGCAGCCCAGCTGGCATCAGGTTGTCGGAAGGGGAAGCGGGGCAGCCGCTGAGTGCTCAGGACACAAGCCCAGCAACCCCTCTTGCTGTGGTCCCCAGCAATTCCTAACACATCCATAGGATGGTACTGCCTGAGACGCGGGTGGCGCTATGGTCTAAACCACTGAGCCTCTTGGGTTTGCCAATCGGAAGGTTGGCGGTTCAAATCCCCGTGACGGGGTGAGCTCCCGTTGCTCTGTCCCACCTCCTGCCAACCTAGCAGTTCGAAAGCACGCCAATGCAAGTAGATAAATAGGTACTGCTGTGGTGGGAAGGTAAATGGCATTTCTGTGTGCTCTGGTTTCCATCATGGTGTCCCGTTGTGCCAGAAGTGGTATAGTTCGGCTGCCCACATGACCTGGAAAGCTGTCTGTGGACAGACACCGGCTCCCTTGGCCTGAAAGTAAGATGAGTGCCACAACCCTGGTCACCTTTGACTGGACTTAACCGTCCAGGGGTCCTTTATCTTTTTACTACCTGAAAAAGAAGAGACTCTACACCCGAGGGGACAGGCAGGGCCAGAACTTCCATCCAGTCATAGCCAGAAATGTTGCCTCCCCTCCCCAACCCCAGACCCAAGCAAGTTAGACTTACATTGATCATCGATATGCAGTCGCTGGCTGAGACACCTCTCACACAAGTCAGCAGGGGTCGAATGTTGGCCCTGAAGAAGGCTTTGCTCATGTCGCTGCACTTGGCAAGCTCTTTGTCAGAGACTGTGCACCAATTCAGCTGGTCCAAGGCAAAGACTGAAAAGCACACACGTGCCAAGTGAGACAGGGAGGAACTGCTGGGGATGAGCATCTGATCAGGGCCTGTTTGTGTCCCTGGGGATTGCTGCTCTGGAAATACTCAGGGACCCCTCAGAAGAGCCCAGCAGCAGCAGCAGCAGCAGGAGGCCCCTCCTAGTCCAGCTTAGGGAGGGTCCCAAAGTGCAGCCCTCCTGTAGGACCTGAGCAAAAGGGCAGTGCTATAATAATAATAATAATAATAATAATAATAATAATAATAATTATTATTATTATTATTATTATTTTACTCCGCCTATCTTGCTGGGTTTCCCCAGCCACTCTGGGCGGCTTCCAACAGAATATTAAAACAGGATAAAACATCAAACGTTAAAAACTTCCCTAAGCAGGGCTGCCCTCCTCTTGCTGTCTTCAGCAGCTGACATCCAATGGCACAAGGCCTCCCACAGGGAAGAGAGAACCCAGCCATCGGGGTCAGAAGCCACGGACAGCCTTCTCCTCCAGGAATGCGCTTCTCTGTCTCGAAGGGTGTCATTTCCACTTGTCCATCTAGCCACGAGGGGCTGTGCTGGGCCTCCCCAGAAGGGATCTTTTATCCCAGACACAGGGACCCCGTGAGACAGGAGCCAAGCAGGGCCTACTGTTCAGCTTGGCCCGTGTCACCTGGGGGCAGAGGGGTGGAGCAGGACCCTGGGGGGCTGTATCCTCTGTAGGGCTTTGCTGCTGCCGCCCAGGGGCACAGGTGCACTCCCACCCTTTGCTTCTGAAATGGCTTCCTCAGTCAATTTCATGTGGTGAATATGGGTGGCAATTTACCACCCATGGTCACTTGTTAAGCCTCCAACTTTTCTCCTGATGTGGCAAATCCCAGGTGCCATCATGTGAGGTCGTATTCAGTTGTCCAGCAAGAGAAAATGACCAGCAACATTTCTTCAGGTTCTCTTGATGATGGTAAAAATGATGATAGGAACTTGGCCAAAGTGGTGTTTGCAGGTCGCTCCGTTTCTGTATCTTTCTGTCCCATCTTTGCAGAGAAGACAAAAGCTGAGGCCACCTGGTCCTTGCACAAATGGACCAAAGCTGAGCAAAGCCAAATGATTTAGTTTCTACATACATAATATCTCCTGGCTTTTTCCCTGGCAAGATTCAAAGTGGCTCATTTCTCCCAACTCAGCATTGTGTGGAGAACTACAGCTCAGACTGCCGCCATATTTCCACAAACAACATTCCCATCAGCAGTATTAAAACTGGGGCCCCACAGTTGCTGGAGAAGAGCTGGGTGGCCTGGGGCCTTTCTGCCATGGATGGGCAAAGAGGGGACGGACCTTCTTGCCTTTTCCCCTCCTTTTTGCTGCTGCCTTCAGCAGGATGGCTGAACGCATGGCACCTCCTGGTCTCTGTCTATGGCCCAGCAGCCTCAAGTGCTTCTGAAACTCAAAGCTTGTAGCAGAATCTTGTAGTTCAGTACAATTCCCCAAACCACAATTTGCTCTTGTAAGACTCTGCTGAATGAGGGGATGGTCAATACGGGTGGCCTTATGGAGGACTGGAACAGAGAACTGCACACAAGGCAATGGCAATCCACCCTGACAGCCGCAAGGCCTCCTTGGACCTCAACCTGCGTCTTACCCTCCCTAAGCTTGTTTTCCAGGCATCCTAGACGCCAGCTGCCTCTGTCCAAAGTGCATGGCAGCTGCCCAGAGTGATCAGTAGGATCAGCACTAAACGCCCTGCCTGGCCTTGCCCCGCAGGTGCCCTTCCCCATATTAGCCTGATCCTAGAAACATTTCTGAAGTCTTCAGGGGTCCACGCTGCGCCCCTTGTACGCCACTGTCCTGGGATTTGCTAGAGGGACAGCGGAGCTGGACCTGCGTGGCTGGTTGGAGGCCAAGTGGCTGACCTGGCAGGACTGAGCAGCTGCCCCAATCACTCTTCTTGGCCAGAGGGCCTCTCTTCCCTGGACACCTAGGGAAGGGCTCCTTTTGTCCAGCAGCATACAGAAAACAAAATGTCTCAGATCTGGGACTCCTCTTTGGGACGGTTTGCGTGAACCGTCCGTGTGGGCTCTGCCAGAATCCACATCCCCTTTGGACGCCTTCTCTCTTCTTCTTCACTCCTTTTTCACTCTTTCCTTTGATTACATGTCTGGTCTCCTTAATGGTATTATGAATTCAGCTGCTGCTATTTTGTTTCTTAGCTCTTAGTGTTTGGGTTCATTATATGTATTGTTACAAAAATTATTTAAAGATCAACCAACTGTGCATAACGCAACAAGAACAGGTTCCTGTCAGCGGCTTTGCAACTGTAGGACTGGCTGGAACTGCGAAGGCCTTTTATTTGGGCTGGGGGCCTGTGGGGGTTTCTGGCCATCTCTGCCCACCACCTCCCCCCCCCCCCCGGCCTGCCAAGAAAATGGGTGATGTGGGACGACCATTTCCTCATTTCCTGAGAGAGCTGGTGTTAAACGGACAAGCTCCTGGAAGCCAAAGTCTACCCCAAAGCAGGAAGAACAGCAGCCACTGCCCTAGCGGGTCCTTTGCTCTTTGGACAGGCCCCGCTCCGAGACTCCCACGGCTGAGCCAGAAGGGGAAAATAAGACTCTTGACCCTGACGGGTGCTCTGCCAAGGAAGAGTGGGATCAGGCCCTTGCCTCACGAGAGTACATGAGTTGGTATTCCTATTGGTATTCCTGCCAAATGAACACTTGTGTCATCCTGTTTGGATCTGTGCATCAGCCAGAAGGGCCTGTTCCCTCGCTGGGGTCTGATCCTGCTGGGCCAGAATCTCTGGGGCTGCTCCCTCCCAACTGCCCTGTCGTGGCTAGGAATTGGGCCATGCTTAAGCTAGAGAGAGGCTGTGGAAACCCCAAGAGTGGCAACCAGCCCTAAAAAGCCATGGGGTGCCTAAACCCACCATGAAAGGGGGGGGTCTTCTGGCCCAGGCCCTTCCCCCCACCTTGAGAATTCCCAAGAAGAAACTTCCTTCTCCATGGAATCTGACCCTCATCAGAGAAGAGAGTTTCAGCCTACCAGCTTGAAAGCAGAGCAGAAGGGCAGAAGGACGGGCGACGCTCTTCATGGTGGAGGAAGGGAGCTCTCTGGAAGCTGCTGCTCAGCCTTCTCTCTTGGATTCCTCCTCTGGAAAAGGAGGCAGGCGATGCCACCCTGCATGTCCCCACCTCCAGGGGGAGGGGGGAAGACTTTGGATCTGGCAAGGTGAATGACTGCCTTCAAGGAACGCCCCCCCCCCCACCTGGCAGTCAGGGGACAACAGAGCTTACCATTGCTTCACTACCACCTAGTGGCTTAGCCGATTAACAGCCCATGCAAAGGCATATCCTGGACGCTGCTGCAGCCTAGTGGACCAGCAAGGGCAGGAGGGGCTCCTGGGACCCCTGGGCAGCCTCCTCTTCTGCAGCAGATGCAGACAGAAAAGCAGCAGGAGAGGCAGCAGCTACCAACCACCAGATGAGCACCGGGGGTCCCAGACGGAAAGCCAGCCTCTGCTTGGAGGAAATTAAGGCAGGTTCAGCAGGCGGGAAAGTGCGCAGAACAAGAGAAGAGGAAGGAAGTTCAACAGATGGTAGCAGGAATCTCCTCTACCACAAGATCCCAGATAGGTGGGGGATCCCCCCCACCCCGCCTCCGCTGCTTAAAAGCCTCCAGTGAAGAAGTCCATCACCTTCTGAGACAGACTCTGCCTCACAGCTGGCACCAGCATCTTTGTGATGCCGAATTCTGTTCCTTGTGGTGTGAACCTGATGGCCCAGATCCTGCCCTCTGGGCAAAAGGAAACAAGCCCTTTGGGTGGCTTTCCTGGTGCTCTTAACCATCTCCCCCCCCCCCATTCATCCTAGGACATTCTTCAGAGGACACTTCTCGCCACACCTTCCAGACTGTTGATACTCTTCTTAAACTTCTGTGTTCAGAATTAGACAATCTAGGTGAGGTCTAACCAAAATGAACAAATGGCACCATATGCCTTCTTACAGTCAGGAGACTACACATCCATTAATGCAACCTGGAACTGCATCATGTTACGATATAGAAGCAATGCAGCCACGAGCTGCTAGCTTGAAAACAGCACATGATGGAATGTTAGGACTGTTCCGTGGGAAACAGAGGGACAGTCAACTCACAGGGCAATGCACCGGAATTAGCTCAGAGTGTAATATGAGCTCTTCCTTTTGCTCTTGTACAGGAAGTACAGGAAGTGTTTCACTCTTGACTGCTGGAGCTTGAAGAGAGCAGTCATGTTTTTTGTAACGCTGCAAAGACCGAAATAAAGGCATGTAAATACGTTTCTGTCTATCTCTTTCCCCTGCCCGGGGGGGCAGGAAAGAGGGGGGTTGTTCTTCTCACGCTGGGAAGGATCGCCTATCGCAACCTCTGCCTGGATCCTGCCGGGAAAGCAGACAGGGAGGTCAACAGGAAATCAAGCCGGGTGCCTGGAGAGTGGCCAGTTTCTCCTGATAAAGGCTTGATTCCCGACACATCAGACTTTTTTGCTGCTGCATTGCACTGCTGGCTCTACTCCTGGGTTGCTCATGCTGTGTTTGTGAATCTCTCTTCCCACCTAAAAAGTAGGACTTTGACTTTCATCCTTGCTTTTAGTATTTTACTCTGAATCTGAATTGCTTTTAATTTTGGGTGGTTGGCAACCTTGGGGGTTATTCTGAAAACTGGAATGTGTATGGGATATTCTTAGAAGGTAAATACAATAGCAGCAGTCAGGGTGGCAGGGACAGGATGTGTCCTGGCGAGCGACACATTCTTCAACAGGTTTCGGGTGGGGATGAGACAAGGGGGTTGAGCCAAAAGTGTGTGTGTGTGTGTGTGTGTGTGTGTGTGTGTGTGTGTGTGTTACAGAAGGGGGTGCAGATGGAGCTCCTGGGGGGAGCACCAGGCATGAAGGCAACAGGCAGAGGGAGGGGGGTCAGAGGGCACACATTGACTATGCTGGGATACGAGGGCAGGGAGATAAAAGAGTAAGTAGCTCAAAAGTCCTCTGGGCAAGATGTAACTTCTGGACTTTCAGAATCCTGCCTGAGGGAGCAGTTGCTGAAGGCCAGCAGGGACCCTAATCTACACTCTGGCACTGGGACCAAAAGTCGCATGGGCCTTTGTTTTTGGGGAAACTGCTGTGGGGAAAAGTTGTATGGGCCACTGTGCCCTGTGCAAGGGAGCAACAGAAGCAGGAGAGGACTGTTGTCCTCATGTGCTGCTTTTGGGCTTCCAGAAAGTGAGATGGTGGCCTAGAGGGGCCCCTTTGGGCAGATCAGGCTACAGAGATCTTCTCTTCACACAAATTTGCAAGTGTAATCTTGAGGCTGGAAGCCCAAAAGCAGCACATGAGGACAACAGTCCTCTCCTGCTTCTGTTGCTCCCATGCACAGGGCACAGTGGCCGATACACTGAAAATCTATCACTTGCCCGATAACAAATGTTGGAAATGTAAAGAAATTGAAGGTACATTTTTTCACCTTTGGTGGACGTGCCCAAAGATTAAGGCTTTCTGGGAAATGATATATAATGAATTAAAAAAGGTATTTAAGTATACCTTCCTAAGAAACCAGAGGCCTTTCTCTTGGGCATAGTGGGCCAAATGGTGTTAAAAAGGATAGAACTTTCTTTATGTATGCAACAACAGCAGCAAGAATACTCATCGCAAAGTATTGGAAGACACAAGAACTTCCCACGCTGGAGGAATGGCAGATGAAACTTATGGACTATATGGAATTGGCGGAAATGACTGGTAGAATCCGTGACCAGGGAGAAGAGTCGATGGAGGAAGACTGGAAGAAATTCAAAGACTATCTTCAGAAACACTGCAAAATTAAGGAATGTTAGAGTGATGTTGGACTGAAAATAAGTGGTTTCCAGCTGCACAGGTTAAAGTTAAGGACAGATTAAGATTAAAGATTAAGATTAAAGAAGTTTAAAGAAATGGAAATTTGATTTTAAAAGGGAATACTTTAAAGTTACAGGATTTTAAGACCAAGGATTAGGTTTAAAAAAAAGTTGAAGTTATATATTTTAACATTTTATTAAATTAAAGATTGGGATTAAAAAAGTGGAAAAGAAACTGCTGGATAAATAATGTGGATTGGAATACAAAAGAGGGAGGTATGAGGAAGTCCAGAAAATAAGTAACTTAAAATTGGAAATGGAAAAGAGAGTTTGTTATTAATTGTTTTGTGTTTATATTGTTAAGTTTTGTATTGTTTTTTGTGTGTGTTGTTTTTCTTTTTTGTTTGTTTAAAACCTTAATAAAAAATTATCATAAAAAAAAAAAGTGATGCTCTTCTAGGCTGCATCCACAGAAGTCTAGTGTCCCGACCAAGGGAAGTCATAGTCCTGCTCTCTTCTGCCTTGGTCAGACCATACCTGGAACACTGTGTCCACTTCTGGGCACCACAATTTAAGAAGGGTATTGACAAGCTGAAAATGTGCAGAGGAGGGAGACGATGATGATCAAGGGTCTAGAAGCCAAGCCTTATGAAGAGTGGTTGAAGGAGCTGGGTATGTTTAGCCTGGAAAAAAGGAGACTGAGAGGAGATAGAAGAGCCATCTCCAAATATCTCAAGAACTGTCACTTGGAAGAGGGAACTAGCTTGTTTCCTCCTGCTCTGGAGTGGAGGACTCAAACCAACGGCTTCAAGTTACAAGAAAGGAGATTCCGATTAAACACTAGGAAAAGCTTTCTGACAGTAAGAGCTGTTTTGACAGTGGAACAGTCTCCCTCGGAAGGTGGTGGGCTCTCCTTCCTTGGAGGTTTTTAAGCAGAGGTTGGATGGCCAAATGTCAGGGATGATCTAGTTGGGATTCCTGCATGGCCGGGGGTTGGACTAGATGACCCCAGGGGTCCCTTCCAGCTCTGCGATTCTATGACTCGGGCAACTTATGCTGGCCTTTGGACTATGCATGTCTCCTGCTGCCTTTTTAAAGTTTATTCAGAAAATTTCTGTTCTGCTTTAGTGTTCAATCGGTCAACAGAGGAAATTTAAAACCAAACTGAGAGATTACAGAATCACAGAACTGTAGCACTGGGAGCGACCCCATGGGTCAGTATCCTTCAGTATCATTCCTAGTTTGTTGCTATCTCCAACCATCCACTAAAAAGCTCAGCTCCCTCATTCTCTCTCTCTTGGAGGATTTGAACAGCAGCAGCAGATGGAAGCTCTTTACGAAGGACCCAGACTGCCGGCTGGGGCAACGGAAGGAAGGGGGCCAGAGCTGCGCCTGGCGAGTGGGAGAGGAAAGCTCCTCTTGCTCCCACTTCCACTGAGAGGCGGAGGGCCAGTGCAGGGGAACTGCCAGCTCCTCCGGGGCGAAGATGCACGTCCTCCTAGGAGCAAAGAGGAAACTTGAGAGTCGGGAGCTCCTGGTCCACAACTGGGGAGGGGAGGGAGCTGGGCAGCTCACAGGGCCGCCATCACCTTGGACACTGCAAACCCCCTCAAATGCGACGAGAAAGCAGTTCTCTCAGGGATCCTACAAACCAGCTGCAAGCAAAGGAGTTCTGTGTACAGCAACATAAAGAAATTCCCACAGTACAACTTTAGTTAAAGAAAGTTTAATATATATATATATATTTGTATGTATATAATATGTTTTATTATAACAAAATAGGCAGTTATTGTGGGTAAAATATTCATTAAAATCTGACTTCTAAGAACATATTTATATTTCAGACTCTGAATCGTCTCTTATGATAATCTTTCAGAATATTTTCAGAACAAAATTAATCATTCCTATATGAAGTACAAGCTTTTAAAGCACCTAAACTGTATTTGGATTCAAAAATGTAATGACCGTTACCCATTGATGATATCAGTAAGACACTCCAAATAGTCTTGTGTGTGCTAGTTTAAAAACAGGATATATTCTTGCCCCCAACAACGGCATCAGCAAAAAATGAAAAAATAGACTATAAAGAATATTCTTATGAAATTATGAAAATGGGTTTTCCCTTGTGAAATAATGGCAACTCCATTTACATTATCTTGGACATTTGAACAAAAATCTCCTATTTAACTGCCTGTAAAATAAATGTGTTGCCAACAACAGAAAACTACAGAACTACGGCCTGCAGCCAACCCCGTGAATCAAATCATGCAGGTCAAGTCACGCGTGCAAAACTGCTCACCATTTACATCATTAAGACCACTTTTCTTTTGTTAGGAAATATTTAAAAGGGTGTATATAAAGATTTGTTTTCTCAAAATCTCTGAAGGATACTTTCCCTTAAACATTAAGGAGTTTTACCACAAAATTCTCCGTTTCATATCCACACAAGCGGATCGAGCCACTGCCCTTTGACCCTTGAGAAAATGGCCGCCCGTCAGCAGCTTGTGAGAATCCACACCATTGGAACAAAAGGGGGCACTGGGAAAATGCTACGGGAGCCACGGGGGCCCATGCAGGACAAGGGCTGCCCCCAGGTGGGAAGCACGGGGGGGGGAGGCACAGCGGCCCCCGCTGGGCGGCCTTCAGAGCTTCTCCTTGGCGGGGACCCAGATGTAGGGGCTGGAGTGCTCCTCAATGACTTGCTTGACTTGGTTGTAGATTTCTTCCAATGTGTCTCCTTGCACAATAGCTGTAGAGGAGAGAAGGAGGAGGAGGAGGAGGAGGAGGAGGAGGCGGCTCTTGAGGGCCTGGACCGGCACAGCTCTTGCACCACTCCCCCCAGCACTGAAACCCCCCAGCCGCTGCCTTGAAAGGAACACAGCTGAGCAACCAACCTGTGAAATGTTCGGTGAATTCTTGCTCCAGCTTCATGGCTCTCTCAAAGGTCTTCCGAGCTTGCTCATCCGTCAGCCGCTTATTCATTTCCCTGAAATTGCAGCACAAATCAAACCAAGATACTGATGACGAGGCTCAGCCATTCGGATGTGATGTTTGAAATGAAGCACCTTCCTGCAACCCCTGGAGGGCACCATGTTGGCGACTCCTGAGCTACCCTCAAGCAGCAGCTCAGGAGCAGCAGAGTTGCTTTGCACTTCTCCAGAAGGCAGAGCCAAAAACCAGAAGAAGGAAGGACAGACATTTTGCTTTTAAAGTTTGGCTCTGTCTTCTTCCTGCAGAGGATTGGACCTTTGCTGGCTGCTTTTTTTCTCCTGCTGAAAACAGCAGGATATTATGGGTTGTGGAATACACCCAGCCCCCAGGGAAAGCTCCCTTCCCGGAGACCGTGACTGATGACCTTCCTGGAAGAGGAGGCCACATGCCGCAAGGAGGGTCACCAGAACATGCGCAGAGAGGAAAAGGTCGGAGGGGGCAGGACAAGGCCAGCTTTCACTCACATGATGTTCTCCACTGATTTGGGTTTGATGAAAACGGAGATTGGGTGCAACTGGGCGATTTGGAGCCTCTTGATTGCGTTTCCGGAGACATCGAGAATGCAGTGCTTCCCCTGAGGCATGGAGGGAAGAGGCATCTTAGAGCAGAACATCCAAGGCATCGCTGCTGGCCGACAGCTCAACCAAGCCTGTCTGCATTTTAAAGCCCGGCGGCTGAGACTGAGCACCCTTCCCCCTTAGTTTAGCTATTTGCAGACATTCCCTGGAAAGCCATTTTCTTGGGTTGGAGAGGAGGCCTGTTTGGCAAACCTATGGGGACCTGTGGCATTGCCTTAGGCAGCAACTCTAGGCCCACTTCCTCTGCAGTGTAGCGGCAAATTCAGAAAGAAGGGTCCCATCCTGGCAGCCACACCCCTTCCAGATGAGCCAATAAAAAAGAGCTCTCCCTGGCCTTGCCCAAGCTCCTCCCCGTCAGAATCACCCAGGCGCACACAGAGCCGGAGACCCTGGCCAGCTTTCTCTTTGGTTCCCTTTGGTGGAATGTAGCAGAGCTGCCTTGCTTGCGCTGCAGGGTGCCTTGGGACCCCCAAACCTTTCTTTGCTGAGCTTCCCTTTGTGACTGCCATCCTAAGACTCACAGTAACTGCATCTGGGCAGAGTTGAGTTGGAGGAGGAAACCTAAGCAGGGGAACTCCTGATCCAACCTCTGGTATTGCCCCCCCCCCCCCCCGCCGCAGATCTCGGCCAACATGCTTCAAAGGGAAATGCAAAAGCAACACAGATCTCTTTTGTGTGTGCCGACCTGCCCCTTTCTCAGAGGGACCTACAAGGCAATCCTCAGTGGCCAGTTCTGCTCCTTTCACTTGGATGGACTCCAGGCAGCACAAAGGGCATGGAAACATTTTCTCAGGGGCTTAAAAGCTCTCCTTCGAGGCTGACAGGGTGCTGGGGCCAGGAGGGACTTTGGACCGACTTCTTCTGAGTTATGGTGTGATGGGGGCAGACTCAAAAACCGTACATATCCCTTTAAAAATCACAATATTTTGGGATTTCTAAAAAGACCCAGGTAGTGCTGGGCACTAGCTTTGCTGTATAAGATCTTCAGATATTTTCCATGGCACAACTGAGGCAATGGACTGAGGGCACTGACTTCATGACATTTAGTTAATAGAGATCTTTGGGCTCAGGAGGCAGGCTCCTGAAGCGCTGAAGGTTTAGCGGAGGTCCCACAGCAAGACGCCCTTTCCTCCTTGTGAGGCTGCGTCATGACTGATTGGGGAAGGAGACCCTGGGGCAGACCGGGACCGCCCCTCATCTCCCCCAAGCAGACTTTGGAAAGAGAGGAGCTCCTTTACCTTCTCTGCCACCTCCCGCACGGACTGGACACTCGTTCCATACAGGTGGTTGTTGTACTGGCCGGCTTCAATGAACCTGTGATCCTGGATATCTTTCTCCATTTGTTCTCTGGACGTAACAAAGTGGTAATCCCGACCGTCCACCTCGTAGTCTCGCTTTGGCCGGGTCGTATCTTTGCGGAAAGAGACAGGCAGCTTTCAGACAGACAGGCAGGCAGGCACAACACACAAACCTCAACATTGACGCCAAATATGGCACCAAGCACCTTCCACTTACTGCGCACAACAGTGGGAGGAAGCAGATCCAAGGTGGGATCCTGGCACCCTACAAGTGCGTTGACCTTCAAGTGCTAGACCAGAGTCTGACCTTCACATCTAGGGCTGACTGAAGCTTCCAGACGGCCTTCAAAGGCAGCCCCATGTGGAACACAGGGCAGCAGTCCTGTCTGGATACAGGAATGAACCCGGCCTGCCTTCTCTAGATTGGCCAAAGTGGAGAGAGGGCACTGCGTCAGCCGCCTCCAGAACAGGCTGAGCCCCCCTCACCCAGCAGCCAACTACCTGCCTTGTGTGGACCAAGCCCTAGCTTGCAAAGCCCTATCTCCTCCTGCACCGAGTCCATTCCACTGCCTTCCTGGATTGACAGGAGCGAGAAGCAATGCTGGGTGTCGTCTGCACACTGGTGACGCTCCAGCAGGTTTGGAAAGGAAGAACCCAGGGATGCCAGCAGGCAGGGGGAATGAGGGGACAAATGGGGCCAGGGCTGGGGAATCTCATGGCCTCCATGGGCCAGATCCTTCTCAAGATGGGCCACATGGGCCAGATCTGACAGGCAGGCAGTGGGGTGTGTGGGTGTGCACAGCTAGCAGTCAAACGCCCCGCGGCAGCTCTGCAAAGTGCCCTTTGAGGCAGCCTCTCCCTTCCATTCACACGGCACTTGGCACCAAGAGCCTGAAGCCCATCTCCATGATTGAAGAGGCAAAGTGCCCTTTGAGCCAGCTCCCAACCCCCACCCCAATTAAAGGACAGCACTTTGCTCTGTTGCACCCTTAAAAGGGAAGGAAAAGGGCTACAATCCTTGCTTATCAGCTGATGAGGAGATTAAATCCTGCTGCCGAGGCTGCATGATCCCGTTCCCTGTGCAGGATCAAAATCCTGCCCTCAGAAGGTGCCAGGCTGGTGTGTTTGGGCAAGGGTCTAAGGCAGTGGCTTTCAACCCTGGGGTGCCTTGGGCAACACTGGCCTCTGTTCCTCTTTCTTTCCCTCCTTCCTCGGATGCCCTCTTGTGTCTCTGCCTCCCAAAGGCTGGTGCAGCTGTTTATTGCAGCAGCCCTGGCTCTAGGCTCCCCGGGCGAATGGTGCCTCTGGGTGGGGCAGCTCAGAGACCAGGGGCCCAAGGAGAGGGGAGAGGAGGCTGAGGGTGTTCGGAAAAGGGTGAGAGGCTGCCAGCTCTGCAGGCAAGGGGGGGCCTAACTGAGCCCCTGAGTCCCACAGGGGAGCTGCAGAAAGAAGGTAGTTGGTCAAGGGAGCCGTGGACTCAAAAAGGTTGAAAGCCTCTGGTCTAAGAAGCCAAACTGGGACAGGGGCCAGAGGAGCTCCCCTCCCCACGAATGAGGCAATGAAAGTGTGCTTGGACAGGGTGGCCAGCCCATGAGGCCAAGTGGAAAGCAAGTCCAATGCCAAAGATGATAATAATAATAATAATAATAATAATAATAATAATAATAATAATTTATTTATATCCCGCCCTCCCCAGCTGAAGCCGGGCTCAGAGCAGCTAGCAACAGTAAAAGTTAATACAACATTCTAAAATCATTTCATTCTAAAATCAGTTCAAATCCAATTAATGGCAAGATGCTAGGAGGATGCTGTGCCCAGGAGCTGCTCATGGCTCCTGACTGAGAAAGGGTCTTCTCTCCCCCAGGGAAAGCACTTGCGGCTTGTGCTTGGCTGGGGACTGCGTGAAAGGGCTCTTGAGGGAAGAGGCATCTCTGCTTGCAGCCAGGCAATGCCCAGAGCTGCCCAAGGGAGGCCCTGGGTGTCTCCATGCCAAGCAGGAGGACTCTGGCCCCCGCAAGGGCTCTGTACTCACTGCTGGCTCCAAGCCCAACAACATGCAACTGCAGCTCCTCGCACCCGTGCACTGTGACCCTGGCCTGCTCTTTCCCAAGCTGAAACACACTTTCTGTGCTGCTTGCCTGTGTGACAAAAGCTTCCCTGGTAGGCCTTTGCCATACATACGTGGAACGCAGGATCCGAACTCGTCAGGGAATTCGGAGATGAGGTCGTCATTGATCCGGTCTTTCATCGGTCCCAGAACAATCACAGGCCGCGTGTAGTTGACTGAAGGGGGAACAGACCCAGGAGTCAGAGAGGAAGGAAAACAACCAACAACCTCCTGTCCCTTCCCCAAGTTCCTGGGGGTCAAAGGCTCGCCTAAGCCAGCCTCCCCCCCCCCACCTGCCAGCAGGAGTCCCTGTTGGGCATTTTGCTCATTCCAGAGCTTTGCTCGGCAAGAACGCAGGTGAAGGCCTTTCCTGTGGCCACGGCCAAGTTACGGGAGACATTGATCTGACGGCTTCCCCTTCCAACGGCAGGGGCAAGGAACCTCCAGCCCACAGCCCTAGTTGGGACAGCACATGCCCCCATCCGCCGCCCCCCACTTGAGGTCCAAAGGAAGCAACTCCAGAGCAATGGCTGGGAGCTTGAAGGGAGCCCTCCGTACCTCCTTCGCAGAAGGTCCTAGTGCAGCCAAGGGCACTGGGTGCCAACCAGCCCTTGGGTGGTGTGCTTGCAAAGGAGAGCCAAAGGCCTCTGTGGCCTTCAGGGCTTTTTGTTTTATATGCAACACGCTACAAACCTTCCTGCTGAGTAACAGGCTCGTAAGACAGGACATATTCCTCTTGGCCACCTGCAAATTCAGATACACCAGTTTAGAGCTGGAATGTAGTGTCTGCGTAAAATAATACAGATGTACGCACGTATCTCTCATATATAAGACTTTTCAGGATAAAAAAACTGGTATAGAAGCCAGATAGGAAATTAATAAGCACCACTCTCTGTATATATGTGGTGAGCCACAATCTACTCTTAATTATATTTCGATTAAGGTGAGTTTATTGTGGTGATCTTAATAGGTATGCCTCAGTTTTAAGTAACATATAGCTAAAGAAGCGACTGGGGGACGCTGTTTGTCACACACTCGAACATTTCGCATGTGGCCACAGGCCCAGAAATTATGAGTGACCCCTCCTGCCACATTTCTAGAATCTTATTGAGGCTAGAAGACACAGGACTCTATGGTCAGGCGGCTTGAGAGTGCTCAGGGAGTGGAAGACTTTGGATATGATGCCTTAAGCCAAAAACTACGTAAGAAAAGAGAAAAATAAAAAAACACAAGAACAGACTGTCACTGAAATTAAACAACAGAACAACGGAGTAAATTAAGCACAAGTTTAGGCCAGCAGTGCAGCAATGCGGCTAAAAGAGAACCGGTCTCTTGCCTGGAGTGGAGCTTCCTGAGAAGCGAGGGGTCTGTGAGGATCAGCTGCTGATCCGACCCTCTCACACTCCCAGCAACCGGCCTATCCAGCAGAGCGGAGGCACCACGGAAGGAGGGGGTCCATTGCTCAGGTGCCCTGCCCAGGTAAGCTGGACTGGGGAAGAGCCCCATCGCAAGAGCCAAAGCTTGACCCCCCCAGCAGAGTTCAGGTACGCTCTGCTGCCGAATGGGCGCCTTGAGAGATGCTTCTAGCTGCAAACACAGGGAAAGCCAAGCAAGCCTTCCTAGCCAGCCCCAAAGGGAGATGTGGGGAAGGGCCCCAAGACACTCACGGTAGCTGCTTTCGCTGTCGCTGGCATTGGACGTCACGTGCTCTGAAATGGGAACAGGAAGGAGAGAATGAGGAGCTGCACCAGACCAGAAAGAATTCCCAAAGAAAAGCCATGACTTGCACTCTGCGGGGAAGAAGGCTCTCTCTCCACATTCAATGAATGTGACAGGGCTGGGGCTGGGGTGAGTGCACTCTACCAAAAGGCAAGAGGACGTCTGGATGCAGACACAGAACAAGGTGGCCCAAACCCCAGAGGAGTTTCTGCAACTTCCCAACTCCGCCTGGAGCTCAGAGGCAGTGGGAGAAGCACAGGGCACAGAGGGAGCGTCCGTTCACATCCAGGCCAGTGATGCCTCCTTGGGGATCTGCCAAACCTGCAGCGTGGGTCATGGCCAGAGGGCTTGCCACCACAAGGGCCAGATGGAGAAAACCGGTGGAGCTCAGTGGGTCAGGCTAGAAAGGCCACTGGGAGGCTGAAAGCGCTGCTCTGCCTCCCCACCACTGGTCTAAACTGCTCACACACCACCTGCAGCGATGCACCAGATCACCTGGCAAAGGCACACAGCAGGAGCTGGGAGGGGGCAAGAGGGGTTAGAAAGGGGTTCAGCAGTCTGTAGCGCGGAAGAACCTGCTGAAGCCCTCGTCCTCTGAATGCAACTTTGGCGAAGGCACAAGCATTTAACTTGTCAGGAACTATAAACGTATTTGAAGAAGACCTGGCCTAGCAAATCTTCATCTTGGAGGCATCCCCAGGGAAGGCCGCCAAAGTCACTGCCAAGTCACTGGGCAGGAGACAGGTGACTCTTTGCTTCATGGGCTAGAAAGCTGTGAGCTGCCAGCAATTACAAGCATGCAAACATCTTTTTGAGCTTTCAGAGCACTCCTGCCACACCAAGAGGTATTCCAAAGAAGGATAGATAAGGATACTCTGGAGGCACAAGGACCCACCAGGAACCCTCTTGTGTGGAGACAAGGCCAAATGGCAACAGTCAGAACTGGAAGTGGTTTCGGCTGTAGGGGAACCTCGGGACCTCTCTGTGCTGAAGGTGATTTAGTATGTGGAGGTAAGCCTCTTCTAGGTCTACAGAGGCATGAAAATTCAGACTGCAGAGCGCCCTGCCAATGAAAAGTGACTCTATCCTGAATTTTTGATGGTGGATGAATTGTTTGAGGAATTTCAGGTATAAGACTTGTTGCATTTGGGTACCATTAAAAAAGATAAAGTCAGTCCTCAAGAAACAGTCTTTGGGTGTCACTGCCTCAACAACCTGAACTCTGAGAAGATGAAGAATGGTCTCCTGCATTCTTTGTTGCTTCAGTGGAGACTTGGACATGGGGCGGAAGCAGTTCCCGTCCTGTAGCCAAACCCTAATGACTTGTGCTGTTGCAGGTCATGGAGAACTGCAGGAGTCCCCCCGCCCCCGGGGCATAAGACTGGCCCCTAGGTTGCTGTTGCTGCTGAACTTGTCACCAGGACGAGCCCATGGCAGACCCTGGAAACAGGGCCTCCTCCAGCTCTGGCAGCTGAGCAAAAATATTGCCCCTGCCCCCTAGGGCTTTCTCCGTCTGAAGGGCAGATAAGAGGAACATGGCCCTTGGGAGGAGAAGTATCTGTGAAAAGAGCGCCCATCATCCCATGACAGGAACCCTGACAGGTTTATGGATTTATGTCTATGCTCTGGGAACCGCTAGGCTGGATTACTGCAACACGTTATCAATAGGGCTGCCTCTGAAGGCAGTTCGGAAACTTCAGCTGGTCCAGAATTGGGTGGCCAAGCTGCTCTCGGGGGCAAGACCATCTGAGCATATTGCCCCTATCCTGGCCTGACTGCACTGGCGGAGTGCCTTCTGTCAGCTTCAGTTGGGGCTCAGGACCTCAACACCTTAAGAACCGCCTCTCCCCATACAAGCGGACCCAGATCCCCACTGGTCATCTGAGGCCCTTCTCTATGTCCCCGTTACCTGAGAGGTTTGGGGGTGACAGCCTGAGAACAGGACTTTTCTGTGGTGACTCCCTGGTTGTGGAACGCTCTCACCAGAGAAGCTCGCCTGGTACCATCATTACATGTCTTTAGTCGCCAGGCCAAAACATTCCTTTTTACCCAAGCCTCTGGCCATTAAACACTTTATGGTCTGTTAAAGGAGGGGAAGTTATTATGCTTATTTTATCATTATGATTTTTATTATGTGTTCTTGGTGTTGTACATCACCCTGGAATCTTTTGATAAAGGGCAGAATAATAATAATAATAATAATAATAATAATAATAATAATAATAATATATTTAGGCACCTTGTGAAAACATTTCTCTATAATCAGGCGTTTGGCTGATTAACATTCTATAGCCTTTTAAATTGTGGGAGGAGGGTTACTGGTCTATTTTTGTTTGATCATGTATTTTGTGTTCTCATTTTGCATTTTTATGTTGTGAACTTCCATGTGATCTTTGGATGAATAGCATACAAATTTATTAAATAATAGTAAAATAATAATGATGATGATGATGTTTTCTTCAGGATCAGTAAGCGCCTCTTTTAAAACATCCCCACCAAAAAGCTCAAGTCCCTCATAAAGACTTGTTGAAAGGGTCCCCCTGGCCATTGTATCTGCTGAGCCAACACCAGGGGACCCTAGAGAACGGAGGAGAACCCCCGGTGAGATCTGCGGCAGACCTGCACATGGCCAGAAACTCTAGCCAGAAAGAGGAAGCAGATCAAGCAAGCTGTTTGACAGAGGCATAGACTCCCTCGGAAGGTGGTGGGCTCTCCTTCCTTGGAGGTTTCCAAGCAGAGGTTGGATGGCCAAATGTCTAGTTGGGATTCCTGTACTGCAGGGGGTTGGACTAGATGACCCTTGGTTTCCCTTCCAACTCTACAATTCAATGACTTTTGTGCTTGCAAAACAGCGAAAGGTTTCCCAGCCTCCCAACTAAAAAGTAAATGGAAGTGGCATGACTTGGAGGAGGAGATGGCAAACAAGTGTGGAGGAAAGAGACCCTGGGAGGAATGCAGGAGGAGACAGGACTAACATTGGTTAAGAAAGTGAAATATTTAGGGGTTAACATGACTGCTAAAAATGTGAATTTATTTAAGGAGAATTATGAAAAATGTTGGATTGAAGTGAAAAAGGATTTAGAAATATGGACAAATTTGAAGTTATCATTGTTAGGCCGAATTGCTGTGATAAAAATGAATGTGCTGCCAAGGATGTTGTTTTTGTTTCAAACACTGCAAATTTTGGATAAGATGGACTGTTTCAAGAAGTGGCAGAAAGATATTTCCAGATTTGTTTGGCAGGGCAAGAAGCCTCGAATAAAATTTAAGATACTAACTGATGCCAAAGAAAGAGGTGGATTTGCCCTGCCAGACCTTAAACTTTATTATGAATCAGCTGCTTTTTGCTGGCTGAGAGAATGGCTGCTTCTTGAAAGCACCGAAGTGTTGGATCTAGGTTTCAATAATGTATTCGGTTGGCATGCATATCTGTGGTACGATAAGGTAAAAGCACATAAAGCGTTTAAAAATCATATTGTTAGAAAAGCATTGTTTAATGTCTGGATAAGATATAAGGATTTGTTAGAAAAGAAAACCCCAAGATGGTTGTCGCCAATGGAAGCGAAGGCACAGAAAAACTCAATATGGAGGCCAAATGGCCGAAATATTGGGAAATTCTGGAACAAGATGGAGACAGATTAAAATTGCAGAGCTTTGAAAAATTGAAAAACAGAGTGCGAGATTGGCTCCATTATTATCAAATAATGGAGGCATATAATCTGGACAAAAAAGTTGGTTTCCAGGTGGAAAAATCAAAATTGGAAACAGAATTGTTAGATCCAAAAAACTAAGAATTTGTCAAGAATGTATAACTTGCTGTTGAAATGGAACACTCAGGATGAAATGGTGAAATCAGCTATGATTAAATGGGCACAAGATGTTGGACATAATATAATGATGGCTGACTGGGAACAGTTATGGACCACAGGTATGAAATTCACGGCATGTAATGTCCTAAGAGAAAATTTAATGAAAATGATTTATAGGTGGTACATGACACCAGTCAAGCTTGCAAAAATTTATCATTTGCCCGACAATAAATGTTGGAAATGTAATGAGACTGAAGGTACATTCTTTCACCTTTGGTGGACGTGCCCAAAGATTAAGACATTCTGGGAGATGATCTATAACGAAATGAAAAAGGTATTTAAATATACCTTTTTGAAGAAACCAGAGGCCTTTCTCCTGGGCATGGTTGGCCAATTGGTGTCAAGAAGGATAGAACTTTTTTTATGTATGCAACAACAGCAGCAAGAATGCTCATTGCGAAGTATTGGAAGACACAAGATTTACCCACCCGGGAAGAATGGCAGATGAAGTTGATGGACTATATGGAATTGGCGGAAATGACTGGCAGAATCCGAGACCAGGGAGAAGAGTTGGTGGAAGAAGACTGGAAAAAGTTTAAAGACTATCTACAGAAATACTGTAAAATTAATGAATGTTAGAAAAATGTTGGAATGAAGTTATATGGCTTTAGTAGAAATGTTATAAGGAATTAAGTATAAATAGATTAATAGAGTATTAAAGGGAAAATAAGGTTAGAATCTGTTAAGATAATTAAAGGATAGAAAAAAGAGGAAGATGGAAAGGAATTGCTGAAACAATTAACAGAAGTGGAAAACAAAAAGGGAGGTGTGAGGAGGTCATTGAAATAAGTGAATGAAAGATAAGATATTGAAATTGTTTGATGTGTTTTAAACTGTTTTTGTTTTGTTCTGTTTTGTTAGTTTAATGTGTTATGTAGTGTTTTTGTATTGTTTTGTATTGTTCTTTTTTTTCCCCTTTCTTTGTAGTGTTTAAATTGTTGGAAAAAGTAATAAATATTATTTTCAAAAAAAAAAAAAAGAGAGAGACCCCGGGAGGAGTGAGCCTGGGCCCCTGGAGGAGGAGGAGGCCTTTCCTTCTGTCTCGGTGAGGACGAGCTGTGAGAGGAGGGTCTCAGGGGACTCTGGGAAGAGGGTCACTTACTCAGGCCTTTTGATCCCATGTCTTCAGGGATCTCCTGCAGAGAAGTTCCCAGAGGGCAAGCAATAAAGAGACAATCACAAAGAAAATAACCGTCAGTAGCATATCAATGAGGGGCTACGGCAAGGTGGTCCCAAGAGCGTCCACAGGGGTCCAGGGGGGTGCCCAAAGCTCAGCCAGAAACCCATTTAAGGGCAGCACTTACACCTCCTGTCCCTCAAACCCACCTCTGAAAGCCAGAGGCCGCCTGCCTTTTAGCTGCAGCCAACAGAACTCGCTGCCCCCCCCCCAAATCAGCTGCGGAAGGAGAGCTGGGCCAGCCCCTCCCTGAGGATGGTGGCATCTCTGCCCCTGTGGCAGCTCTTGGGACCCCTTCAAGGCAAGGCCACGTCTGGCACGCAAGGCAGGCCCCCCGGCACATCCGCAGCTGGCGCTTGCCCTGCCCCCACCCACATACTTACGGTCCACATCACTGGTTTCTTGCTCACTCTGGTCCTTGTTCTTGTAGAAGGGAAATTTTCGGGAAAAGAGGTTCTTTTTACGCTTGTCATTGAATGACTGCTGAAGAAGAGAAGGAAGGAGGGGCAAAACAAAGGAGGTCGAATGTCCAGTGTGTCACAGAGGCCCAGTCCAGCAGCTTGGCGGAGGCCGACTTCTAGGACCACAACATGCAGCAGTGTGAGGCTGGCTGGATCCCCAGCCCTTCCTAGGAGGAGAGGGGGCAGCTCCCAGGGGGTGGCTGGAGCCAGGGCTGGGGCACGGAGGGAGAAGGGCCTGGGGAGCAAGCGGCCGGCTCCATTCTGAGGAAGCGCTGGCTGCGGGGAGGGGCTCTGTCTCTGCAGGCTCCCCACACTAGCCCAGGCACCAGCCCAGGCAGGCCGCCGGATGCTGCTGGCAGGAGTGGGAAACAGACCCCCTTCAACTGCTCCTTAGGAAGAAGCAGGAAGCAGCTGCAGGGACCTCTTGCAACACAGACTTTCTCAGAGCAAGTTGTGGGGTGGCTCTCCTCTGCAGAGGGCTCCGCGGCAGAGCATCTGCTCTGAGTCCAGAAGGGCCCAGGTGCTACCCCCAGGATTTCCAGGCAGGGCGGGAAAAGGATCCCTGCCTAGTACCCTGGAGCTCCTCTGTCAGTCAGTGCAGACAATACTGAACTGGGTGGACCACTGGTCTGACTGGGCATAAGGCCGTCTGGTGTGCTCTTCTCCCTGTACTCTCTGAAACTCTGGCTGAAAGGCAGTCTATGCAACGGAGACAAATAAAAGGGAGCCAATGTAGCCACCTCCATCTTCTCAGGAAGGTTTCCGGGGCATTTTCAAGGTCAGATGAAGCCACAGCCAGAGGCACAAAGCAGCCTGAGTCGTGATATCAGAGCCGGAGAGGGAAATCCACGTGGCTCATAATCCAAGCACCACAAGCACAAGGGGTCATTGAGACCCCCCCTCAGCCACCTGACCCCACACAATGCATGAATATCCAGAAGGACCAGGGACCCTCAGGGGCTACAGCACAAAGAGGATGTCAGAAGCAGCCCAGCCCTCTGGATCCCAACCGCTGGCAGCTCAAGCCAGCATGGTCTCTTAGCTGCCACCGAAGTCCAGCAGACCCAAATGCCGTGGGACCTGCCTGGGCCGCGTCTGATCTCCTCTTCCTGCTGCAGCCACCTGCTGCGTGTCCCTGGTGGCAGCGGAGGAACGGGCAGGGCAGAAGAGCCACAGCTGAAACTCGGGGTTCTTCCACTGGAGCCCCCCTTGGGAAGAAGCTGCTCAGCCTCAAAGCGAGCCAAGCCCTCTCCCCAACACCTAGAGAATCATGGAACTGTCAAGTTGGAAGGGACCCCGAGGGTCATCTAGTCCAACCCTCTGCAATGCCAGCAAACTGCTGCAGGAGCTCAGTTTAGTCAAGCAGAGCACACCATGAACCTGCTCTGTTTGTAAACCGTTTGGACTGGAAGGCCCAGGGCGCAGCTCCCCACGCAAATGCGCCTCCCTGGTAGGAGCTGCCCAAGCCTCTACCTCTGGGAGATCAGGGTGCTGCAAGGCTCCTTCTGGCCAAGAGGGACACAGTGGGGCTCTCCTGTCTCCCAGACAACAGCCATTTCCTGTTGTGCGGAGTCCGGAGAGCAACAGCCCCACCTGCTGCATGCTGAGTGGTTAGAAGTCGGCTCCAATAGCAAAAAAACAAAACATGGTTAGAAGTAATTATGTTTTGATTTGCAGAAAATATCAGCCATGTGTTTTTAAGGCTCTTACAGGCAGGAGAGTCTTGTTTTTAGTACTAAGAGTGTATTAACTTTATTAAGCTCTCACAGCCTCTTTGCAGAATTGCATCATTAGTACAAATGGGTTAGAAAAGGAAGCAGAAAAAAACCCCACAGGGTAGCGGCCGCTCGACATTCTCCTCTTACGCCGGGTGCTCAACGCGGCATAAGCTGATTTTGCCCAGGCAAAAGGACAAGCAGGTCAGTGGCTGATGCCTGGCATAAAAGGGTGGTCCTTGGCAGGACTGTTTGAAAGAAGAAGAGATGGAGGAGGGAACAAGCACAGCAGCTTCAGTTTTCAACACCATCAATTTTGCCTCCTTCTGCTTTGCCATGTTAGGTGCTAGAATTAAGACCAGGCTGCCACATTCCCGAGGCAAAGTAGCCCCTGCCAACAGCAAGCATGCACAGAGTTCCCAGGAAGGTACCAACAAAGAGGAGGAAAGGGGAGGAGAGAGACAGAGAAAGAGAAAGAGAACTGGCAGGACAAGAGGAAGGCCGCCCTCTCGAGAGGGCCATGTTAAGAGGAGGGAAGACAGACAAGACGGGCAGTTCTCTCTCAATGGCAAGCGTAGTTTGGTTTCCACTCAGGGGTCATGCATGGGTCTGGTGCAGTGTTAGGACATGGGAGCCGTGTGCAAACTTGGCAACAGTCAACATACAAGGCTGTGACTCCAACACAACCAGTTTTCAAAACGGCACGGGACCCGGGCTGTGTGTGCAGGCTGCACGGAAACAAATGCAACACCCAAACTCTGTGAGCTGCCCCAAAGGCCCATTTGCACAAAGCGGTATTTGGCTGCACCAGGTGACTAAATGTGTTCTGCTCTTTCTTGCCATAGGGTTAGGACACCCCCCCCCGCCCCGTCCAGGGCCTGAGGCTTCCCCAGGCACAAGGGCTGAAATGTGGCTCTGGAAAGGAGACCAGGGAGACCCCTCGGCTCCAGCCCCACATCCTGCAGCTTCCCTGCCCTCCCGCACACACAGCCCAGCCTGGGACCAGCCCCGTTCCAGCACCAGTCTGCTTAAACCCATCCCAGTGCATTCCCAACAGTTCCTTTTCACACAAAGTGTTCAGTGCATACATTTCATGGGGGCGTCTGTAACAGATGTCTGTTAGAACAAGTCACGGAAATATTTTTTTAAAATAATGTTGCTGGTGTGTTAATTTGGAGTCTACTGTAACAATCTGTTCTACCCTTAAGATTTTGGTATTTCACACAGCTTTGTGAAAAGAGAAACATGGCTGATGGTCCACCGAGTCTCCTCCCCTCAGCTGCTCTTCCTCTCTGGTCAGCTGGCCTGCTCCACCCTCTCCTGACTCTGCTCTCCCCTTCCCTGCTGCCTCCCAGCTGCCCACAAGCATGTGGTTACGTACCTTCAAGGCTGTCTCTGGGCACCCAGGGGCGTCAAGGAAGGAGCCAGGAAGCCACAGCCTTTCCTCATGATGCCCCTTCAAGGGACAGACGCCAGGTGGTCCCACAAAGTAAACAAAACAGCCAAGTGCACAACATTCCATGGACCATCTATCCATCCATCCATCTCATGCGCTTTCACTCCAAAAGTCTTTTGACTTGAGTTGTCTTGGGTGGCCCCTGGGTGACCAGAATCTCCTGATTCTAAAGCTGTTTTTAACGGAGGATTTTCCAGAGAGGAACAGACCAGGAATCCTGACCAAGCCCCTTATTCTCTTGTTCCCCAGTAGCCAGTCCTGTACCCTGACAGGAGGCCTGCAAGCGGGGGCCAAAGGCAACACCCCCGCCTTCAGAAGCAGGTCCTAGTGGTTCCTTTGTCCCCACTGCCAGCCACCGAGAGGGCTCTCCTGCTCTACCCTGGATTTCTCTAGTCCTGTCTCCACCTAGGAGATGCCAGACTCACAGGGCGCTGAATCGCTTTCCTGGCCAGTCACCCCACCAGCCTGTAGGGGAAGTGAGCATGCAAGGCTTTCATTATGACAGAGTTTACAGTAGCAACAGCGTAAAGAGTCCAAACTCACCCCTTTGTCACCTCTTGCTTTAGAGTTGAATTTCACTGTCTTTAAACGAGCTCGTTCCTTCTTCTCAACCCTGCCAGAAAAGCACAAAAAGATTAGTGCATCTGCAGCACCTGCGCTCTGTGCTAAATCCCGCTGCACCCCATGGCAGAAGCTGGTGTGGGGGCAATCTGGAAAACACATGGGCCTTGGAGGGAGGCCGCGGGAGGCATTGGCCAGCTTTAGCCCGAGTGTCAGGGTAAAGGGGCCTAGAGTCGATTGCCTTCTTTGGGTAGCAGAACTGAATGGCTGCTGGAGGGGTCAAGCCACCTGTTGGGGGGAGAGCCCTAGCCCTCTTGCAAAAGGTGGCTGCAGCAGCAGGGAATCATTCCTGCAACCTTTGTTGTCTTCTCCAAGTCTCATCAGGGATGGGAAGGCCTTGGTGGCAAGTGCCAAGAGTGGCAGCCTCAGACACCAGACCAATATAGGCTGGCTGCTGGAGTCAAGGAACACGGCCAGTTCCAACCAAGCAGCGGTGCTCCTGGTGACCTCTGCTCTTCCTGCCAGGGGGCAGTGGAGGTTTCTTCCCAGCGCACACTGCAGCTTTAGAGGAGAGGCTTTGCTCAGGACAGTGAGAGGGGAGGAAAATGCTGGTTTGTTTTGTTTTAAACCTGCATGTTAAAGGCTAAGACCCACTTGGGTCTTACCTAACCTAGAGTTAGATAACCTAGCATGCTAACCTAGACTGAGTATTTTGGCTGCTGGAGCCCCATGTGAGTTGCCATGGAGGTCCCTGGAGCAAACCAAACATGCCCTCTTGCTGGCAGGAACACTGCAAGATATCAGGGGCACAAGCCCAACTGCCGAATTATGCAGCCGCCACAATGTGGAACTGGGAGGGGGCGCACCTCTGTGCTACACCTGGGAAGCATTTTAAAACACTTAAACATGTCTGCAATAGGGAATTTGGTTTGGATGCATAGGACAGAAATTAAGAGTCTTCAAGGCCAGAATCACAGGAAATGGTTTCTTGACATCTTATGTCATATTTGTCAACTGTAGGTAGAACTATTTGATTATAGGGGCCTGACAAGGTAGCTATGGGAGTTGCAGTGAAGAACAATTCCTGCTACTCCCCAGAGGAGGAAGAGGAGTGTGGTGGTGACACAGGACTCCTTACTGGGGGGGCAAAGGCAACAGGTTGCCCAGGGAGGTGTGCTGTCTTCCAAGATTCACAACAGAGAAGTTGCCGTGTCTCAAAAAGCCTGCTGACCACAACCCCTTCCTTCTGATTCATGGGGGTACAAAAAATACTGCCAGATACTGCCTTCGACATCTAGCAAGGCTCTGTGAGACTGTGGGCAGGAAGGGGGAGGGTCTTGGGGCACAGGTGGTCTTCTCAACACTCCCTCTTGTTGAAGGTCGTGGCCCAGGAAGAGAGGAAAACCCCAGCAGGAAAGAGAGAGCTACCTGCGCTTGCTGGGGATGACGCCAACCTCGTCCCTCTCGCCATCTGGCATCACCGGCCGTGCCTGCCACCACTCATCATCAGATGCGTTGATGACATGGAGGATGTCGCCAAATCGGAAATTCAGTCCCTGGCTTGGGAGGCCACTGTCTTTTGTCTTGTCGTAGTCAAAGAGGGCTCTGGAGGCACAAGGGGAGCGCATTTGATGAGTAAGGAAACAAATAATAATATAATATAATAATAATAATTTATTATTTGTACCCCGCCCATCTGGCCGGGCCTCCCCAGCCACTCTGGGCGGCTTCCACAGAAACCAAAAAACACTAAAATATCACATATTAAAAACTTCCCTGAACAGGGCTGCCTTAAGATGTCTTCTGAATGTCAGGTAGTTGTTTATCGCTTTGACATCTGATGGGAGGGCGTTCCACAGGGTGGGCGCCACGACCGAGAAGGCCCTCTGCCTGGTTCCCTGTAACCTTGCTTCTCGCAATGAGGGAACCACCAGAAGGTCCTCGACGCTGGACCTCAGCGTCCGGGCAGAACGATGGGGGTGGAGATGCTCCTTCCAGTATACTGGGCTGAGGCCGTTTAGGGCTTTAAAGGTCATCACCAGCACTTTGAATTGTGCTCGGAAACATACTGGGAGCCAATGTAGGTCTTTCAAGACCGGCGTTATATGGTCTCGGCGGCCGCTCCCAGTCACCAGTCTGGCTGCCGCGTTCTGGATTAGTTTTAGTTTCCGGGTCACCTTCAAAGGTAGCCCCACGTAGAGCGCATTGCAGTAGTCCAAGCGGGCGATAACTAGAGCATGCACCACTCTGGCGAGACAGTCCGCGGGCAGGTAGGGTCTCAGCCTGCGTACCATGTGGATTTGGTAGACAGCTGCCCTGGATACAGAATTGACCTGCGCCTCCATGGACAGCAGTGAGTCTAAAATGACTCCCAGGCTGCGCACCTGGTCCTTCAGGGGCACAGTTACCCCATTCAGGACCAGGGAATCCTCCACACCAGCCCGCCCCCTGTCCCCCAAAAACAGTACTTCTGTCTTGTCAGGATTCAACTTCAATCCATTAGCCGCCATCCATCCTCCAACTGCCTCCAGGCACTCACACAGGACCTTCACCGCCTTCACTGGTTCTGATTTGAAAGAGAGGTAGAGCTGGGTATCATCTGCATATTGATGGACACCCAGCCCAAACCCCCTGATGATCTCTCCCAGCGGCTTCATATAGATGTTAAAAACCATGGGGGAGAGGACGGAACCCTGAGGCACCCCACAAGTGAGGGCCCAGGGGTCTGAACACTCATCCCCCCCCCCACTTTCTGAACACGGCCCAGGAGGAAGGAGCGAGACCACTGTATAACAGTGCCCCCGGCTCCCAGCCCCTCTAGACGGTCCAGAAGGATGTTATGGTCAATTGTATCAAAGGCCGCTGAGAGATCCAGCAGAACTAGGAAACAACTCTCACCTTTGTCCCTAGCTCACCGGAGATCATCAACCAGCGCGACCAAGGCAGTTTCAGTCCCATGGTGAGGCCTGAATCCCGATTGGAAGGGATCCAAATGGTCCGCATCCTCCAGGCGTGCCTGGAGTTGTTCAGCAACCACGCGCTCAATCACCTTGCCCAAGAATGGAAGATTTGAGACTGGGCGATAGTTGGCCATACTGGCCGGGTCTAAAGATGTTTTTTTAAGAAGCGGTTTAATGACCGCCTCTTTCAGCGGATCTGGGAATGTTCCCTCACAGAGGGAAGCATTCACCACCCTGCAGAGCCCATCGCCCAGCCCTTCCCGGCTAGCTTTTATTAGCCAGGATGGGCAAGGATCAAGGAGACAGGTGGTTGGTTTCACGCGTCCAAGCAGCCTGTCCACATCCTCAGGGGTAACGGATTGAAATTGATTTCATGCAACTTGACCAGACAGGGTTCTAGCACTCTCCCGCCCCAGCCCTGCTCCCACGGTGGTGTCTAGCTCCTTCCGAATATGAGTGATTTTATCTGCAAAAAACTTTGCAAAATCGTTGCAGGAGATCTTGGGGTCTTTACAAGGCCCCGGTGGTAAAGGTGGTTCCGTTAAATTGCGAACCACCTGAAAGAGTCTCCTGCTACTATTTTCTGCAGATGCAATAGAGGCGGTGAAGAAAGTCTTCTTCGCCGTCGCTATCGCCACTTGGTAGGCTCGACGTTGAGCTCTAACCTGCGTCCAGTCAGATTCAGAATGAGTTTTCTGCCACCGACGCTCCAGCCGTCTCAGCGATTGTTTCATCGCCCTCAGCTCCGAAGAAAACCACGGGGCTGTCCGTGCTCCATGCAATCGGAGAGGGCGCTTCGGAGCCAGTCGATAGCCCTGGTTAACTCCGCATTCCAGCAGGCCACCAGGGAATCGGCTGAAAGGCCATCAACATGGGATAAAACATCCCCTACCACTCTCTGGAAACCGTTTGGATCCATTAAGTGGCGGGGGCGGACCATCCGAATTGGTCCCACCTCCCTGCAGAGGGGAAGGGTCGCGGAGAAGTCCAGTTGCACCAGGAAGTGATCTGACCATGGCACTTCTTTGGTTTCACTTTTACTTAGTGTCAGATCACCAACATCCATAGAGGTGAACACCAGGTCTAAGGCATGCCCGTGGCTATGAGTTGGGCCAAACTTATTCAGGGACAGCCCCATGGAGGCCATGCTTTCCACGAAGTCCCGAGCGGCCCCTTGTAAGGTCGTGTCGGCATGGATATTAAAATCCCCTAGGACAACCAAGCTAGGTGTCTCCAGGAGGACATCCGCCACGACCTGAAGCAGCTCGGACAGGGAATCGTTGGTGCAGCGGGGAGGTCGGTACACCAAAAGGAATCCTGTACTGCCCCTATTGCCCAACTTCCAGAACATGCACTCAGAAAACTGGGTCTTCCCAACAGGACGCCTGGTGCAAGTTAATGACTTCCTAAAAATCACTGCAACCCCCTCCTGAAACCTGGTGGGCAAGCAGCGGCAAGGACAGGCCCATCTGCTTCCTCCAACCAGGTCTCTGTCACACATGCCAGGTCAAATCCTCCATCCACAATCAGGTTGTGGATGGCAGTGGTTTTATTCATCATTGACCTGGCATTACACAGCAACACCTTCAGGTCATGTGGGTTTCCCCTGTTGATTCCAGTATCCATCCGGTCAAGGCCAGACCCGGAGGCAGGGATAGTCTTCAAACAACGACTAAACCTGCCTCCTCGGTAATGACATGGTCTGGTCTTAGCGTAACTCTGCCTCCTGCCCATGATCACTGAGATCGGATGTCCCAGTGCTTCTCCCCCCCCCCGCCCCCCGTGGAACTTGTCCCAGCCATCGTATTGGCTGGGGCCCCACTCCCAGGCAGCCCTGATCCCGCCCCTTAAAAACAAAACACAAACTATACAGAACCAATAAAACAACAAAAAACAAAAACAGAACAATTATACTAAAATTAATCCCCAACCAAATATCCATCCCACCCACCCACCCCCCAACAAAGGAAAAAAGGGGGGGGAAATTAAATTGCCACCGACTGCTTGAGGACATTTTAGAACACATTAACCACTTGGAACAGGGAAGCAATGGCAGAACACTTCCCACACTTCCCCAAAAGTTTGTTCCAAATAAGGGCCTGGGCCACGCCCCCTGGGCCAGTTGGAAAAGGCCCTGGAAGGGAGCAGGCCCTGCAGTCCTCCCCACAGCCGATGGTCCCCACTGGCAAGCTGTCATCACTTGTCTCCCTTGGAACTGCCTTGCAGTCAAACTGGGCGGTGGCAGAAGAGGAGCCCAGTCCTTCTCCTCCAGCAGCTCCGCCTTGATGCCGGCTGTGTGTGAGCAAGCACCTCCCTCTCCCCAGGCACAAGGTCTCTAGCGCTGAGCCCCCTTGTGCTCCTGGCTCTCTCTCTGCTCTGTCGGAAGGGGTCCAGGAGTCGCCCAGGAAATAACTTACAATTCTCCTCCTAATGCACTCAAGTGTTTAACAAGCCTCGTGGCTCCTCCTAGACCAACACACTCACTGCAGCATCAGTGCTCATAGACCAGACAGAACTCTAGTCTGTGGCAGCTTATGCCATGATACATTTGCTCAGGACCCTTTGTTATTGCTGCAAAAGACAGATCTGGCTATTCCACCTTAGTCATGAGACCTTGTTGTGGTTTGACATTGCTACTTTTAAGTCTATTAACAGCTGCAAAGATGGAAAACCCAAGAGAGAAGAAACCATTTATTCAAAAGCCCAAGGAGTTTCAGAGAAATTTGTCAAGGCATCATTATGAATTAACATGGTGTAGTCCTCCTCTTGCTGATCAGAAGCTCAGTCTTATGGACATGAAGCACAGGGTTTAATTTGCACCCTACCAGCACCAGCAGGACAAATAGGCCTGTCCCCAAAGATTTGACTTGAGCCTCCTGTCCTTGCCTGGAGACTTTCACCCCGTCACCCATGGAGGGAAGGACACTCAAGACCCAGCCGACCAAACAAAGGAGCCAGCAGTCCAGGCAACTGTTCAGCCACTCTGAGAAGAGGGTGCTGGACTAGATGGGCCAGATTCAGCAGGCTCCTCTGGTGTTCCGGATGTCAGCATTTTCATTCTCCCGTTGCTGGATATGTGATTGTTACATCACATGTCTGTGTTTATTTTCCAGGCTTGGAAAGTGTACTTTTGTACTTACTTACTTTCTCTCTCTCTCGCTCTCTTGGAGAAGATGTGTGAGGACGCCATGATTGCTTTGTTCTGTATATATTGCTTAATAAATTACTTAGAACGCCACACCTAAGCTCCACATCGTTTCTGCTCTACTCTGCTGATTGAGTGTGCACATATCTTCGGATATGCGTCGCTGGTGCACACCGGGACTGAAAAGTTATGGATGTCCCGGGCTGCGCTTCATCAGGAAGACGCCTGGAGAGGTTTGTCTTGGTCCGTGGTCCCCTCTTTACGTACCAGGCAATGAGAGAATGGGGCAGTTGAGCTTACAGAAGTTTCTGACAGGCAGGTGGCCTCCCGCATCTGCAGCTGCTCTGACTGTTCAACAACATCAGCCGCCAACCACCGCCTCTCCTTCTCCCCAAGAGAAAGGCAGAATGCCCCCCTCACCCTCTTGCAGTCAGCTGCCCTTTTGACAAGCCTCCCGACTTCAGCAATGGAGGCTGCCTGCCAGTGGCCCTTCCTCAGCAAGCGCTCTGCCCGGGAACCGCTAAGCTGCAAGGCAACTAACCAGCAAGCCCTCCAGTCGGTCAGCTCACCCTCCTCCACCTCCGTCCATCATGGAATCCCTTTGGCCACTGCTAGCTCTCCATAAGCCAACTTGCCATTCTGGGTGACAGGCAAAGGTGCAACCCTGGTCAGCAATTCTGCCCCTTGGGGAGGTCACAGTGCAACACATGCCTGCAGAACCAGAATTCTGGGAGACACCTGCTGCCCTCCTAGGTGCATGCCAGCAAACCTTGGCAACTTCCTCTGGGATATTCTTGAACTTGAAAATTGCATTCAAGCAAGAAAGCCAATTTTCCCAAGACCATTTGATTGCTCCAAGGTGACTGAGCCAACCACAAAGAAAGCGCCCAGCAAAGCTGCATCCTGTGCAGCCGCCACAGTCTCCGCATCCTCTGAGGAACAAGCCCAGTCACCAAAGAGCAGCTCCGGGGCAAGTCCCACCAACTGGCTCAGAAGGCAACTTACCTGACATAGAGAGACCGTTTCTGGCTTGTCCGCAGGGACCCTGACCCCGAACTGATGCTGCTGCTCATCATCTGCTCTCGCAAGTCGTGTATTTTAGCTTCAAAACGGCTGTATTCTGACAAACAGAAATGAAAACCAGTCAGCATCTTGGAACCCGACAACAACAACAGCTGCTGCTGCTGCAAAGTGTGCTCCCTCCAAAGGCTTCAAGTTCTGCTGTGTTTTCCACAGTCTAGATTTTGTGACAAACGGTGAAGTCTCTCCAGCACTCTTTCTCTCCCTGGCATAAAACCAGAATTTTAACTCTCTGAAAATGTGCACACCACATTTCAATTGAAGTGGCTCAAAACAAAATGGTTTAAACCCACAGTATATATAAAACAAAATATTAAAAATAAGCACACACCCAAGTCCCCAGAGCCATGCAGAATTACAATATGGAATTCCAAGACAGGACCCAGCACTGCCCAGAATGGGCAGACTTCAGGCTTGCTGGATCTACTCTGCCCTTTGCCAGAAGAGCCGTCTGCACAAGGCAGGACAACTAGAGCACAAAAGGGCATTTTGAGCCTAGGACTGAACTGAGCTCATCGCCACAGTCCGTTCTGGGTTGACTTTATTCATTTCAGTAGCCTAACGTAGCTTGAGAAAGCTGTTTGTTGTTGCTATTGGTTAACCAGCTGGGAGTCAGAAACCCTCCTTGCCGATCTACTGGCAGATCCCAATTACCTTCTGCCGACCACCAGCTCAACAAGCTACCCCTACCCCCCAGGTATGCCTGCAGGGAACATGCCTGGCAAACGTCTGGGGGAGAAAATTCCCCTCTCTGGATACCAACCACCAGACCACTGTCTGTGGCAACAAGACAACACCAGAAGCACCACGGCTGCTTCTAAGCAAGGAGAATCCTTTGTACAGCATAGCACCAGGGGTTCTGTGAACACTTCCTGGCCAGCCAGCCAGAGCAAGGAGCCGGCAAAGGGCCCTTGCAGGGGCAATTTTGGCAGAGATTTTTTGCAACGACTTGGTTGCCACCTGCAAGAAAACACTCCAGCTGCATCTCCCTCCTTCCTCCCACTCTAATCTGCACTAACTGGATTGCCTTCTCCAGCAAGACAAAGCCCCGACCAGGGGCCCCTGCTAACCCTGGCAGTGCTGCGTTTGCTCGTCTGATCTCATGGCGCTCTCTACTCACATGCCTCTCTCCAGCTGACGGGTCCAGCCAAAGCAAGCCAAGCACCTTTCACTAAAGCAGCCAGGAAGCAGCAGAACTCACGGCAGCTCTGCTTCTCAGTCCTCCTGGGCAGAAGCCACACCTCCGCCGTCTCTGCCTGCTGCCCACGTGACTCGGATTAAAGCCAGTCCAAGCTGGGAGCACATGCAGAGCAAGGGAAGGGGGGCCCATCAGGACCATCACCTGCTCCAGAAGGTGCAGAGAGGCTTGTGCCAACGGCAGCCTTGGCAACCCTGACTTCCTCCCCCACCCTCCCACACAATTGGCTGCAGAGTCCAGATCACGATCCCATCAAAGAGAAACTGGACATCTCTTGAAAGAACACAGTGGTCTCTTTCATACAACGGCCAGAAGGAAAAATCAGCAGTGAAGGTCGTAGGCTTGGATGAAGAAACACAAAGCACCCCTGGGAAAAAGGCAGCCCGGGTGCCGGGAGGGGCTTCCATGCCCAACTCACCCAGCCGCCTGCCTGCTGCTTCTGCCCCGTCACTCCACGGCCATTATGGAAATGGCACACATCCAACTTGGGCGCACGGCGACAAGCAGCTCCTTCCTTCGCCAGCAGCGCCACCTGCTCTGCTGACAGTGGCTGGACTCCCAGAAGAGCCAGACCAAGGGGCCAGGGGCTTGGCAGCCTCCTGCAGGGAGATCAGCAAGTGGTGGGAACCTGGCTGGCTCAGACCCTCCTTTCTATGGCACAAGCCTGTTTCTCAGGCTCCTGCTTGAAGTGCTATTTGAAAGCAACACTATAAGTAACTTAACTTAGTGCACAGAAAGTTGAATTTTACCTGGGAACTAAAGCTTCCCACCTCCAGCTGGCACAGATAAGCAGAGTAGACGATTGTGATCGGAGAGCTGGTGCTGTGCTGTTTTCACTGTAATTATCAGTATGTTCTTAATAGACCTTTTATATTTGTATCAATATATAGTTTTAATTCTATGTTTGTTTTCCAATGATAGCTTCATTCTCTCTGTGTGTTTTTAGCCGTTCCTATCTTATCTGTAAGCTACCTTGAGCCCGTCAGGGAAAAAGGCAGGGTATATGTCAGGGAAGAGTTACAAGTTTCCAGTTTCTCAGAGGGAGAAAGCATTCCCCAAGGCGGGGAGGAGAGCAGTGAATCTAATAGAAGAGAGGCGCTGCCCAATTTCTGTTCTCATCCTGAAGCAAAATTCTTAACCAGAGGTACTATTTCTGGGTTAGTGGAGTCTGTAACCCGAAGCATCTGTAACCCAAGGTACCACTGTACTTTAACTTCCGATTCACCGCATTGTACCTTTTACACCTTATTTATCTATATGAACTTTCTTATTTTTTCCGTTACTTATCAAGAGTAATTTTTACTTTTATGGTTTCCTTGTAATTCAAGATTCAATCTAAATCTGTCAGGAGATTTGCATTATCAAAGTACTTTTTGAGATATTCTTGGAATATTGTCCAATCTTTACTTGTTTTGAACAGTCAACTCTCTGCCTCTGGAAGAGAAGATGTTGGGAGCAAAGGTGTTTCTGTCCCTCTTCAAACGTAGCTCAGTGCAGATTCTGGGAGCTCGTGACCAGAGCCTGCAAACTGGCCTTGCAAACAGGGGGAAGGATTGCTGGAGGAGCCTGAAGAGAGTGAAGCCTGTGTCTTTGGGAGCCTGAGGGTGTGGCTGCTTGCTCTGCTGGAGCACAAGATCAGATGGGGAGGAGTGACAGCTGAGAGGAAGCCAGCCTGAGGGAGCAGCTAGCAGCCAGCAGCAGTCAACCTTAACTCAGTGCAGATGCTGGGAGCTTGCCAACAGGGACATTTGCAAGGGTGTTTAATGGGAGAGTTCAAGGGGGAGGCCCAGAGCGCTGTCTCTCGGTGTGGATAGGACCAAGAGACATGGAGGGTGAGGGGGCTGCTGCAGTGACCTGCAACACCTGTGCTATGTTTGTCTTTAAACCAGATCTTGAGGGGGAGGGACAAAACACAAGACAAATGTCAAAAGGACACCTGACACTGGGGATAAGAGCTTCATTGATGCACAGGAGACTGAAGTGGTGCTCTAAAAACCTGCTAAAGGGCGGGAAGGAAATAGCTGCAGGGAATGTCTCATGGTTTCAGTTGTCTCTACACAAATGCACAGAATATGGGAAACAAGCAAGATGAATGGGAGCTTTTAGTACAGGATGGCAAATATGGTCTGGTAGGCATTACTGAAACCTGGTGGGATGAGACTCATGACTAGAATGTAGGAATTGAGGGGTATAACCTGTTCAAAAGGAAGACCGAACAGGAAGGGAGGAGTAGCAGCATTATATATAAAGGATGCGTACATTTGAAGAAATCCATGACCTGGAGCATGAAAAGCAGATTGAGAGTATATGGGTAAAAACTGTAAGAAACAGTGACCTCACTGTCGGTGTCTGCTACAGACCGCCAAGCCAGACTGAAGACTTGGATGGGGCCTTATTAGAGCAGATTAGTATATCTTCTATTTTTGAATGTTTGGTAATCATGGGGGACTTCAACTTCCCCAATAACTGTTGGGACTCACGACTCTGCCAAGAATGACAAATTCCTCTGTTGCCTCACTGACAATTTTATTTCCCAGAAGGTGGAAGAAGCAACAAGCAGATTATCTATCTCGGTCCTCACCAATAGGGAGGAACTGATCAACAAAGTGGAAGTACTTGGAAACTTGGGAGAAAGTGATCATGTTCTCCTGGGTTTCAGGATACAGAGGTAAGGGAAAACTGAGTGTACTGTAGTCAGACACACACTCTGGACTTTAAGAAGGCCAATTTCAAAAAGCTGAAGGAGCTACTGGGTGAGATCCCAGGGTCAGAAATACTCAGAGAGAAGGGAGTCCAAGAAGGATGGGAGTTTCTAAAAGGAGAACTATTGAAGGCCCAAATGCAGACAATACCAACAAGAAAGAAAAGTGGGAGGCATCGAAGGAAACCCGTGTGGCTGCATAAGGAGCTTATGGATGAGCTGTGAGTTAAAAAGGGCATGTATGAGAAATGGAAGAAAGGGAGTATACATGAGGAGGAGTATACATGAGTAGCCAACAGTTGCAGGGGGGAAGTCAGGCTGGCGAAGCCCTTTAGGTTAGTCCTTGGCACAGGAACAGGATTCCGCTGCAGATTCCAGGAGCAGGACACATCCCTTGGCCACTTCCAATGTCGACCTCACCTGCCCTGAGCAACTGGCATTGTTCCAGCACGTGTGGGGAGGGGGTTGCAGTGTCCTTCTCTGAAACACTAACCCATGGTGGGAAACCAACCAACTCGGGGCTTCATGTGGGCACATTCTGCTCACGTTCAGAGATGTTCTTTCTGCCTGCTGTTGCCAGTACCCTAACCCCCTTCCCCTCCCCCCACGCCTTAATCAACGCAGCTTCCCCCTGCAGGACAGGTGGATTAACTCAGTAATTCACTTGCCTTCTGGACGGTATTGAGCCACTATGGTGACAGCTTGGCCGGCATTTTTCAAGGCAGCAGCTGCTTCTTCGTGAGTTGCAGCTTTGAGGTCTACACCATTTACCTGCAAAACAAATGAAACACAGAATATTTAGGAAAGCAAGGAGGGACATTGCGCAGAATGTGTAGGCTGGGATCTTTGAGCAGGGGCAGGAGGCTGCAGACTCCGGCACCTTCTGCTGACCTATCCTAGACCCTCAAAATTATGTAAACTGCACAGAGAACTTGGTTGGTGGATGGTTTATAAATATCACAGATAAATACATAAGTAATAAAAAGGCAGTGTGGTGTAGATTGTAGAGCGCTGGATTCTAGGACTTGGGAGACCAGGCTCAAATCCCCACCGGGCCATGAAGCTCGTTGGGTGACCTTTGGCCCATCACTGCCTCTCAGGCTAACCTACCTCACAGGGTTGTTGTGGGGAATAAATGAGGAGGGGGAGAACCATGTAGGCCACCTTGAGCTCCTTGGAGCAATGACTGGATACAATGCAATGAATAAATAAAGCAAGACCTTCCAAGGGACAACCTGTGGACTGAGATGCTGGTGAGACCCAGAACTGTCCCCCTGGTGGTTCCAAGAAGCACACTGCCCCACACTCAGTGCCCCACATGGGCTAGCTACATGCTGCCCACCTTCCTCAAGGGTCAAAAAAACAAGCAGAGTCAGAAAAAGGGAGAGTCCTGCTCTTCCCCTTTCAGTCATCTTACTGAAATTATACGGTCTCCTTTCCTGAGCTCGCCACTTAGATCTGCAGGCCCCCCTGCAAGGATGAAGGAGACAAAGATGCCTTCGCCGTCTTCTCCTCCCACTATGTTGAAGCCAAGCCCTGTGGATCCTCGATGGAGCACCAGCTTCCGTGGCTCCCTGAAAGATGGAGAGAATTCCCGCCATTAGCCTGCCAATATTAGGGCTAGAACTCAAAAACACCTTTTTAGATTTCAGTCAGTTAACAACAACAACAATGGTAATAATAATAGTAGTAATAATTGTTGTTTTATTTGTACCCCGTCCATCAGACTGGGTTGCCTCAGCCCCTCTGGGTGCCTTCCAACATATATAAAAGCATAATAAAGAAAAGAATAAAGAAACTGCCAGTCATGAAACTGCGAGGCTGGTCAGAGTCAGAAGCCAAGGCTGTCTTGGCCAGACAGGGCCTATGAGGAATACGGTTACCCTTCCTTCTTCCACCTGCCTGTGTCTTGCCCACTCCTCTGTCTGAAGCCGATCCGCCTCCACCAGGTGGACCAGGTCCCTGAGCGGTTCTGCCTGGTGAAGCCTTGTAAGCAAAGAGGAGGGTGTTGAATGGTCACTTTAAACTGTGAAGGTCCATTATTGCTTCACAAGTTGTGTATGTCTTTACGGGCCAGGGCAAATAACGTGACCCAGTCTTACAGCTGTGAAACATAGCAGGTGCTGCTGAGTTGTGTTAATTAATCTGTGTCAGCAATTGGGTCTAGTATATAAGGAGCAGCACCTAGCTCTCCCATTACCCTGGGGAATGGGTTGGTGGTTGGGTCATGTTTGCTGTTATCTTTAGTGTAAAAGGAGTTTTTGTTATTAAAACCTTGTTTAAGTACTTTTTGAGTCCCTTTTTAATGCATGGTCTCCCCAGCAAGCTCTCTGAAGCTACTAAACTGCAAATAGCCAACATAGGGGTCCCACAACTTCCACCATAGAGCTTCAATATGCTGATGACAACATAGTGTGCGCGCACTTTGGTTTTAGGTATACTGAGCGATAAGCCAAGTTTCCTGTAAGCTTCTGTGAATACATTTAGGGTGGCCTACCACTCAATATCCCAAAAACCAAAGTGAAACACCAACAAGCACAAAACAACCCTTCCACAGTGCCACAAATCCAACTTAATGGTGTAACGTTTCTTCTCCTGCCTGGGCAGTTATATTTCCACACATTGATGCCGAAATCCAGCATCACCTGAGCTCTGCTAGTGCAGCTTTCTCCCAATTGAAGCACAGAGTGTTTGAGGACCAGGACATTTGCAGGGAAACCTAAATGCTCGTTTAAAAGCTTTTCTACTACCAACTTTACTACATGCTTGTGAAACATGGACCACTTATAAACACCATCTTCAACTCCTCAAAAGATTCGATCAATGGTGTCTCAATGGTGACCAGCTCAAGAAAGGGAGTTGTCGTCATCCATGGGAATGGGATACTAGGCTCCAGGCCTAATTAGAGCAATATCAACCAGCTGTGGGGAACCTGGGCTGTGGTGGAGATCATGGCCACCTGTGGGCTGCTCTACTGTATCAAGTACATTTGCTCCAGTGCCTGGGGGCAGACAAGCCATCTTCTTGCTGGGGAGTCTGCCCCACAGAGTGCTGGAAACAGGGGCAAGGAGGGAGCCTTCAGACCTTTCGTGGTGATTTTGTTTTTTCCTAATAATAATAATAATAATAATAATTTATACCCCACCCATCTGGCTGGGTTTTCCCAGCCACTCTGGGCAGCTTCCAATAAAATATTAAAATACAATAGTCCTTCAGATATTAAAAGCTTCCCTAAACAGGGCTGCCTTCAGATGTCTCCTAAAAGTCTGGTAGTTGTTTTTTCCTTTGACATCTGGTGGGAGGGTGTTCCACAGGGCGGGCGCCACTCCCAAGAAGGCCCTGATCTGTAATAAACCACCAATCAACCTGGTAGCGTGGGAAGCCTTCTTTGGGAATCTGAGTTTCTGGATCCCTGTGAGCCCACCTATGGCTCTGTGGGACAGAACAACTGGGCATGTTGTTCGGATGCCTGATTATCATCTTCCAAAGCAACTACTCTATTCCCCACTTAAGAATGGAAAATGAAACACCAGTGGACAACAAAAGATGTTTAAAGACTCTCTCAAGGCAAATCTAAAAAAAAAGTATAAACACTGACAACTGGGAATCACTGGCCTGCGAGTGCTCCAACTGGAGAACAGCCTTTACCAAAGGTGTCATAAAGGCGTCATGGACTTTGAAGAAGCACAAACTCAGGATGAAAGGGAGATACGTGCTAAGAGGAAGGCATGTTTGGCAAACCCTCGCCATGATCAACTCCTGCCTGGAAACCAATGTCCCCACTGCGGCAGGACGTGTGGATCCAGAAGAGGTGCAGGAGCCTTGTGGGACATTCTGCAAGGGACCCAGCAGCTCCCTACCTGGTGATCTCATCGTCTCCGAGCATCCCTTTGGGGATAGGGGAGTACCTCCCTGGCGACGCTGGCGGAAGGGTCTGCCCCAAGTAGGTTGATGGGCTGATGTGGTTGTCGGCAGGCTGAGAATAAGCTGGGAAGGAGAGAAATGTAGATGGTGAACTCTGTGCAAGTGTCATATGTGGGACATCAGAAAAAACTGTGCAAACCATTTGTGCTGAAGCCAAATCTTTTGCTTTCAACTCTGCCAGTGCCTCCCTCCCCCACAAGCTGCTTCCTCATGTCTGGGCCAAGCTGCCTCCTGCACTCACGGGGAGAGAGAGGGAAACTGACCTCCCCAACAGCTGGCTGGGGGGCTGGCTTCTTTGGATGGCCATTTAGATGGGCTAAAGTTGTGCACAGGATCCAGCATTCCATCAGCTAGACCACAGCTTCCTTGTAAATGCCTGCTGAGTTTTAAGTTATAGCATGCCTCAGGGTGTACCTACAGATGCATCTATCTTAATTTCAAGGAGACAGCAGGGGATGCTGCCACTGGGTGGAGCCTGGGATCTCCTGCATGCAAGCTACAGCCCTCCTGGCCCCATCCTGGTTCTAAGAAAAACATATCTATCCTCACAGATACAATGAACTTGGGAGTTGTATCCAATTAAGTCCTTCCTACTCAGAGTAGGCCCATTGAAAATAATAGCCCTAAGTTAGTCATAGCCACTGTTTCAACAGATTTAAGCCTTGTTTTCTCTTAAAAACTAATGAGATGAACACATTTTCCCATATACAGGCCACCTTGAGATTTTGTAATAATTAAGTTACTATTTCTTGAAAATTATTGCTTACGTCATCTTTTACATAACCAAAAAAAAGGAAACGGACCAGCAGGCATAGAATCTGAAAATCTCCTTTTACAAGCACACCATACAAGGTATGAATGCCTCAGTCAAAGGAAGGAGCCGAAGTGCAGTAATCGCCGGTTGCCAGAGAACAACTCACCGTTGGTGATGTCTGGCGGGGCGTAGCTGTCATTCATGAACACGCTGGTGGGTTTTGCCACTTTCAGGTAAACAAAGTCGGAGGTGTTTTTTAAGGCAGTCACTGCTTCTTCATGTGTCACTTCCTCTAAGCAAACGCTGTTGACCTAGAGAGAGAGGGGGAGACAAAATGAACTCATCCCTAAGAAGTCTCTGACCCCACATGTACAACAGTGGGGAAGGAGCCTGCACTTTGCTCAGAATTCCACCTCCTTGTGTCTAGAAGGGCCTCAGCTGTCCACTCTGACTGGAAACAGCTTTCACTGGCCTCAACCGACATGGTCCTTTTAAAAAAAGCCAATTTGGGACGTCCAGGAGCAGTGCATTCTAGGGTGGTCCTCTGTTCCAACAAGCCCCCACTCTGGATGACTGTCGGATGAGGGACCCTTCCTCCAAAGGTGCTCTCAGAGGAAGACAGGGCATTTATCTTGCAGGACCTTGTGCAGGTGTGGTCCCGTGGGGTGCCCCCTCACAAAATCCTCCTGAAATGGTTACCCACTAACAGTTTCTCAGACTCCCTTCCTGTGGAAGTGAGTTCTGGCACTGGGATCTGCCGTTTCTTCTGCTGTGAAGACAGGCACAAGAGATTCGTTCAGATTCTCCACAATCTCCTTATCCTCCTCTGACTTGCTTGTCATTCAACTTTAATAATTATACTACAATCTATGGCCTTTTAAACTATGGTGGGGTATTGTTTTTCTTGGTTATTATGATGCTATTTTTCCGTTATTATATTGCACGGTGCCCTGTGATCTTCAGATGAAAGGTGGTATAGAAATTTAATACCAACCATCCTAATCTAAGGGTCCAACTGCCGCCCCAACAGTATCCTGCTACTAACATCTTTAAAGGACCAACTTGTTGTTGGTCTTAATGCTTTTAGCAATGTGCTCCTTAATTATTATTTTTTAAGCATCTTACTGTCCACTTGCACTTTTTTGGCAAAAGCTTGTGTTCCTTCTTGTTGCAGGATGTGCCTACAAAGTACAGCAGGGAGCTCAACGTGAGCCCCCAATTCTATTCTCTGCCCACTGCCTGCTGGAAACCACCATCGGGTGGAATCCTGCTTCTAAGCTGCCTGATTGACCACAGCAGGATGCTGGCCCAGATGGGTCTCCTTTGGCCTGATCCAGCACAGAGCAGCTCTGCTCTTGTTCTCACTGTACTTTTTCATAAAGGCATTACAATGGGGGCAGCTTTATTTTATTGGCTGAAGGGCTTCCTTTGGGGTGTGGCTTCATTTTCATTATTCCTTATCAAGAGCTGTCTTCTTAGCTGTCTTTAACTATGCTGCTATATTATGTAATCCTAATCTCTTAAATCTCCTGTCATTTAATTATCAGGACTGCTTCCATTTCCACATTTCCTCTCAGTTATGATGCTCAAAACCATAATCCAAAACAAAGTCCCTTGTTTACAAGCCCAGTTCCAGGCCAGGCCCTGGACAGCCTGATTAAATGGCACTGGCTGGATTCTCCCAGGAATGGCTGAGAGAAGCACAAGGCCCTTTTCTGCGCTGGGAGTAGGCAGGGGCAGCACATGAGCCCGACGGCACAGACCTCGGGGCTTTCTATAGTCAAGCATATCTTGTTTTCAGTTCTCTACTGCTGTCTTTGTACATTAGAGCCTCTCCTGTGGACTGACAGAGGCCTCTTAAGGACTGTCCAGCCCTCCCATGTTTGACTTCCCATATTGCAGCGCCATTTAGAGGATTTCCTTAGCTGTGCAAGGTGTTCTGAGTCCAGGGCTTGTTTCCCAGCAAAGAAAACTGGATACATCTGGCTCTGATAAGCCAGAGGCAGTCAAGTGAGCTTTGCAGTCTTCTCCATGATAAACCACTGACCTGCCAAGATGCAGCAGGCAACACTGCAGAGACTCAGGGAGACCCCCAAGGCAGCTTTGTAGCTTAGAAATGACTCATTGGCTCCCAACAAAGAGTCCTGCATGAAAGGAGGGCAACCCCTGGCTTTGAGGACAGCCTCTGTGGAGCTGTGCCAAAAACAGAGGGATACTGCAGCTTCAACTCACAGCCATCAGTTTGTCTCCAATCTGGAGCTTGCCATCCTTGTGTGCTGCACCTCCTTCAATGATCTTGGTGACATAGATGCTGTTGTCTCCAGGAATGTGCTGGTTTCCAACACCCCCAGCGATGCTAAACCCAAGACCTGCTTCAAGAGAGCAAAGACCGTTATCAGCACAACTTCCGCAGACTGTCTGCAACTCTACAACCAGCTTGCACGTCAAAGTATCTGACCACAGTCCAGACCTCTGTGGGAAAAGCAGAGGAATGGTAGAATGGTAGAGCTGGAAGGGACCCCGTGGGTCATCTAGTCCAACCCCCTGCAATGCAGGAATCTTGGCTAAAGCACTTGTGACAGAGGGCCAATCAACTTCTGCTTGGAAACCTCCAAGGAAGGAGAATCCACAACCTCCTGAGGGAGACCGTTCCACTGTTGAGCCGGGGACTCTGGAGCAGGGAATGGTCTGGTGAGAATCAGGCAAGGGCAGGGACACCCCCACCCCCCAGTCCATGGGCTGGAAGGCTCACAGTCACCCACCAGTGATAACTTGGGGGTGAAGGCTGCCCACAGCCTTCAAGGCCACAAGGCATGGGCTCTCTTCCAGCTTCTACAGGAGCGACTGGAATTTCCAACCAAAACCACACACTGCTGTGTGCAGTCCAAATGCCACCCCCACCCCATCCCTAAACTAAGCATGGCTTGCTCCCTTCCGCCACAAACCTTTGGGGCCTTTCACGAGCTTGATCTCCATGATTTTTTCCGTTACTTGTTTTCTTCTCTTGACATGCAGCCGGACTACGGAGCCAGCCTCCTTCAAGGCTTCTACGGCTTTGCTATGCGTCACATCACGGACGTCCACCTCGTTGACGCGCAAAATGCAGTCGTTCACCCTGCAGGTGGAGAGCAAAGGTGGCCCTGAATGGCATCCAGGTACACGCACACACACGCACACACGTGCTTTTGTCCTCTCAGAATGCTAAATCCATGGGCTCATTGAATGGAACTCAATGATGGAAGATGGAAGGTAAGACGAAAGTACTTCTTACGCAGCACACACACACAAACTAAAATTCAGGGCCATAAGATGGTCACAGACTTGGATGGCTTCAAAAGAGGAAGAGACAAATTCATGAAGGAGAGGGTTATCAATGGTTATCCTCTTTCTCCACCGTCAGAGGCATTAATGCTTCCAAAAACCAGTTCCTGGAAATGCTGTTGCACTCAGGTTTTGCTTGTGGGCTGCCCATAATGGGCACCTGGATGGCCACTGGTAACAAGATGCTGGGCAAGAAGGGCGCCCTTTGGTCACTGGCCTAGAGCTCCTCCCCCTCCCTCTGGGCCTGCTGCCTGCGGCTGAGGGGAGCACCTGGAGGGGCACAGGTTCCCCAGTTCTGCCTTATGGCCAACCCTGAAGAGACGGCTAATGCTGAAGGCTCCAGGCTGCTGCAAGCATCCTCCTAAGAGTCAGGAATCAGGACTGGATGAATCCCACACCAGCTCAGCTTGCCCTCTGCAGGAACAGCAGCCATGCTGCCTCTTTTCCCGGACTGTTGCGAAGATGGACATTAGATGGAGCCAAAGCCTGGAACACAGAAGGAACTGACGTACCGCAATCTTCCATCTTGGGCAGCAGCTCCTCCCGGGATGATCTTTGTAATGAAGATACTCGAGTCGTCCCCAATGTGGGGGTTGTCCGTACCTCCTGCAATGCTGAAGCCAAGTCCTGAATTGCCCTGGGGGAAGAGAACCAAAGCACCTGTGATCGACCAAGAGGGATACCGACTTCAAAGGATACTTTTGGATGAGCTAAGAGGGGTTGTCAGCGTGTGGAAGGAAGCAGAAAATGCCGTATGGTGCCAACATTTCCATTTGACAGGGAAAACTGTCAGCTCCACAGGAAAATTAACAGTAAAAGGAATGACTTTAAACTTATTTCATTATGATTGTTGAAACAGCACATGAAGGTCTTGGCACTAGCGAACTCTCCCCCCATCACCTTCCTGATGCTTGATGATAGCCCAGGAATCCGTCTGGCAGAAAAGCTTGCAGCTGGAACTTTCCATCTCGTTCATTTGCCACAAGGGCTTATAGCCCCCACCCAACGCAATGGCAGCTGGACTTTGAGCAAGGATTTGAGCTGTGGCCCTTCCAACAGGCTCTACTCCAGGAGCCACGTGTGTGAGGAATGGCAGCTCCAAAAAGCCACAGCAGTAGTAGGATGGGTGCCATGAAGCCAGGCAGACCTGCCTCTCCTGCCTGCTTTGGCCAGGGCATCATGAACCACGCCAGGCAACAGAGCTCCTCTGGCAAATGGGCATTAAGAAGCCATAAGAGCAGGGCAGCAGCCAAGAGAGGGAAGCAGAAGCAACCCCTCCCAAACAGGGAGAAAAAACAAATCCCTTGGGAAATCAAAGGTTGTAGGAGCTCCTCCTTACCCTTTCCAGTGTAATTTCTTCATATTCAAAATCTGCATCTGTGCCATTGACCTACATGAAGACAAAAGCATGGAATGTTTGTGGATTCTTCAGAGGAAGCGTGTGCCCCGGCTGATGGCTGCTGACACCATGTTTGATGGTTCACTCTGCTTGGCGCAACTGCCGCGGGGACCATGCAAGGGGAGGAGAGATTGCGAAAATATTAAGAACTCCCCTTTCCTGCTGGTGTGTGCATGCGCACCAGAGACAGAAATAAATACCAGAAGCTCCCTCCCCCCATTCCAGAAAGAGAACATTTTCTTGCTCAAGGAACAGAAAAACACAGCAGAGCAACAGGTGCTGACAGACCCAGGGACTGACTGGCTAACTTGAAAAACACCAAATAGTTTGCCATCTGACTTGTCCACCTTCTTCAGAGACTGACTCTTCCTAGCACTCCCCTTTGGGTAGATGAGGAAAGGAAGCAGTCGCCTGCTTAAGACTAGTGGTGTGGATTTTCTGGGGAAATGTGACTGGATAAACTGTGGAGAAAACTTTCTGCTGCTTAAATTTGACTTACTGTGTTTATTTGACATATTTAATAAACAAAACTTGAAAAGTTTGCCATGCTAGTTCTATGTGCTACCGAAATATCTGGATAGTTTGTGTTTTAACAATAGCTGCAAAGTAGCTGGGGAGTTCAATAAAAGTGCTCTTCAAATGGAATTCAAACAAATCCAAAGTTTTACACAATTGGGTTCCTTCCTTACAAATCTTTAGGCACGAGGCGAAAACTTCCCTCTTCTCCCAGGCCTTGGGCTGATTCAACACTCTATGGCCTTATAAACTGGGAGGGGGGATGGTTTTTGCTTGTTATTATGGTGTGTAGTTTTGTGTTTTTATACTGTAAACCGCCCTGTGATCCTCTGATGGCTTATCAATCTCCTTGTTCTGGAGGTAAAACCAATGCAAAAGAGATCCATCTGCAGACGCAATCCTGAGCTCCTTGGTGGCATGAATAGATTAAATCAAAATCTCCACACAGCCCTCAGCAGCCAGTCCTGGGCATCCCTGCAGCTTGTTCAAAATGCAACAGCTCAGACATTTAGGTGCCTAAACAGCTGCTTGAAGGACCACTCCTGTTCAAGCCACCAATCAAGCAAAATGCCACGTTTTGCTCCTTCCCGCTGGAAGCAGACTCTGCGCTCAACATGTGATCCTGCTTCCAGGGCAAGAGGCTGCCAGCCCAGAGTCATTAACATGTGGAACCTGATCTCCTCCAGGCTGGCTCCAGACAAAGCAAAGGCTCTCAAAGGAGTCCTTGGTGTTGCATTACTCCGCTGGCGAGGGCGACAGGTCGGGAACAAACAGCCCTCTGCCGAAGGTGCTGCCGAACACAGGAAGCAGAAAGAGCCGGCCAGGAAATGGGTCAGCCGACTGAGGGGTGGGGAGGCCACTTTTAAGTGCACCTGATGCTTCTGGAGCGTGGCAGCTGCAAAGACCACTGCATTGCACTGGGCTCTGGCCCTGCCGGCAAAGGAGGGTTGGAAATGGACCCTGTGCCAAAACAGAGAACACCTCCGCCATGTGAGAAGCCACCCTGGGACTTGTGAGGAACGATTCTCCTCCACTGTCTCAAGATGAGTGGGGTCATCCAGGGATTTGGAATGTGCCATTATCAACGTGCAGATGGCACGTAACTCTGCTTCTCATTCACACAGGCATCAACAGGCCCCACATTTGAGCGGTGGATGGCAGCATGGGATCAGGCCTTCTCAGTGGTGGCTCCCCAACTGTGGGATGCTTTCCCTAGACAGATGCGCCTTTAGGCACAGTGAAGATGTGCTTCTTTACCCCAGGCTCATCTTTTAGATGAGTGGAATGGGAGCTGTGCTATGTTATTGCAGGATGGGCACTTTATTAAAAAAAAATTAATTCTTTAAAATCATTTGATGTGTTTTACATTTGGTATTGTATGCTTTTTTAAAAAAAAAATGTAAGTCACTTTGAGACATTTTTTCCTGCGGTAAGCAATTTATTTTATTTTATTTTTAAATAGTTATTAGCCAGCATGTCTTGCTTGTGAGTTTCCAAAGACATCTGTCCAGCTACTGTTGCCAACAGAATGTTGGTCTAGGGCAGGTGTGGGGAATTGTCCTCTCCCGGTGTTGCTAAACTACAACTCCCATCATGCCTGCCAATTGGCTATGCTTGCTAAGCCAATGGTAGTTGTAAGTTCAGCAACCTCTCAAAAGCTCCCCAATTCTAATCTAGTGTAAACTTTGGCTTGAACCAGCAAGACACTTTGTATGCTGCCTTTGAGCCTGGAGTTCCATTTGGCTTCCACCCACAAAACTCCGTGGCAGAGCCCTCTTCCCCTTACACCCCGGTCTGGGCATCTATCTCAGCTGAGCTAGGAGCTGATGGCAGATGCCACCCCATCGTGGGGCAACCAATGCCCAGTGCTAGCTCTGCATTGCAGATGCCTCAAACCTATCAAGTGTAACTGGTTCACCCCCAACTTCTAACATGGCAAGAGATTTTCTCTCTTTCCCCACCAGAGAGAGCTTTCTTATTTCCCTGCAGATAGATAGATAGCCCAGGTGATATGGGAAGCTAAAGCATAACTGCCTAAATGTGGATTCACCACTTTTTTTAATAAAAAAAAATTAGCACAGCACAGAGCATAGGTTTTCACTGAGCTTCACTGGAAAGACATACAAGGCAATCAAATATGAATAGACACTTACGTAGGTTGGGGTCTCCAAAGTTTCGGTGTTCACCACCACTGGAGGAGGATTTGCCTTTGGAATAAAAATATAACAGCCGTGAATTAGTAGGAATGCCCAAAGGGAAGCCACAGAGCCTTGTTTCTTTCTGGGCAGATGACTGCCGCTCCCTTTAAGGGTTGCCCACTCTGCAGTGCAAAAGGGTCAAGCTGCTTGCTCCTGAAAGCAAATACCAGGGGACACCCAGAGGAAGAGGCCAGTTGCAGCTGAAAGAGCAAAACGGATCCCTACCAAAGCGGTTAATAAACTGCAGCCCATTTTGAAGCCAGAGTGCAACAGGCATGCTTTGCTGACACAATCCCATAAACCTCTCCAACCCATATATTTCTCTGCTCTTGTGAGAAGACAAATGGTATGTGCTAGAGGAAGAGCTGGCATCCCTTACTGCCTGCTTGCACTCCCCAACCCACCTTTTAGTTCTCTTCATTTGGACATGACTTCTTCTTTGACTCTCCTCAAAAACTACTAATGTTAGACTGTAAGCTCCTTGGGACAGGGACCTGTCATCTTATTCACTATAAAGCAACAGGACACTGGTGGTGCCATACAATAAACATTAACAATTATTTTTCCAGGCTTGCAATCTGCTTTGCCTCTGCTATAGTCACTGCTCTGTTATATATTGCTGCCTTTAGTATGTACAGATCTGTTTGAAGCGCAGAGTAGAAATCTATATAATAAATTCTACTATTTTATTTTATGATTTCTAGGTCGGCCAGTGTCAAAGGATCTAGCACCATCTACCTGGGTCAAGCCGGTCAAGCCTACAAGCTGCTCACCTTCACATTCCAGAACAGGAAGCAGTTCTGATGCAACTGCCCCAGACCAACAACTTAGAGAGTGCTTTGCTGAGCCAAATATAAGGAGGCATCTTTTATGTATGTGGAGAATGACTCAGCTGAGAAAAGAATTAGCCTGGATTAGCCAGCCTACCCATCTGCCTTGTGAGTGCCAAGGCCCTCTTCCCCTCCTCTCAGTCGGACTATGAAGTCAGCGGGCATCTCCCTAGAAGAGCCTGGCCTCTGAGCAGACGCAGCAGTGGGAGCAGGTCCCCCAGCACCGCTGTGCAGCAGGAGTCCTGAGAGGTCAGCAGGCCAGCGTCTTCATGGCAGGGGCCACAGCAGTTGAGCCAGGCGCCTGGGCAGCGGCTCTCCACATGCTCAGGCGGTGCTCAGCTCCTGCCCGGCCTGGGGCCTTCTGCAGGAGAAGCCTTCCCCTGCCACTGAGATGCACATGCAGTCAGCCCAAGGAGGCAATGCAACCACTCCATTCTGCAGCATGCCCAAAGGGGAAGAAAAAGCTACGCTGAGTTCCAAGGACCCCAGGACCAAACGGGCATGCAATCACAGAGACAACCATAGCAAGACAGGCCCTGGCATGCCAGGGGGTGGGGTGAGGAATAAAAACCTGTGAGATGGAAGATGGGATGAGTGTGGTCTCAGCAGGGACTGGCAGGACAGAGACAACGGGAAGAGAAAGAGGAACAGCTTCTGGTATCTAAAAGCATGAATGGAGAGAAGTCAGGAGTTGAATCTAAAGGTTGCGGGTGGAAGAGGCGCTCCCCCCCCCGGCTCTCGCGGATAGAACTGGCCGCAGAAGGCAAAAGTCCAGCAGGGGCTGCTCTGAAGATCAACTTGCAACCCCAGCATCTTTTGGAAAGCACAAACATACACACACATTCCCCTTTTCTTCTCACCAGCAAGGCACAACACAACGGCTCATCAAGTGATTCTGAGGGTCAAGGCTTCCTCATAAAAGGGGCTGGACTAGCTGACCCCTGGGGTCCCTCCCAACTCTACAATTCAAAGTTGGCTCAAGCTCCACAAATTCAGGAAACTGGAAGCGAAGGCTGATGCTGTGACATTTGTGCCCCTTTACCAATGAAGATGCTGTGCAGTGTTGAAAGTCGCAACGGCTTGTCAGTTACTTTCCATGTGCCCCTTCCTTGGGCTTTCAGACCCCAATCCATAGGAGGAGGCTGGAGTGCCTGGGTGGAAGCAGCAAAGATGCCCCACCTTTTCCTGTGTGGAGTCCTCCTGGGAGAGGGCCCTGGCCAGTATGCAGACTGCGCTAGACCGTGGCAGAGGGAGGTCTCCCTCGGAGAGGCACTGCTGCAAAGGACCCCGGGAGTCGGGGCTGCAGCTGTGTTTCAGAGACCCAGGACAACATGGAGCATTTTTGCCAGTCCCAGGCTCTCCTGGATTTGGCACTGCAAGGCGCAAGCAAGCACAACTTGTGGCACATCTGTTCTAGTCTTCTTGGCTTCCAATCAGCTGGATTTGTAGAGCTGAGGACAAGATGAGGTAGACTTAACTGTGGCCTTAAACCAGCAGGCCTCTCCCCCTCCCCCTCTGCACAGCCCCCAGCCCCCTTGGCACTGGGGGGGGGGGAGCTGGAGTCCAGCAACCAGTGGAGAGCCACAGGTTCCCAATCCCTGTGCACCCCCAATATTTTTTTTTACTTTTGGGGGTTTTTTGTTAAAAGGAAAAGAAAAAATACAGATACAAACAATGGTTTTCCTATCAGATTATATTAATAATATTATCCTATCAGATAATATATAATATAATATATTATCCTATCAGACAATATCTTATAACCTAGTCCATATATATATATATATATATACACACACACACAAGCCAATCAAACTCCAGTGTCCATGGCTGTACAGAGGTTATATGAACTGACATCTTTTTTATCACTGAATTTCTCTGGTTTTGAAAAGGGAAACTGTCATTACAATGTTAGCAATTGCTGCTGCAGGATCCCTGGCAGGTGGCCATCCAGCTGCTGCTTCAAAACTTCCACGGAAGGAAAGGCCACCCCCTGGAGAGGCTGCCCATGCTGCTGCTGAACAGCTCTCTGTCAGAAAGCTCTTCACCTGCTTAGTGGGACTCTGCCCCTGGTTCGAGTCCTACCTTCAGGAGCAGCAGGAGGCAAGCTGGCTCTTACTGTGTGCTTGCCTGGAAAAGCCTCGCGGGGCCAAAGGTGGGCCAGGCAGACATCACTATCCTGCTTGCTCAGAAGAGCACAGCACCCACCACTCTAAATTCTGACTTTCCTGGAAACCTTCTGGTGCCAACGGGTCTCGGCCTAGTTTAAAATGTCCCTCGAGTAGCCTGTCATTCTAATGAATGCTTCACACTGCTTTTAAATGTTTTTAAGGTGTTATGCTATGCACTGCCCTGAGGATTTGCAATAGGGTAGTATATAAACACTTGAATAAATATATAATAAATGCCCCCCCAAAATGGGAGGGGGAGTTATCAGGATGCTCCCTCACCCCTGAGTCTTCGACATCCTTAATTCCACCCCTTGACAGGATCACTGGCCACTAAAAAGTAATTTTTGCACAGCCAGCAGTCTGTAAAGCCTGGCTGCACACACATCTATCAGCAGCAACAAAGAAGCACTTGAAGAAGCATTTGAGTATCTCTTCTTCCTGCTCCCCACACCCCTAATCACCAGAGCCCATAAGCTGCTCACGCTGCACACTCTAAACCGGGAAGACAGCAGATACCAAGCGGGCTGACAAAAGCGGAGCAGGAGGTCATATTTTTGCATCCGCAAAGTCAAACCCTCAGACGTTGGGGGCGCCCTGGGCTTGCTGGGAGCCAGAGCAGAACCGCGGCTGAGTGCCCCTTCCTCCCCTTGCGTCCCCCTGCCGGGGGGGGGGGGAATCGGGGGGTGGACCACAATGCTATTCAGACATCTCCACCTACCCAGAGGCATCCAGCACACACAAGGCTGAATCCACAATCACTCAAAAGAATAATGCACCTGCCATTTTTACTTCACTGGTCCTATTAGGCACTTCCACAGAGCAAGGAAGCGTGAGCAGCAAGCACTGCAACAGAAGGAGGGGAGACCTTTGGGTGCCTTCCTCCCACAACGGCCAGTCCAGGTGGGCCTCTCAAGGGGCTGCCACCCCCTGAAGTCCCCTCTAGCCACAGGCAGGGGAGGCTCTTTCTGGGAATACAAGGCAAACCTTTAGAAGGAAAGCAGAGAGACCACCCAGCTTACCTAGCTTTCCACTGCCCAAGCCCTCTCACACTCTCCTTTTGAGTCTTGCAGAAATGCACCCAACCCCAACATCAATTTCAGGGAGTTTATGAAGACTAAAGACCAAAGGAGAAAGGAGCAGGACAGACAGCCGTCACAGAACGTTGAAGGCCGAGTCCATCTATCCTATCCATCCAGGGAGACTCACCTGGAGCCTTCATTATACACCTTTGGGTGCCAGGAGAAAATGTTCCTCTATAACCAGGCCTTTTGCTGATTACACACTCAAACGGCCTTGGAAATGTGTTTGTGGGACGGAGATTATTAGTTTACTTTTGTTTTCCCCTATGTTCTTTGTGTTCTTCTTTCGTAAGCTTATGTTGTGAACTGCCCTGTGATCTTCAGATGAAGAGAGGTATAAAAAAGTTAATAAATAAATGGTTGTTGCTGGCATCCATCTGCCTCGAGAGACAACGGAGTGTCCCTCTGGGAGTCAAGTCAAACCGCTGCCAAAGTGACTCCCCAGGGCACAAGCCTGGCCAGGGTGTGAAGCAGAAACAGCTCCCTTGGGCATTATGTAAATGTTCAGCACATGTAAATTAATACTACTAAAGATGCAAGCAAGTGCCCTAAAGACCTCTCAAGCCCGGCCACCCTTTAGAAGCAAAGGACAAGCAAGCCGGCCTCTAAATTGGGGCCACAGGCAAATTATCTGGCCTATTTTTACGGAGCCCTCAACCAAATGCCAATGGCCCCCTAGTGAGGCAGAGTGACCTGGGCCAAAAGGGAGAGAAGAGGGGGTCAGAGAAAGAGGGGCAGGATCCTGGCCAGCACCCACTCTGTTCCTTCTCCCAGTCAGCAGATAAGCGTGAGAGAAAAGGCTGCCAAGCCCTGGTCTAACTGAATCCTCTACAAGCACACAGCATGTGACCTGCTTTATAAATAGGTTATTGGAATTGGACAGAATCAATATGGTCACTGGAGAGCCCTGCTCATCATGTGCTGCCCCTTGTTTCCTACCCACAAACACGCAGCCACCAAAGAATCAGGCACCCCCCTCAGTGCCCCCCCACTCATCCAAATACCTTTTAAAGTGTTTAAAAAACCACTCCTGCTGCTGAAGCCCCCTCCAAAGGGTGGGCTCTGGGGGTTGCACAATTTTACAGTTTCATTCACAGAAAACCAAATCCTCAGAAAACCAACCTGAGGTTTCCTGCAGACTCACTCACAACCAACTTGTGGGGAAACCACCTTCCTTGGCCTGACATCGTGGCAACTCAAGGGAGCAGGAAAGCGCTTCAGGAGCACGCAAGCCCCCTTCCAGCTGACGCCTTGCGCTGGAGTCCTGCACGGAGGGAGAAGGAGCTGGGGCAGAGCCGGGGGGGGGGGCTTACCTTCTCTGAGGAGCAATTGGACCACGAGCTGTCGGAGCCCCACCCGCTGGCAGCCCTCACCTTGGCGGTGCTCTTGGTGGGGCTCTTCTTCACGCTGTCGCGCAGGTTGGTGAACCTGCCCCTGTGTTTGGACGCCACAGGCAACGTGGCTGAAACACAAGGCGGCTGCCCGGCTGCTTCCTGGGGCTGGAGCCCCGGAGGTGCGTCTGGCCAGGCCTTGGTGGCAGAGCCAGCAGGCCTCAGAGGCCCCACTTCACAGCCGTCAGGAGCCCCACAGCAGCACTTGCGTGGGGGGGAACAGGCGGCCATCCAGGAGCCCACTTAAGCTGCTCGGCCAGCTAAAAGGGAGCCCAGGCAGAAGCGGAGAGGCAGTGGCACATTTCCTCCGGACAGCCGAGCAAAATGCTCTCCTGGCCAGTCCAGCAGAAGCCCGGCTTTGCACGCCCTCTCCAGAGACAGAAGGCGTCCCATTGGGCAACACGCTGTCGGCCCCTTTGCCAGGCAAACAGAATCAATGCTCTGCAGAGGGAAGAGAAGCTGCGCCAAAGGTCACCTGGCACGTCCACAGTGCCTTTATGCTGCAAACTCCAACACGGCAAGGAAGCCTGAGACCCTGCGCCATGACTGAGCATGAGGGCAAATGCTCATCAGTACATCGCATGGCTGCAGGTGTGCTGGGGAGGGCCAGGTCTGCTTGCCAAGGCCAGGCCAGCCCTTCTGCACTCAAATGGAATGCTGCCTCCAGGCCCTGCAAAGGAGGCAACCAAGATACCCAAAAGCTGTAACACCCCCCCCAGCACTGCTGGAAACACACTGCCTCTCTCCAAAGCAAAGGAAAAGCCCCCCTCAGAGAGGGCGGAGGAGGAAGCGTCCCTGCTGGAGGAGCTACCAAGTGAAGGGAGTGTGTGGTGTGGTGGGCTCCAGTTGCTAGGTGAGGAGGACTCCAGAGACCTCCCAAACCATCCTGCCCCCGAGCTAATCTTCTGGATTGCAGCTGCTGAGACAAAGAGTGGTAGAGTACGAGAAGGCCACAACTCTGATCCCCTACCTCCAAAGGCTGCTGTGCTTCTGTCTTGGAGGTGCAAGGGGCTGCCGGGTGGGAACTAGTCCTTAGAGATGGGCTCTGTGGATTAACAAGAGGGTCTGCATCCACCTCACTCGACAGCTCAGAATTCAGGGGGCAGTGGATGCAGCGGAGAGGCGCAGGGGCCCACCGTTGAGACACTCTGGGGCCTCTTTCCCTGGGTTTACCAGCTCTTGGACTCCCTGGGGAGGAGACCATTTCTTCAGCCCCTTCCTGGGAAGCAGGGGTCATGTGTGACTTCCAAGACCTCCTCTGAGGCAAGCCAGAGCCACCACTGTGAGGGAACAGGAGAAAGAAAACTGGACACCAACGTCTGCGGAACAGCTCAATCCAAGGTGGCTCCTGACCTGAAGACTCTCCTTCCCCAAAGTTCTTAGGTCACTGTTTCCTCCTGGCATTCTTAGGACACAGAATTATTTTGGTCTGACCATTCCAGTGGATCTTAATGGAACTTTCCTCATCATGGTACAGTCTGTTCAACTTCTGAAAACGTTTGACAACCAAGGCGTGGCTTCCAATTGGCTGCAGAAGCTTCCTGCACCCAATTGGAAGCTGTGTCGAATGTTCAGGATCCAAAAAACATTTGCAAACCAGAACACTCACTTCCGGGTTTGCTGCATTCGGGAGCCGAAATGTTTGAGTTGCAAGGCGTTTGGGATCCAAGGTACGACTGTATATGATCTTGTAAGGGCTATGCCCTAAAAGGGGACATATAAATCCTTGAGATACATGAATAAAAAGCTGGCAAAGCTCAGGTGCATCAAACACCTGGGCAGAACACAGCAAGGAGCACACGATTAGCTGCCTCTGGATTCATCACATGGCCCCAGGACAAGAGACCTGCATGGGCCAAGCTGCTCACAGCCTGATCTGTCACAGGACATAACATGCGCCTTACAATGGAAGGAAGACAGAGCAGGACATGATTTCACTCTGCCTCTTACTAGGGAGAAGAGGAAGGCCCACAGAAGGTCATCAACTGGCCCCAAATAAGGCACTTTCCCCCTTGATGAAACCTTAACTTAAGAGACAAGAGGAAAGTGAGCGCAGGAGGGTCTGATTCCAGCTGGTTTCACGTCAGCAGGAGCTAAAAGGAATTACTGGAGGTGGGGACCTAGGTGGGATATCACACAGTTGCTAGGTAACCAAGGAAGCATCTCCTATTGCTTCTTTTAAAACTGGAAGTAAAATATGATGCACCATCTCACCTAAAAACATGAACTGGCAACCTATATTATTATTATTCATCCAACATTACAGGGGAAGAAAAAGAAGAAGAAGTCGTCTGGAGAAAGGAAGAGGGGCAATTTGGTGGCTCAGGATGACATCTGTGATATACTGTAAAAATGTGAAGGGAAACATCTGCTGGTCTTCTGCATTTGGTTGTGTGTCTGCATGACAACGAATCCATCACTGGAGAATCCCCAAGCCATTTCCGTACACAACTGCACACAAGAGGCAGGATGCGACCCTCTCCAGACTCCAGGGCCTAAGTGTGGGGAGCAGAGGGCTGTCCTTTCGGCCTCACCTGGCACCGTAGAGCTGCCTCCACATACACACCACCAAGAACCACATGCTGCACACAGCTGTGCGAGAAAGGAGCCCCGTCTGAAGGCAGCCCTGTTTCGGGAAGCTTTTAATGTTTGATGTATTATAGTATTTTAATATTATTTTGGAAGCCGCCCAGAGTGGCCGGGGAAGCCCAGCCAGATGGGCGGGGTATAAATAATAAATTATTATTATTATTATTATTATTGCCAGTGCCTGCTCGTGAGTAGGGGCTCCACATGGCTGAGGCGCTGTGCAGGTGTCCCAGCGGCATGGAGCCTTTCCACGCACAGGCAGGCGCTTGCCCACGGGGCTTTCTTTTCACACAACCATCTGCAAGAAGCACTGGCTTGGGGAAAGCACATGACCTCAGAGAGAGGGATAAAGCTGCAGCCCCACTCCTGGCCCTGGGAAACGGCCGGCGAATTGAGGCACAATCTGGGCTCTTCAAATCTACTGACAGCCCACACAATCCCTGCCAAACAGACACCACTGGCAAGAAGCACTGTTCTAGTTCCCAGCAGCGAGTGGGAAGGCAGAAAAAATCTGAGAGATGCATAATAAAAACAACAGCCATGTCTTTAAATACATCAGAAGCAAGAGACCAGCCGGGGAGATGATGGAGCATTACACAAGGGAGCAAAGAGAGTACTTGGGAAGGAGAGAAGCGGAATTTAATATCTCTCTCTCTCTCTGTGTGTGTGTGTGTGTGTGTGTGTGAGAGAGAGAGAGAGAGAGAGAGAGAGAGAGAGAGAGACCCAAAAAATTGAGCCACATGCCAACAAGGGCTTATTGACATTAAAAGTTAACCAGTCACCAGGTCCCCACAGCATCCACCTGCGAGTTAAAGAATGTAAATGGGAATGCTGGTCTTCTAAGGAAATTACATAACTTGTCCCTAAAATCAGCCTACATTCTAGAGAACTGGAAAGTAGCCAAAGTAAGACTTGAGACTGAAGAAATTATAGGCAGGTCAGCTTCAGGCCTGGTGATATATTGGAATATTGCCCAGGACCGGTATGAGGGGCTCACCGCAATGGGGCTTTCACTCAGCGCTGTATCACGGGTGAAACCTCTGCCACTCCTCAGTCCCGTGTCCCCCCCCCCCCCGCACTCAGCATGCCTAGGGAGAAACAAGCTGCAGCCAGGCTGGGCTGGAGGCAGAGGGACTCAGGAGCCACGGTGGTTTTACTAGCGATATACCACTGAGTGAAGCCGCCATCGTGGTCAGTCCCCCCCCCCCCGACCAGTGCAGGAGTGCAGCTGCCCTCGCCTCAGCCAAGCAGTTTGACGGAGACCCAGACCCGCCACCAGTTCACACGAGTCATCGGGGGGGGGGGCGTAAATCTGCTCCTGCTCCCAAGCTGAGGAAGCCCCAATAATTTTCCTGTTTGCACAAGAGCAGGAGGAGGATCCAGACCCACTCAGCTGGGGGGGGGGAGCAAGTGGCCTCTTTCTCCCAGGAGAAGGAGGTTGCTTGCCCCCCCTTCCCCTCGCAGGCGAGTAAGCCTTGCCAAGGGAGCCTGTCAGGGCTCCCTCCATCTTGGGGAGTGGTCTGGCTCACTCAGCTGTTCGGCGCAAGCCTCCCCCCCAGCTGAGCAGGGGGCTTGGGCCCTGCAAGGCTCCGCAGTGAGAGCTGTGGCAGTTTCACCCACCACCGCAAGGGATGGGGCCAATGCAGCTTTTCTCAACATCATGGTATATCGGCAAACCGCGATGTCTGGCTGGTGACACACTGCGATGTTAAAACCTAATATTTCCCAGCCCTAGTCAGCTTAATATTTGTTCCAGACCGAAGGGTGGAAACTTGTGAGATAAAACTATTGAGTCTTGCTGAAGCTGGATCAACGTGGCTTCTGCAAAAGGAAATCCTTACTAACATTTCAGACTGTCATTTTAGAATGCCAACAAGCAAGTCAGTAGACAGATGAACTGGTAGACATCAAATTCTTGTACTTTCAAAAGGTTTCCACCAATTCCCTGACAAAGGCTCCTGAGCAACCTTCACAGTCATGGAATTAGCAGGCAAGTCCTCATTTGAATGGGTAAATGGTTAAAGAATACAAAACAGAGCATGAGATCTACAACAAGGTGTTGCCAAAGAGAATGCTCCTGTTTGGTGTGCAGGCAGCCAGTCTTGCTTTTCACCCACCTGCCAGTTTTCTATTCCCACCCCCCAGAAGCCAACAGACCGTCGGGATTTCTAAGACACTGAGCATGTTCAATCGTCAGTAGGATGTGATGACACAGGTGACACCAGCCCTCAGTTTGTGCTCCCCCCTTTGTTTGCGGGGAGGGGGGATGCTGCACGGTCTGACACACACCCCTCTTGTTTCTCCGTCATCTTGTTTGGGCTACACAGCTGCCAGAACTCGGCACCTAATGTGATATGATAGCAGAGTAGCTCTCACAATGAAGACAGATAAGAACGGGCACTTTTCAAAGTTTTCACAAACAACATGGAGTTATGGGTGAGCTGAGAGGTGACCAAATTTGCAGGTGATACCAAATTATTCACAATACAGTATTGAAAATCCAAGTGGCCTTCAGCGTTCTAAATAGAGCTCTGCTTACTAAGAAAATGTGATGCACACAGGAAGAATCTCAATCCCTCTCCTCCTCCAGCCACCCCTTCTAGGGACGTTCAGGGTTGGCGAGTTGAAATTAAACACACAGCAAGCCTTCCTGATTGCAATTTAGAAGCATTTAAGCTCAAGCAACACCTTGGAGAAAAATGCCAGACCAAATTGAGATTTAACTGCTCCACGTGCATAGATAAATAGTTTCCCAAGCTTTTTGCAATAGCATGTTTGTTTGTTATTCACCAAAATTTTGCATCTCTGCCTGTGGGACAGCAAGACACCTGCTGGCTCCTAACCATCCACCCCAGCTAACTCCACCCCACCCAGCTAATCCTACCCATTCATCCCTGGCTCAGCCTTTCCGTGGTGGGTCATTGCCAAAAACCTTCTTCTGAAAGCCACTGGAGCGCTTAAAGGCTTTCATACTCTGCAGTGGCAACCGCAGCTGCTGGGCTGCAACTGCCCACAATGGATGCCGCAGGATTCCTGCCACAAATAATGGCACCAAGCTGCTGGGGGGCGTTTTTGTCCCTCGGTGTTTGGGCGCCTCTGAGACGGGCGCTACTGGCGCCAGCACCTGGCAGAGCTACCAAGCAGCAGCCACCAGTGCCCAGAGTACAGGGATTCCCGTGATCCCTGAACATTGGCCGAGCGGCTGGGGGCGATGTGAGTTCTTGCCCACAGCATCTGGAGGGCACCGGGGGGGGGGCTGCCCCCTGCACTGAAGCATCCAGACAGGCCTGTTCTTTCCATGTTTCATACGCTAACCACCTTGTTTTACTAATTCAGACCTGGCTGCCAATTCATTTGCAAGCCCAGCCCCACAGGCTGGTTTCAACCTACAACTCTTGGAAACCTCCTGTGAATTTTGCTCTCCCAGGTGCCAGACAACGTGCTCCTGTCACCCAAGCATCGGATCGCAAGTATGACCATATCCAAGTCTTCATAGGTGTTCAAGAAGCATCTGTTCTTTTTACATTCTTGCAAGATTTTGGCTAATTAATGTTCCTGTATACATATACATATGTGTGTGTGTCTTACATTTTATATTAGGAATGCCTTTATAATTAGACGTGGTTTTGAGCCAATTTTGTAGCAAGTGACAAATCAATGTAAAAAACAGTAATGATGATTATGTATACTACAGATGAGGAAAAGTGTCACCAAGGTCAACAGGATACCTGTGTGGTCAGCAAGCAGTCAGGGAAGCTGTGAGGAGGCCAGGAGGCTCCCTTTCAAAACCAGAAGGGCTGCTCACATGAGGGGAACAAAAAGGAACACAAACTTTGGCAAAAGGAAGACAAGCAGACAGTAAGGGGTACAAAAAAAGAATTCAAGCAGCAGATAGCCAAGACCATTAGAATCCACAATAAAAAATATTTCAACGAATCAGGGGAAGCAACTGGACCATTTGAGAACAAGGGAGTTAAAGGTGTGCTAAAGAGGTTGGAACAATTCCACTATGAGAAAAGGCTGTGAGGGGCTTTTTGGTTTTGGAAAAAAAACAACACTAAACTATTTTAAAATACTAGTTTAGGTGTGGCATGATAGAAGTCTATGAAATCAGGTGATTGACTACATGGAACTGGCGGAAATGACTGGCAGAATCTGAGACCAGAGAGAAGAGATGGTGAAAGAAGACTGGAAGAAATTTAAAGACTATTTACAGAAATATTGTAAAATTAAGGAATCTTAGAAGGATGTTGGATAGAAACTAAGGGTTTTTTTTAGCTGTAATGCTTTAAGAGATATGAAAAAAGGTTTGCAACTGGGTAATTTTAATGGTAAGGATTTGCTGAATCAACAAATTGAACTGGAATACAAAAAAGGGAGGTATGAGGAGGTCCGGGGAAATAAGTACAAGGAAGATAGGTTATGGAAATTTAATGTTCTTTTAATTGTTTTATCTGGTATGTTTTCTTTTATTTTTTACTTCTTTGGTTATATTTAAAAAAAAACAACTTTATTTTTTCTTTTCCTTTTGTATTCTGTATTTTTTGTACTTTTTTGAAACTTTAATAAATATCATTATTTTTTTTAAAAAATAGAAGTCTATGAAATCATGCCGGGTGTGGTAGAAATAAAGGCAACTTTGTCTTCCTGTTACATAACACTAGAAGAACCCAGAGGTATCCAACAAAGCTAAATATTGGAGAATTAAGGATGGGCAAGTATTTCTTCACACAGCACAGACTTACAACTATAGAATTTACTCCCAGGGGTTGCAGCGATGGCCACCATCTTGAATGGACGGCTTTGAAAGGGTTTAGCCAAATTAGTGGAGGATTAAGCTCAACGGCTTCCAGATATGAGGTCTCGGAATAATAGCTGTTGGGGAACAACAGTGGGGAGAGCACTGATGTCCTGCTTGCAGGCTCCCCATAGGAGCATCGGGTTGGCCACTGTGAGAACAGGAACGTGGACAGACAGGCACCAGCTGCCGTCTGGACCAACCTAAAGGCCAGCCCCACGTAGAGCCGACTGCAGTAATCCAAGCTTGAGGACAACTGCACGGACAACTGTGGTCGAGGAATCCGAACTCAGGAGCAGCTATACTTGTCTTACCAGAGTAGATGAAAGCACTAAAAGATACCAAACTTACTGAATACATATGCCAAGATCAAACTAGAGCAGATCGGCATCAGATGGAGAAGAGAAATTCAGCTGGTTCAAGGACTGTCAGCATCTTTGGAACAATTTGGCAGGAAGTCTAAGTCAACGCTCTTGCAGGAGCATCAGAATGGGATGATGCTCCTGGAGCAAGAGAATGGGGTGCTTGGGCAGCGAAGAGCAACAGAATGCTAGCAAAAAAGTGGTATGGACCTCAAGGGCCTCAACATGTGCAAAGAAGAATGAGGCCAGAGAGCTCATGAGGTGCTGCAGCAGCACTAAGATTTAGCTGGCAACTAGAGGCCTGGAGGACACTGGGCCTCCACTGGGCTGCAGAGAAAAGAGAGACAGAGGGAGAGCTGGAAGCCAGGAAGCACCCATGCTCAGCCCCAAACTCACTAGGACATTGCAACCCCCCTGCCCCCTTCCCTCTCTGCCTATATCTGCAACACAGGCCTGTCTTGTGGGCTTGGGGCTGGTATAAACCACGGAGGTGGGAGAACTCAAGCCGAAAAGGCAAGTCCTGAGTAAAGGCTGAGAAAAGGCCACAAGGGAGCATGTGGGTGTCAGATACTGACAAAGGTGCCAAAAAGGAGGAGAAAACTTGCCCTATCTATATCCACCCAGGAAGGAACATGAAAGTAACGTGCTTGAGTTACAGGAAGGAAGCAGCCCAACATTTTTTCATAGCTCTCAGAGCAGCCCAGCAGGAGCCAAGGCTGCCTTGCAAAGCTGTGGAAATTCACCCCTTGGAAACTTTTCAAACAAAGTTGGGCAAGTTACAATCCCTGGGATGCTCTGGGAATAAGAGTGCTCTCCTTTCCTGCACTCAGGGTGGGAAACTGAACTCACTGCCCTCCCGGCCTGGTCATTTCCTGGGGCTCTGCAGAGACAAGCCTCCCGGTCTTGGCTGCCAGCTCCTGTAAAGAGGCACTTCCAACTCTGTTCTCTTCCTTTATCTCACCAGGCCTACCAAGACCCCATTGGGGTCAGACATCTCAGCCATGGCGACCCAGAGCCCTCGGAACAGAGTCAGGACAACGCTTGCCCACCCAACCAAACAAGGCCATGCAGCCTGCTATTTGTGCCCTAGGTTGCCCTCCTAGCCTCTCCCTGGAATCCAGCTGTTTGACTAAGTCTAATTTTGCAGCCTCAATCGTGTCAGACATTTGTGCCAAAATCCCCATTTATGTGGCAGGTCAGAAGAAATGTTAAGCCACCAAGCTGGTGTTCATGCAAGTTTTTAAGATGCTCAAAGCCAAATCCAGGCACCTAGGAGGCTGACTGCAATATTCCTTCCTCTTCTCACCCTGCCCTAATCCTGGCAGCTGTGGAAGGAGATCCCATTGCCAGATCCAGCCCTTCTATCGATGGCTGCCCTCCCCCCCCCTCCCCCCCCCCAATTTCAACAAGTGACGCTTTACCTGGCTGGAGCTGGCAGCCACAGAGATGCAGTCAAAGAAGAAGAAGCGATGCCTGCGAGTGAAGAAGGCAGCAATCTGCTGCCAGCGCGAAGTCTCGGCCTCCTCGGAAGGCAGGGCATCCCCAGAGCCCTTCTTTGCCCACAGCTTCTGCTTGGGCCCTCCCGAGCTATGGCCGGATCCAGTGTTGCCGCCCCGACTGGTGCGCGAGTAGAGCAGAGTGTTGTTTCCAAAAATGTAATTCATCTCTGCAGCCCAGCAGGTGGCTGGCTGGCAGGCAGGCAGGCAGGCAGGCAGGCAGGCAGGCAGGCGTGGGTCCCCGTCAGCTGCTGAGCCACAGTGAGTGATCAGCCAAACGGCAGGCAGGATTACAGCTGCATCACTCAGGGAAGGACAGCAGCCAGCCTCACTCACTCAGGCTCCTCTCCAGGCCAGCTCCCATCCATCGCGCCCGTGGCCAGACTCTTGCCGCACCTGTTACTCCCCCGGGGGGCACTTCCATGGGTGGAAGGCAAAGGGGCAATCCTGCCACCTTCCAGGCTATTATCTGCTTCTGTGGTCTGCCAAGATCAAAAACCTCCTCCTTTTGTCAGCAGTGAGGCAGGCGGAAAGGAACTCAGGGAGCGAGACCCATTAGCAGGTAGAGAGGGATGCTGCCGGCATCAGACAACAGATGCTCTCTGGGGACGCCTGACAAAGCACAGCGCTGGGCGGTGGGAGGAACACCCAGAGCCAATCGCCACCAGCGCCTGTGCGAAAAAGCCAGAGGTGCCTTGCGGCTGCTTGCAGCCACTCCAGAAAAGGGGGAGCAGCACTGCCCACCCACCTCATGGCCAAACAGTTATTAATAATATGGAAGCATCTTTAAACACACCGACCAGAAGCCCCTTTTAAGCCTCAGAACAAACCTCTGAAACTACACAAGTGGTAGTTTCGGCAAGCCCAACAAGCAGATTCCATTTCTCACCTATTAGGAACTAGCAGCAACAGTCATTGCTCATACTATTTCCTCCATCCCATAATAAACCAACAAGAAGCTGCTATATTGTGTATCGTTAGGTGTTCACAATTCCTGCCTGCAGGCTAACAAGGCAAGACTGAGGCACCCGCAAAACAGGACGCATCTCACACAAAGGGGAGGAGGAAACTGGAACCAGAGATGGAGATTCATGTCACTAGGGGAAAACACCACGTCCAAATAATTCTCTTGAAGCAAAAGCCCCTACGCAGAAGTGCTCTCGCATCCCCATCAGGCCACATCCTCTCTTTTTAAGGTGATACAACAGCCCCGTGAATAGCCAAAAATAAGGTGCCACAGCAGAAAATTAGAAAGACTGGGGTTCACAAACTGTGCTTAATACAAAATACAGCTTCTAAGCTGCTCAGTGGGGCACCCAGCTGTGCACACACCAAGCTCTCCACTGACTGCCTCTCAGCTACTGAGCCAAGTTCAGGGTCCAAGCCCTAAGCAACTTGGAACCAGGGTCCCCGGACGCTGGCCACTTTGTGACCCAGAAGAGGGCTCTTGCTGTGGCAGCAGCACCCTTGGCTTGAGAGATGGAGACAACAAGCAACGTAAAAGGCCTCTTATAGACGTTTATGTTTACCCAAACTTCCCTGGACTCCGATTCCTGGTTCTTAAGCTTTCTTTTCGTGTTCCACTAATTTTTATCTATGGTATATAGTTTTATTCTCTTCTTGAGCTTCCTAAAGGAAAATGTATTGTTTTTCTTTTGCTCCTGATTATATTTTAACTGCTTAAGAGATTTATGTTTATCTTAAGCAGCACATAAATTTCATACATAAATTAATGAATACAACCACCTAATGGAAAAATCTGTATCTCCTCGAGCTGCTGACTCGCAAATAACAACAGAGGTTCTCCAGAGAGTCATTTTGCTTTGGCTGCTGCCCATCACTCCGAGTCCTAGCACTTTCCATTCTGTAGCAAGCTTCCCTCTCCAGAGAAGGGGCCCAGCTCCGCGATGGAGCACACGCGGCAGGTGCAAAAAACTCCAGGTAGGCAACTCCAGCCTGACATCACAACAGCCGCTGCCAGTTGGTACAGAGACAGGACCAGGCCAGGTGGCCTAAAGGTCTGGCTAGGTAATAAGGCTGCTCATTGTGCTCCTCCTGCTCTTGGCTTATCTGATACTGCAAGCTGCCCCACAGACTGACTGCATAATAATACAGTCATACCTCATGTTACGGCCGCTTCAGGTTATGTGTTTTCGGGTTGCGGACCGCAGGAAACCTGGAAGTACCGGAACGGGTTACTTCTGTGTTTTGCTGCTCGCACAGAAGCGCTAAAACGTGCTCCACACATGTGCAGAAGCGCCAAATCGCACCAGCACAGACGCGGCACTTCAGGATGCGAACTCTGCGGGTTGTGGACGTGCCTCCGTCATGGATTATGTCCGCAACCCAAGGTTCCACTGTATATACATTAATATTCAACAATGCCAGGTGAGTGGTTTCTGGAAGGAATTATTCAGATAATTTAGAATTATGGTACTGTATTCTGTAGGCACTTGAAAAAGTTCTGGATGGACTTTTGATCACCTCCCCTAAGTCATTAATGAGCTAAAAATGCAAAGAGCTCCTTGGGACACAAGAAGAGTCATCTGGATGAGGCCAGGGGCCCATTCGGTCCAACATTTGCTGCTCACCCTGGCCAACCAGATGCCACAGTGGGAAGTCCCCAAGCAGCTCCTCTCTTCTCCTGCAGTTCCTGGAACTGGTTTTCAGAAGCATGTGAGAGTGGGAGCCTTCGAGGACTCATGCTCAGTTCAGAGGTTACTCAACAGACAAGTAAACATGGAAAAACCTTCAATAGTAGGAAGCTGGAAAATTATCAACTCAGAGCAGCAGCAAACCTCTAAAACCTCTTACTGGCTAACAGCAACATACAGTGATTTAATATCCTCCAATATCTCAACAATATGCAATCAAAATTAATTTTAACTCTTAAAGTTTCTCCTTTAGTGACTGTCAGGAGAGAAAGGTGGGGCCCTGGGCATGTGTGTGTCTTCCTTACTTGAGCCTGCGGCTGAGTCAGCATCAAAGATAAGAACCTCTGCTCTAATTTGGGCCTGGCTTAATGTGCAAGATTTCATAGAATAGAATCATAGAATCATAGAATTGGAAGAGACCACAAGGGCCATCGAGTCCAACCCCCTGCCAAGCAGGAAACACCATCAGAGCACTCCTGACATATGGTTGTCAAGCCTCTGCTTAAAGACCTCCAAAGAAGGAGACTCCACCACACTCCTTGGCAGCAAATTCCACTGTCAAACAGCTCTTACTGTCAGGAAGTTCTTCCTAATGTTTAGGTGGAATCTTCTTTCTTGTAGTGTGGATCCATTGCTCCGTGTCCGCTTCTCTGGAGCAGCAGAAAACAACCTTTCTCCCTCCTCTATGTGACATCCTTTGATATATTTGAACATGGCTATCATATCACCCCTTAACCTCCTCTTCTCCAGGCTAAACATGCCCAGCTCCCTTAGCCGTTCCTCATAAGGCATCGTTTCCAGACCTTTGACCATTTTGGTTGCCCTCCTCTGGACACGTTCCAGTTTGTCAGTGTCCTTCTTGAACTGTGGTGCCCAGAACTGGACACAGTACTCCAGGTGAGGTCTGACCAGAGCAGAATACAGTGGCACTATTACTTCCCTTGATCTAGATGCTATACTCCTATTGATGCAGCCCAGAATTGCCGTGTCACACTGTTGGCTCATGTCAAGTTTGTGGTCAACCAAGACTCCTAGATCCTTTTCCCATGTACTGCTCTCAAGCCAGGTGTCACCCATCTTGTATTTGTGCCTCTCATTTTAGTGCCCAAGTGCAATACTTTACATTTCTCCCTGTTAAAATTCATCTTGTTTGTTTTGGCCCAGTTCTCTAATCTGTCAAGGTCGTTTTGAAGTGTGATCCTGTCCTCTGGGGTGTTAGCCACCCCTCCCAGTTTGGTGTCATCTGCAAAGTTGATCAGGATGCCCTTGAGTCCATCATCCAAGTCGTTGATAAAGATGTTGAATAAGACCAGGCCCAAGACAGAACCCTGTGGCACCCCACTAGTCACTCTTCTCCAGGATGAAGAGGAACCATTGATGAGCACCCTTTGGGTTCGGTCAGTCAGCCAGTTACAAATCCACTGAGTGGTAGCATAGTCAAGACCGCATTTTACCAGCTTCTTTACAAGAATATCATGAGGCACCTTGTCAAATGCCTTGCTGAAATCAAGGTAGGCTACATCCACTGCGTTCCCTTCATCTACCAGGCTTGTAATTCTGTCAAAAATGAGATCAGGTTAGTCTGACATGACTTATTTTTCAGAAATCCATGCTGACTATTGGTGATCACAGCATTCCTTTCTAGGTGCTCACAGACTGTTTGCTGAATGATCTGCTCCAGAATCTTCCCTGGTATTGATGTCAGAATGACTGCGCGGTAATTATTTGGGTCCTCTCTTTTCCCCTTTTTGAAAATAGGGACAACATTTGCCCTCCTCCAGTCTGCCGGGACTTCGCCTGTTCTCCAGGAATTCTCAAAGATGACTGCCAGTGGTTCTGAGATCACATCTGCCAGTTCTTTTAATACTCTTGGATGCAGTCCATCTGGCCCTGGAGACTTGAATACATCTAAAGTAGCCAAGTATTCTTGTACTATCTCCTTAGTTATTCTGGGCTGTGTTTCCTCTGCAGAATCATTTGCTCCAAATTCTTCAGGTCGGGCATTGTTTTCTTTATCGGAGAAGACTGAGGCAAAGAAGGCATTGAGGAGTTCAGCCCTTTCTGTGTCCCCTGTTTGCATTTCACCATCTTCTCCTCTGAGTGACCCCACTGTTTCTTTGTTCTTCCTTTTGCTACGAACATACCCATAAAAGCCTTTTTTGTTGCTTTTAACCTCTCTAGCAAGCCTGAGTTCATTCTGTGCTTTAGCTTTTCTGACTTTGTGTCTACACGTGCTGGCTATTTGTTTGATTTAATTTATTTTAGTTTAAAATTACATCCAGTCTTCACAGAAGCCAATGACATGTGAGGCTCCTACAAGGAGCCTTGAGAGGGAATGTAAATAAATGACTTTTGCTGCAATCTGAGAGGTGGGGGATTTGGCTTTCTTTTTATAGAATTTATTTACATGCAAAAGCTATACCGTAATAGGGACAATGTAATTAACAGATGATTAACATTACTACATGAGCAATAATATCATGTTCCTCTTTGCAAAAGTATCATGTTACTTCTCTCACGTATCACATGGGGACATCCCAAAGGAAACCAAGCTAAGATTACTTTAATGAACATTGTCAAAACAGAAACAGAAGCTATCACAGATAAAAGCTGTGGGGATTTTTTTTTACTGGAATCCAAACCGGGGGGGGGGGGGGACTTAGCCTACTTAGAGCAATCCTAGGAGGGATGGCTGAGGGGCCAGAGGATGCTGTGGGCCTCTCACTTCTCCACTGTGAGGGGGGGGTCCCTGCAGGTGGAGCAGGGGGGGCTTCCTTTGGAGGCCACAGTACAGCAGTTGCAGGAGAAGAAAGTTTGGCTTTTGCCAGTGAGGTTACAGTGACAGAGCAAACAGATTCAAAGCTTTACTAGGAAACTATTTTTATTGGAATACTTACTTGACAGCTTTGGGGGTTTGACTAGACAGCTCTTGGGGTCCCTTCCAGCCCTATGATTCAATGTCATACCCTTACCTTACCTTATTTAAAAGAAAATATATAGGCACTGAATACGGTCAACACGCTAACTGTAGCATGCTGGACGGCTGGCATTATGTTCATTTATTTATGTTCCTAATTTATTTGAGGAAACAGTGCATTTCTAAAAATTCAAAAATTTCCACCCCACATAACTGATGTTCTCCAAATGCTACTGAAATGGATGTGCGTTAAGCAAAGATGCTTTTTGTTGGGCTTCAGCCAGGGAGGCTAAACTAGTCAGGGAGCACAAGCACTTCAATGGGTCTGGCAAGCAGCGTGACCCACCAGCCACTGAAGCCACGTGCAAACTGGGATGACGTAGGGCTCACTCTTAACAGGGCTTTTAAATGGCCGGCACCTTATTCATAGCTGCAATGGGCACCACGGGTAGAAGGACAAAGACTTGAGACCAAGGAGGGGATGCAGTCCTGGGTGTGGTCTTTTCCAGTGCAACGTGAAGACCTTGTTTCCCCAGGGCTTCTAGTTTTCAAGACAGACATTTTGGCAGTGCTGTTTTTTTCTGCTGTGGGTTTCACTTTGGATTTATCTCTTTGAAGTTGTCTTCTACATCTTGTCTGGAAGGGCTGGTTTTCTTTTTCTCCTGACCAGTGGATCACAGCAAGGAGAATGTGGGAGGGAGAAAGAGGGTTGGAGACAAGGAAGCAGCCCTTGGATGGAAGCACCACAACAACAGGGAACTCACGGGATGGGGACGGGAGATCCCATTGCATATCCTGCGAGTTTTGTGTTGTGCTCAGATCAAGCAAGTTGCCTGCCAGTTGGCTTTATCAGATGACCCCCAATTCCTAGTAAAAGCTTCTATCTATCCCCTTGCCTGGGTCCACACTCAAATGAAGAGTGGAGGCATCAGGTATACGTACTTCAGGAGGGGAGAGGATACAAAGGCTAATAAATGTTCCAATCCTTGAATGGCAGAGATGTGGAACATTAAGCATCTTTCTTTCTTTTTCTTAAAAAAACACACACACATTCAAAGCAAAAAAACAGCACCTCTGGGGGAAGATGTGGCTTGGTCCTAGGAACAAACAGATTGAGCTCTGGAAGATTTGGCACCCCCACCAGAGAAGCCCAGCATCAGTCAAGCTCTGGATCCAGCTGCATCACCAAGCAATGAAGTGCACAAACATTACTGTACAAAAGCAAAGGACCATCTGAAGATGCCCAAAATCTTCCTGAATCTGACTCCAGGGATCTCCCCACCTCTGGTCTTGAAAACACCCCCGTAATAAGCTTGGTTTAAATATTTGTAAATTGCAGAATGCCAAAAGAAGATACACATTTTCTATGTATCAGAAGTATCTCCCCTTGAATTAAGAACCGGACCATCATTAGGCTATGTTAGTTCACCTACCAAAATATGAAGATTGAAGTGCCTGGACTGCCGGACACTCTTTAGGATCCTCCTGCTCATCTTCTGAGCATGCCACGTTGAAATGAACATGGTGGCCTTATTACAAGTTGCTCCAAAAACGTCTTGCAGTGGAGAAGCAAACAGCTCAGCTCCAAGCAGAATCACAAGCAGCAGCTGTGATGGATGGACAGACGGGCACTGCCTCCCCCCTCCCAACTGCCTTAGTGCCTCTTGATTAATCCAACTTCCGTCTGTTACACGTTCTGCCCACTTCAGATCTACAGATTATGCTGCTCCCAAGTGAAGAGTCTTTCTTGCCCAGTTATCCAGGTCAAGGAGCCGCCCACTGAGCACCCTTCTGCTCCCACCTAGAGAGGAAAGATGCCTCACCTCCAGCCAACAAAAACACCTGGAACCTGTTCTTCATCAGTGCTTTGCAAACAGATCCCAAGCTGACCCTGGGTTTACATTGGGGAAGAGGCATAGGAATGGCTGCAACCAAGCCTCCAGCCACGACGGCTCTGGAAGCAGCCCCAGGGCAGACAGGTGCCCCTTCCGGGTGGAGCACTCCCCCCCCCCCACCCGAACAGGCAGTCTTTCTCATTCCCAGGCCCACGAACCGCCCACCCATCCACAAGAGCACCTCCAGCCTTGTCAAAATCCCACTTCAGTTTGCTGGCCCTCATCCAGCCCACCACAGAGTCCAGGCGCGTCTCCCTGGCCACACCACAGATGTCACAGAAACTGTGCTGAGTATTAGCAGCATACGGATGGCACCACTGCTGCCTGATGTTTATTGTATGTTTTGGTTTTATTATGTATCAAATCCTGGGACTGCATAGATGAAAGGTAGGAATGAAACTGAACAAACAAACAAACAAAGCTGCATTCACCTGCCAGTTTACTTCGTTTTCATGACGTTTCCTTAACTGTTAAGTCCACATTATATTTCAGTTTTCACACAACGTAAAAGCCACTTCTCAAACTATTGTAGTGCAGTGCAAGCTTAGTGCTCATTTTTGCTTCCAGAAAAAAACTGTTTACAAATAATAGAGCAAGTTTAGCATTTGTTTCCATATGTTCCACTATATTCCGCTATAGTTCTGTTACATTGTGTGTAAACTCAAACCTAACATGGAAATCAACAGTTGGGGAAGGCCGTGAGAATGGAATCAATGGTCATGTGAATGCAGCAAAAACAGTATTTGGATAACCTGAGAGGCCTGTGGCCAAGGTCTTCCTCTGCAACATCTCCACCTAGAGGCCATTACAAAAGCAAATGCACTGCCAAAGATTTCTGTTCAGAGGGACAACCACCACAGAGCAGAGTTCGAATTCCTCAGCCAGCCAGGCAGTCTCTGCAGGCCCACAGTCTACCTTCCATTGCATTAAGCTGCTTCCAGGGTCCCTGAGGATTCTGCCCCTAGCAGAGGAAGGCAGGCAGGCAGGCAGGCAGATGAGGCAGCTGCCCCCACCCTCCGAATCCCTGAGCAGGCTGCTTCTTCCTGTCTTTCTGGAGCTGGGAGACCTGCTCTGCCAATTCCCATCCTCCCCTGGTCTGGTTCAGGTAAGAAGAGGCTGGCATGAGTGCATGTTTCAAGGCAGGGCTGGGGAGAAGGAAAGGCCAGGAGGCATCTGCCATTGACTGCTGTGGATTACTTCCAAGTTCTGACACCAGCTTCCCGTATTCCCTGCCTGACACTGCTATCTGCCTCAGTTCTTCAAGCCCCCTTCCTGTCAAAGTGAGTCCAGGCCCACCTATCTGCCCTACATTTCTGACTGTGAGGATGGCAGAGGCAAATAACTCATTCAGCCTCTCCTTTAGCACACCTCAGGCCCCAATGTGTGCAGGGTTAGAAACAGAGAGAGGAAAGCCAGGAGCTAAAGGGCACCTTAAACCAAGGTTATGGGCGAAACACCGGAATGTCTAGGTGCGCTTTTTTATAACAAGAATACAAAGCTGAAAATGAATGAACTGCAGCTAAAATATTATGTTCATTTTTCACATGGTCTAGTCCTTCGCAAGCCCCCTCCCTAATGTTCTTAAGAGGGTCTCTTCTCCCGTCTTCAGAGAGTAGCTGGAAGTGGGGAGGCAGAAAAAGGTCCTCCTTTCCTTCCACTCTGCAGTTTTAATCTGAAATCTTAGGCACAGTATTTGCACCCAGAGCTCAGAAACTGCTCACGCTAATGAAATTCCCTGTCACAAAATGCGCCTAGAACAACGGGAGTTTCAAACACTGGGTGTGTCCAAAGCCCAAGAAGAATTTTGCATGATGCATCATTCAACATACTTCACATGCATTCTTATGAAGCAGCTTGACAGAAGCAACCCTGTTCTGCAGATGGTGGCAATAGGGAGGGGGCTGAGGGTACAGCTGCTTTCCTAAGGCGGCCTTCCCCAACCTGGTGCCCCCCGGTTGGTGAACTACAACTCCCATCAGTCCCACCCACCACGGTCAATGTTCAGGGATGATGGGAGTTGCAGACCAGTTGCAGCTGGAGGGCAGCATGTTGGGGGAGGATGACCTGAGGAGTTCATGCCCAGCCTCCCAGCACACCATCTGGACTGTGCCAGCTGCACCACAACCTCCCATGGCAGCCTCCCCTCTCCTGAACTGCTTTTACACCATCCAACATCCACCTTTCTGTTGTTTAAACAAGGACTCTTCTTGTCCGGTTCATCATGGTCCTTCCATCCCAGCCCATGAGCCATTCCGCTTTTCAAAAACAGCCCACCAGGGAACACTCAGGATGAAACGGTGAAATCTGCTATGATTAAATGGGCACAAGACGTTGGACACAACATTATGTTCGCTGACTGGGAACAGTTATGGACCACAGGTATGAAATTTACGGCATGTAATGCCCTAAGAGAGAATATTATGAAAATGATATACAGGTGGTACATAACCCCAGTCAAGCTTGCAAAAATCTATCATTTGCCCGATAATAAATGTTGGCAATGTAAAGAAACTGAAGGTACATTTTTTCACCTTTTGTGGACGTGCCCAAAGATTAAGGCTTTCTGGGAAATGATATATAATGAATTAAAAAGGTATTTAAATATACCTTCTTGAAGAAACCAGAGGCCTTTCTCCTGGGCATAGTCGGCCAAACGGTGTTAAAAAAAGGATAGAACTTTCTTTATGTACGCAACAACAGCAGCAAGAATACTCATCGCAAAGTATTGGAAGACACAAGAGCTCCCCACACTGGAGGAATGGCAGATGAAACTGATGGATTATATGGAACTGGCGGAAATGACTGGTAGAATCCGTGACCAGGGAGAAGAGTCGGTGGAAGAAGATTGGAATAAATTTAAAGACTACCTACAGAAACATTGCAAAATTAAAGAATGTTAGAGTGATGATAGATTGAAATTAAGTGGTTTCTAGCTGCACAGGCTTTAAAGTTATATACAGATTAAAATTAAGGATTAGGAATAAAAAGGTTAAAAGAATGGAAAATTGGCTATTAATAGATAAAAATTTAATGTTATATTATATCAAGATTAAGGATTGGGATTAAAAAAGAGGGAAAGGAATTGCTGGACAAACAAACTGAATTGGAATACAAAAGAGGGAGGTATGAGGAGGTCCAGAAAATAAGTAAATTTAAAAGTAGTGATGAAAAGATGGAATTGTTTTTAACTGTTTTTTCTTTTTTTATTTGTGTATTTTGTATTGTGTATTTTTCTTTTTACTTTTAAGTTCTTTTTTATTGATGTGTCTCTTTTTATCTGAAACTTTAATAAATATCATTTTTTTAAAAAAAACAAAAATAAAAAAAAACAAAAACAGCCCACCAGCTGCTGCTCCCTAGTACTGAAAGAACTGCTTCAGGGTCCCGCCCTTCTCACAGCTGTCCTCCAGCCCCACTGGCAGCTTCTCCACAGCCCTCTTGAACCCACTGCCCAGAACTCACCACCCAAGGCAACCTTGCGCTGAGCAGGGAACTCCTGAATCTCAGAAACCCACGCCACTCCCGCTGCTGCCACCCTGATACAAAAGGTCAATGCCAGGTCAGTGCAGGCTCAAAATTTGCCAGCAGTCCAGTTCCTGTGTGTGTTGTTCTGAGCACCCCTCTTTTAAGGTCACATATTATTATCAGAGAAACTGTGGGGTGGGATACGTGAAGGCAAGATGTAAGCCATTCACTGTTCCTGCTCAGGCTGCACAGAAAAAGCATTTTGCTTTCATTCTGATTGTGCAGATAAAAGATAACAAATGGATTTCTACAGGATGGGGTATAAGTATGTGAAAACAGTCCAGATCCACTGATCCCCAGGCATGAACCTTCAGATAGTGGAAATGTCAGGCGCCATCCTGGTACCCAGGCATCTTCACTTACTCGTAAGTAGCTGATAGCCAGTTGTAAAATGCCCCTGACACCCGGCTAATTTCACACATTGTTGGGAAACCCTGCTCTCAAACCTAAACTCAACTGAATAAAAAATCTTACAACAGAGGAATACTCGGGTTTTCATGCCATAACCTAGAAATAGACTAAGAATTTGCAGACGAAATCCTACACAGCCATCAAAACAATGATTTGTGAGAGAGTGAAACCTTAGATTCCTCAAACAGGAAGAACCGGTTACCTTGCTTCAGAGATGCAGCAGGAAATGAATGAATAACACGTCCGAACTTCATGTTATGATGAGAACCCACCAATTAGAAAGACATAAGGGTAGGACTTGGAATGAACATGAAATATTTACAACAACAAGAAGGCATGCAACTTTTCACCAGACACCTGACCCATCATACCCAAAGAGGCTCCGAAATATGTGCACGCCTCCTACCTTGACTGGCGAAATGTGAGAGTGGGACACAAATCCATGGACGTTCTCAACTTGAGAGAGGCTCTTCTCAGAAACATGCACAAGCTCTGGAGCTGCTGCCTCACTGGGAGTTTCCCGGGGGGAGCCGTGCTCTGGCGAAGGAGTGTCATCGTCATCTTGAGAACGGTATTTCTGGGGGAGGAAAAAGGTTCAAAAGGAGACCAATTTTACAAGGCAAACCTCAACAACACAACTTGCTTCCCCAACCTAAGAGGGGAAGAAGGTGGCAACAAGAGAGCGCTGGCTTCTCTGCAACGGTCCCAGCACAGGCTGCCCAAGTTGCGCATCAAGGTTGTGCCCCTCCGCTTGTGCAGCGGAGTCCCTGCCAGACTCCACCCCCCCCATGTAGAACCACCCGTTTTTACTTATTTATGACATTTAAATTCCATCTTTCTGCAGACCAGAATTCAAGACACCTTAAGTCAAAATGACACACATACTCATCCCAGAAAATGCCATAAATTATTATTATTATTATTATTAATTTCATGTCTACGCCACTTTATGCTTTTAAAAAAGAAATCTCCAAGTGGCTTACAACCTACATTAAAACATAAAATAAAACAATCCAGAATAAAGCATCAATGAATAAAGTCAAATAAAAAGTATACATTCAAGCAAAATACAAAACAAAACAAAAAATAGCGAAATAAAGAAATAAATCCTGGCAGAGACCAAAAGCCGCCAATAAACATTTTAGCCATTAGAAAACCAGTTCTATAACCTAAACTATGGAGCTTGGACAAAAACAAACCATTAGCACATTAACAACCAAAAGCCAAGAGAAACACAGATTTTACCTGGTGCCCACAGGCTAGTGAACAAGATGCCAGGAGAACTCCCCTGCCGGGGTGGGGAGAGGGGAAATACAAAGGAAGAGGTTTTCTCCAGAAAAAGGTCACCCACAAGCGAAGGTCCCTGAAGACGCTGGGCAGGTTCACAGGCCAAGAGGAAGTCCTTTGACAACCCATCTGCGACCATTTCTAAAGCCACCATTTAGAACTGTGCCCAGAAATGAGCCAGGAGCCAACAGAGTCCCCTAGAAGAGCCAAGCCAACAGGCTCATAACCACAGGCCCCTGGTCAACAGCCTGGATGCCCTGCTTGACCCAGCACAAGCCCTGAGGAAAGTGAGTCAGGATGTGACTCACGTGGGGACACCTGGCACGAGGCCATCCTGGAACCAAAGGGACCGCAGCTGATGCACCAAAGGATGCTGGGAAAAGGCATCCCGGTGGACCAGTCGCCAAGGCCATCTAGGCATAGCCAGCAGGCCCGGGCTTTCCATCGAATCATTGAGGAGGGGCGGGGTGCTTGCGTGTGTGTTGAGAAGCCAACCCATCCCACCTTACCCAGGGGGGCACTGGCTGAATGGGGTGCCAGTGGATATTTGTTTATTTCATAAAATTTCATTTAAAATTATATACTGCTTGGGTGTAGAAAAACTTCACAGCTTATCCCTACTGTGTGTTTCAGGTTGGAGACTGCCTGAGCACTCAAGCAAAAAGGCCATGCTCTGCCTTTTGTTCAGAGCCAGGCGCTGGGAATTCAAGTGCTCTCTCTGCCCTGCGGCTCCCGGTTCTCCCTCTGCAGACAGAGTGCTGCCAACCCCAGCATTCACCCACCCGTTTCAGTGCAGTGGGCAAATGGCAGTTTGCAGCCCTCCCGCCTCTTTTGCCCAGCAGTCTGAATCATTCTGAGAACAAAAGATGGCCAGGAGGAGGAAATCAGCTGTCACAGGGAAGAATCAGACCATGGAGCCAAGGGATTATTTAAAGAAGAAGACCAAGAGGCGGAGGAAGAATAGGAAGAAGAGACCTTTCTCCTCCTTGATGGAATAAATATCTGAAGTTCTGCACAAGAACTGTGAAAGGCACACAACCACTGGCACTCAAGAAACAGCAGCTGGAGCTAGGAGCCATGTGTCGGTCACTGTTTCATTAGGCCAGTAACAGAAGCCAAAGATATGGTTCTTCCTTTCTGCCAAGACAGAGGATACTGCAAATGTGAGTAACACATTGGGCTGGCGTTGGTACAGGTCAGGCTATAATACTCCTCACATGTCCTAGGCATGTTATTTCTTAGCCCGCTTGTGCAAAAAGCATACCAGAAATAAGCACTTCTAAGTAAGCTTCTCCATTTTGGGTTTGGCTTGCCTGGTCCTTCAACCACCACCATTAGCACCGTTAACAGAGCATTTTAATCATTTCCCATGGATGGATATGCTTCAGGAGTAACAGCAATAAACAACTGGGGGAGAGGACCTACAAACATACCTGCAAGCACCACGGGGACTCCCCAAGCTTCACTGGCCTCTGGGACCAGTAAGTTTAAAATGGTATTTTGGAAAAAGACACCCGCACACAGAGTGCTTGGGAGCATATGCAGAGGCAAACCTTGGCAGCCGTGTGGAAACCACAATGGAATGTGGAGATGCGTTGCACCTCACCCCAGGCCAATATGGGGAAGGGGAAACATCATGAAACCTCAACTTGTGCCTCCCCCCCAAAGTTATTGTTCCATCACTGGTGGGGAAGAGAAGGAAACACGAATCTGAAGTTGCAGGCAGCATCTATAACCTCTCCAGGGCAAGTTTTCTCCTGGCATATTAAACCTCCTCTGCTCACAACCAGCATGCAAAACACAGCCTGAGTGTAGGGAAAGTCTTAGCTGCCATCCAGACACTCAGACACACTATTTATTTGTTTAAATTTCCACAAGGTCTCAGGGCAGGTAACAACTATTTTAAAACACAACATTAAAATCTGTTACAACAAATCATGGTCAAAAGCATAGGGTGGGTCCAAATATGTCTCAGGTGTCAAAAGCCAGGGAAAAGAGGTGCATCTTCAGCTTATAACAAAAGTTACACAACAAAGGTGCCAGACACCTCTCTCTGTGAAGGGACTGGCTATTCAGCCACTAAATTAAAGGGTCCGCCTGGCACTGGGTACTTGCAGGCCACACTGGAAGTTGGAAGAGCTAATATACAAACTGCTGAGATTTCACATGAAACATGCACCCAACAGGAAGATTTTTTTAAAAGAATGGAGCTGAGCATTTTTGCCATTCCCCAAGAGGGGCAGCTGTGAGGCAGCTGCCGTCACTGAAAACTCTTTATTGCCTTCCTGCAACCCTCTCCCCCATTTCCCTCCCAGTGCCAACCCCAAAGCTGCCTTCCAGTCATTGCACTTTCCCTGCAACATTTCAGTTGCAAGTCAGTCCTCAAAAACCCTGGCTGGGTCAACTGAACTTGCCTGAAGATCCTCTCAGAGGCAAAATGCATGCTTCATCTGTTCTCTCTCCAAAGTATCTGGAAACCAATCGCAGCCTGGGGTATCTCAACCCACATTGTTATGAGGAAACCCCCAAATACTGGGTAATAACATGCATTTCACTTTTTTAAAAAGGAGGGAAGAAAGAAAAGCCATCAAGTCAATCCAAATGGATGCTCTGCATTAAAGGTCACTATGCCCCCTTCACTGCTCCATCACAGTTTGTCAACACAGCCCCCAAAGCCCTCAGGTGTTCCCCCAGGGACCTCAGGAGGCTTCCATTCCAACAGACAGAACCCTTGATAGCCACAGAATAAAGCAGGAGCAAAACATTTAAGATGGCAATTAAGAGAGCTACTTCCTGCTGTAGAAACCTTTTTATTACTATAAGCCACCCCAGGAGCTCAATAAACAAAAGAACAGGGTATGAATATTAGAAAGTAAAAACGGTAACTACAAAAACATGCCGTGCTTTGCCAGGGCAGTGCTTCAGCCTTCCCCCGAGGTTTTTCTACTCTGCCTTTTAATTGTTCTCCTGCAGAGGGTGCGTGTGCAATATCCCTCTTTCGCAAGGCACACAGACCGAGCAGAGATCGCCGCTGCCTGCCTGCCCCCAGCACGTCACCAAAAGCATATGACTTAATCCCATCCCATGGCATAATTCTATTGCTACAGATCCCATTAACAAGGAGATGCTGCTAATTTATTTAGATGTGCCAGAGGTTCGCCAGAAACCCCGTTCGGACCCACCTTGCATCCAAACATTAAAGAGACAGTGTTGTTGCTGCATGCTACTTTGCAGTGGCACAGCACTGGAGAAAAGCAATCCACGTTTTTTGTGCTAGGAGACATCTTTTCAGACCCAGGACACCTCCATCATTCAGCAACCGAGATTCAAGAAGAATGCTTTTGGAAAGAAGGGCTTGCTGCCTGCCTTGGACGTGTGAGTCCATGATCCTCTCAACAGAAAGCTGAGACAGAAAAACAGCACGGAATTATTTCTTGTGGCAGAAGTCCCCACCGCCTGTGGGATCGAGCTGAAGAGGTCCATGTGTCCCTTTCCAAGAGGGTGGCTCCCTCTTCAGTTAGAGAAAAGGCATCAGCATGAAGAGAACTCTGCAAGGGCTCCCTTTTGGAATCCTCTTGGCCAAAAATCTCCAGGGAGGGGAGCAGGAAGGGAGGGAGAGAAGGGGATGAGGCAGTTCCACCTGCTGCAGGCAAAGTAAGCTCCGCTACCTCCTCCATAAGGATAAAAGCGGCTCATCTGGCTGCAGCCACTGCTCCGTTGATGCCAGATGCTGAGGGGGAGGGGCAAAACGCTGCAGCAACCGACCCATCATCGCAGGGGGCACACACAAGCACACGCCAGAGAGAGAGAAGCTCCAGCAAACACATTTCAGACTGTAGCAGGAACTTGGAAATCCAAGTAAATGCAGCCAACTTCAAAATATCCAGCCACTCGCTGCTCATTTCCTGGTCCTGTTACTTCTGTCTACCTGGAAGGCAGGGAGGGCTGGCACCTGGAACAGCCAACCAATATATGGGGCATCCTGAAGCTGTCTCTCTTGGAGCCCATTTCCATTGGTGAATGGAGACATCAGGTATCAGCAGAGGTTTCATTGCAATGGCAGGGCAACGGAGGCGCAGCCGTGTTAGTGGGTAGCAAAGAACGATGTTCATTATTGCAGCCTGCATATGTGGAATGCTTCACAGTGAATCAGCACCAGGAATGAAAAGCTGACATCAATGTGGGCAGCCATGAATCACCCAGACATTCCCATCAGAATAAAAGGGGCTTCCCTTCTCACCACTGTGCCTTCATTTCCAACCCACAGACTGCAATAAGAGTTATTAGCACTGTAGGGTCCTGTTAAATCTATCCTGCCTTGCAGCCAGTTTCGCAGGGCTGGACAATGGCTTTGGGGCAGCAGGATTTATTACTGAGACTAGATAAGGATTTGAAATAAAAGGGCAATCCAATAGCAATATTCATTGCTGCATTAAAGAAATTGAAGGAGAGAGGATTTATTGTTTCATCTGTCACCTCAAACAATAAGCTCTTGCACTTAGACCTGGAACTGGCAGAGCTGACCGTTCATCTGACCGTTATGCTGTCGCCTAAGGGGGGTCCATCTATCAGCACATGGCACTTTTGCTGCAGGGTCCCTGCTTGCACTGCTTTGGAACAAAAACAAAGGGAAGCAGCCAGGGCAAGGCAATGTGGTGCCCCCACCCCCGATCACCAAGTCTAGAAAACAGACACAACCCTCCCAAGGACAGTGTGGCCGTGGAAAGGGTAAAAACAGGCAGAAGTTCAATCCCACTACACTGGTAACTTCTCAGAATAGTTTGGGCCAGCTTTGAGGGGCTAGTTTAGTTCTTTTGCGCTCCTCCCCCTAGGAGGAAGAGGGCTTTTTTAGCCTAAAGTGCACTGGCAGCACTTATTTGGTCCAAGCATGGCTGTTTTGTTCCAGGACCAGTTATTTTACTTGGGCTCAGGCAGCCCTCCTAGTCAGGTACACACACAGAAGAGGGGGGAGAGGACCACAGGCTTACACCTGAACTGCATGTGATTCCTTCTCTCTCCAACAGGGAACCTCTTCAGCTTCAGGAACACCTTGGAAGCCAAGTGATGGACTGGAGGGCCACATCCAGTACACAACAACTGGCAGTTAATGTGCGTATCATTTTCACAAACACCGCAGGTGGATCATTCCACGTGGTTTTAGAATAAATGATTTAGACTAATTGCCCTCAAAATAGGAACACCGCAGATCTTTTTTCCAAATGCCTGGTGTGTTTCCATTTGAGTTCATCCATACCTATTCTGTGAAGGCCTGCTTTCTAAAATAACATAACAGTCAGGCAGGCTCTCCAAGATTTAGCCAACCTGGGCAAGCGGCATAAAAGGAGCAGGATGCGGTCCTTGGGTCCATACAGTGTTGGGGGTGGGGAATCACAAGCTCTCAGCCCATTTTCTTGGGTGATGCCTCAGGACCCAGCCCGCCAGGCACACCCAGAGAATCCATTTGAGGCACATTAAGAGGTTGTCTTGCCTAACAGTACGATGGACAAAGACTCCCACTTCAGCAAGGCAAGTCAATGGCTGCCTTGCAAACATCCGCTTGTCCAAAGGACTTGCTCACAATCATTCAAACCAGTAGAATACCAATGCATAGATGATTTTGCCATCTTTTCTAATTGAAATCAAAGCAGCCAATACAGTGGTACCTCGGGTTAATTCGTTCCGGAGGTCTGTTCTTAACCTCAGGTACCACTTTTACTAATGGGACCTCCCGCTGCCACCGCATGATTTCTGTTCACATTCTGAAGCAAAGTTCTTAACCCGAGGTACTATTTCTGGGTTAATGGGGTCTGTAACCTGAAGTGTCTGTAACCTGAGGTACCACTGTACATGGAACTCTGCCGGACTGATATTGCCTATACTAGAAACATATATGGTTCACAGGAAACCGTGGTCCAAAATACATCTCTAAAGCCAGCTTTAGAAACAGTAAATGCATATACAAGTAGAATTTGTCTCACAGGAAAAGAGGCCCGTTTAATTCATGGAAAGTGTATAATAATCAACAGTGACAATATGCTAAAGCCCTGAAGTACATGTCTGATTCTGTGACATCTGGTTATAAGGAACTGAGGGCTTGTGCCGGATGGTTTAAGGTTGCCGGCTCCCTCCAGCAGGATCAGCCCCTGAGGTGCTGCTGCTCCAAGGGGAGCGAAGATGCAGGCAGCAGCTGCAGCAAGAGAGGCTTTGGGGGGAGTGCCCCATTTTTGGAATTCCATTCTTAAAAGAGGTTCAGTGGCACCCTTTTCATTTTCTTCTCAGCATCAGCTGAAATCCAGGCCTTTTCATTCTATTTGGTTTTAATTCTGATTGTTCCATCTGCTGTAATTAGCTATTTGCTGTGTTTTTAATATTATACTTTGTGAAGAGCTGAGAGCTACAGCTGAAGAGTGGCTAATATAGGTTTGAAATCAATAAAGCTGGAATAGGCTTACAAAAGATTATGGAAGCAATTCTGGGGCCAGCATTACACTTTAGGTCTCTCTAGGTACGTATAAGTGACTCAAGATGAGACTTCAGTGAAAAAGGTTGCAAAGTCACAACAAAGGGCTACAAAGTTTTCAACATTACGAATACAAAAGTTTGGCATAAATAGAAGATGTTTATAAAGCTCTGAAAGTTTTCGTACTTATTTATTATATCTAGATGCTTTCCTGCCCTGATATTTCTGAGCACACATGAGAGAAAGTTATCATATTATTGCAATAATCTCATCCAGACACAGTGAGGATGCTCACAGCTCCTCTTCTGTCTTCCACAGAGAATCAGCCACTTGCAAACTGCTATTGCAAAGGGCCCACAATTCCTTTCTTCCCATTGCTCAAAATGGATGCAACACATCCAACCCTTTCATTTTCCTCACAGTGGTTGTCAGAGTAAGACATGCCTTTTGCCAGCAGCAGAGGGCAGCATGTCTTCTCTATTCCTGAACACACTCCAGAACCATAGAATCACAGTGTCAGGACTGGTCTCTTCCCTGACACACAGAATGGCAGAAGTGGGAGGAACGCCCCCCCCCCCGGGTCACATCGAGTCCACCTTTCTGCAATGCAGGAAACAGAACCACCTTAACCAAAGGTAGGCACTTTTCAGCTTATTTACACAATAAATTTGTGTCCTTTGTTAGGGTGCCTTACAAATGAATAAAAACTTACATTGCAAAGTAAAGAGAACAAAACTGCAATGGCGGAAGAATGCAGACATTTCATCACAGATTTGTGCCCTAAAACCCCTGAATTGGTGGGCTAGGCCTTTAAGCCGGTGGTGGATGGTGGCCACTGGACCTGGCGGGGCCTCAGGAGGCCACAGACAGTGCCGTGGTTGACTTGCTCTGGGTTTGCTCTCCAAACCTCCTTCCATTGCAAAGATACTGTGCACACGTAAGCACTGCAATTGTACAAATGTGTAACCATGTAAAAGGAAAGGATATATATAAAAAATAAGAATTCATTTCCACTGAATTTGGGGATCAAACCTGAGACTGTAACTGCAAAGCACATTCTCTTTCCCCAAAGGCCTAACAGATGGAACTTGGGAGTTTAACTTAAGCGTTAGTTATGCGGTTGGTATCCTACAGTCCCCAAGAAACCACCTCCCTTCTGTATTTGAGTTGTTTGAAATATTATTTATATTAAACAAAGGTGGCCAGGATCTAGTTATAAACTTCAGCTTCAAGATGTGTAAATGTTAGCAAAGGTATAAGATGTAATACTTCAGAAGTAGAGGTGTTGAAAATAATTATAAAATACTGACGGTATAGTAGGGGAGGGAGAGATGCCAAAGTGGGGTGCTGTTTCTTGATCATCAAGAAACAGTCATCACGGCAAAAATGCAAGTTAATATTATATGGCAAAGAAACTGCCACAACTCACAATAAAAGGTATGTTTTAATGTTAAAACCTGCCCTGCGATCTTACGGTGAAGAACAGGTAATAAGCAGTTATAATACTAACGATAACAATAGCCCCCAACTGTTACATTAGGCCCGTTGTAATCAATAGACAAGTTACTTTCCAGCGGGTTTTCTCTGTCTCAGGCTCACTATCGCTAAGACATCAGGAAGAGCTACAAGAATGCAAGGCTGCCCTATTACTAACCAAGGCTTTTCATTTGCTTCAGGTGTTTATAACAGAATGTGATAAAACATAGTGTAATGAGTATGAGTTACTCGTGCGTAAACTGGTGCCTCTCTAGGCTGATTTGCCTTGTTAAACCTTTCTGACTGCACAGCCCCTTCTGATCAGGACTGTCTCAGTCACTAGCAGAATCCGTCAGTGGGCGTTTCTTGAATCTCTTCCAACATAAGAGCTGTTTGACACCCAATCGCCTCCGCCTCTCACTGCGCGGGAGCCTTCTGCGCAGGGTGGGCGTGGGTAGCAGGGGACCTGTCCCCTCCTCACTGAGTTCCAGTGAAGAGTCCGTGAGCCCTCTCTCCGATTTTCCCATCTGCTCACTTTTGTTCCTGGTGTTGCGCTTAAATGCTCCCCCTCCACTGAGTCGCCTCTCCCCCTGCTGCTGGGTCCTTCTCCAGCATCATCCAGGAGCCTCCCCTTCGCCTCTCGCTCTGATGTCAGTTCCCTGACACATAGGAATATCAATAAGGGAAGGCAATCTAAACATTAGGTTCCTTCTACATAATTATACTGGTATTATAATAGTGAGGTATCACTGACAGCTAAAAAAACATCTGCTCCTCACCAATATTAAAAATATCTAAATGGAAGATTCATGTTCCAAGAACAGGGCGCAATATGCTGAAAACCACAACACACACATGCGAGACAAAATAAGTTAAAGAAATGTAACTTTAAAACATACAGAATCCTTTTGTGGCATATTGAACAACTGATTACTTTGAGCAATACAGAGATTGAACTGATGTGATTAAACCACTTATTTGTAATCTTCTTAGAACAGATGGTATTTTTAGTGCCCCAGATGTTAAATTTATGGTTAATATTATGACTACCTGTGAAGTTTTGTTGTTTCAAAAGTGTGAAAATTAAAAAAGGAACAGCATATATTTTATATGCTTTTCTTTTACATGCTTTTAATTTTCTTGATTGTTTTGAAATGTTGCAATTTTATTAAACGATGGGTTATAAATTTCTTAAAATAAATAATACATCACCTGAAAGCTTCATTCTGCGTGGCACCAGCTCACACTGCTTGAGACAAATTTCTAAACCCCAGAACAGCACCCTGCTATACAGAATGAAGTCAAAACCTCTTGGAAGGTTCACTATTAAAGCTTAGAGCTTGGAAGGTCCAGAGACGTTTTCCTACTCAGGGACTGACACTCTAAATGTGCAACGCCAGTTATCTTCATGACATCAACCCTGGATCCAACACAAATGCAACGCTCACTTAGACATTCCCTGAGCTCAAAACAGAACTCTAAGATAAAACTGTCAGGCAAAAGACAAGACTTCATCTGTTTCAGCCATCAAGGCAAAACCCTTTGAAGACGACATTTGCGCAGAGAGTAGGTATGAAAGGATGCATTCATTTTCCTACCATAAGAAAAATTCAGAGGCTTTCACATCTATTGCTCTAAAAAACCATCACCTGTAAACTGCCAAGATACTCTCATTAAAAGTTGTCAGATTCTATTCTCACATGCAGACTTGATGAAGTAGTTTTTGTTTCATTCCAATGACTGTGCTTGCTGAAGGCAGAATTACGGGGGTGGGGATGGGCTTTTAAGCATCTCACAGGAAGAAAAAGGTCTTCAATAGTACGGGGCATGCCTGTCCTCTCTCAGCCCACCTTTTGCGGGACCCCTATTCCGCTTCCCCAAGTCAGGACGCTTGGCCGTTTGCAAGCAATGAGGAAGACCGACCATTGTAAAGCACTGGCCAACATCAGCACAGCCAACATGGAACCTTTGTGTCACGGGACATTTAAAAATGGAATCCCAATAAAGCTTCATCAGATTAAGATAACCATTAAAAAGGGAAGATTTAAGGTTATGTAAAACTAGCATATGAGTTCTATTCTGAGAGTTCAAGCAAAGCAGCAAGAAGATGCTAGCATTTGTATGCATTCAATACCATAACATGCACTCGTTTTGTGTCCTGCTAAGCAAGCTAAGATATCCCAGAGGAGGCTTGAAATGAAATTCTCCCTACAAAAAGTTGCAAAGCATGGAAGTTAACATACGGCTTCCCACAAACATAGCCACCAGCCCTGCTGAAACTCCGTCTCTTACCTTGGTGGTTACAATGCAAAGGCAGTCCATTGCTCCACACAGCCAGTTAGTTTACTTTAAGTCCATTATTTGGCCTGTGGTTGTTTACTGAAAACTGGGGGGGGGGGGAGAATAAGGGGGGAAGAGGGGGAAAGAAAGAAAGGGGGGGTCAAAGCATCAAGACCTGTCGCAGGATGCAGCCAAGGAAGAAAGAACCCAATAGGCAGAAACACGTTGGGAAATGAGAAAAGCTCCCTAGAAACAAACAACTGTAGAGGAAGGGGGCTTTTCCAATGTGCTCCAAATTATTCCTGAGGTTTACAATTAACCTGCTTCTTCATGCAGTTTGCTCCAGCGCTCCCAGTTCTAAAGATGGCTTGATGGATGAGATTCAAAGCTGTATTTAATTAAACATATTTTGAATAAACCGCTGAATAAAAAAAATTCTCTCCCTCCCCAACGAAGCATTCCAGCGAATGAAAGCTACAGTTACATGCAAAGGTTTCCCCCATTAAACAATTTCAGCATCTGGAGTCAATAAGATAACAGATGGAATATTCCATGTAGAATTTCTGAAGGGGTGGGAAGTGAAAACAGAGCTTAGGAAGACAAACAACAAAGCTTGGTTTTAACTATTTTTAGCACTTGCCCGTCTTGAATGTACCAGATTTAACAGGGTGTGGCTCAAAGGCAGCACCTGCTTGCACACGGAAGACCCCGATTTCTTTCCAATCCAAAGGGCTCAGGCAGCAGGGCTGAGAATCAGTACTGAGCAAGACCGACTAGCGGTTTGTCTCTGCCTAAGACAGCTTCTGCCTATGTCCAAATGACTCCAGAATTAATAATAATAATAATAATAATAATAATTAAACACTAAAAAGACTCAGCAGGAGCTGCTACAACCAGACCAACAGCACTCCTGCAAGCTTTGCTGATCACAGTGCAGGACAAAGTCACAATTTACATAAACTGTGTGCTCTATCCAGTAGACCCAGTGAGATTCATGGCCATGGCTAATTGAGGTCCATTAATTTAAAGGGGTCTACTGTGAGTGCAACTTCGCTGGCAGATGAGGAACCCAGTAACTCTGACCCTCTGGGCTACCGAGGCTGGCAGCCAGCTGAGCTCTCCTCCTCCCTCGCCTTGCATAGACCAGACCTGCGTGACCCTGAACGATGGAGAGATCCGCAGTTCACTGTGAAGGAACCGAGTCCATGTGTGTGTCTGCGCTAAGACTACAAAGCTGCTCCACAGGTGTGAGTGGGAGCCCCTCTTAGCACCACTGACAAAGCGTTAAGTTACCAAACCTAAAAGGAACAAGACACAGACTTGAAGGAGGAGGGATACTCAGGAGAGCCTCTCCTCCCCCTTCCTTGTCTAACTGCTGCCTGTTGAATCTTACCCTTTCTAGGTCACCAACCAGCCCAAGAAACAAGGGGGACACTTTGAATATATGATCAATAGTTAAATCCCGGGATCCTGGACCAGCGCACCTTGCACCTCCAGCAAATCCCTTGCAATTTACAGAACAACAAGCCAGCTCTCCAGACCTCTGCTTCTCCCTGAGAACAAGGCAAGTTCCTGGCTTTACTAACTCTGGTCTTCCAACAAGGTGGAACCCAAAGCCACCTAGATGCACAGGAATTCCTCAATCCTGAGAATGGCAAACACACACAAACCTCACTGGTCCAATTATGAAACTTTATTAAGAGTATACAGTGGTGCCTCAGTTTTGAAACAGATTAGTTTCCAAACAACTTGGAAATCGAACGCCGCAAACTCGGAAGTCAGTGTTCCGGTTTGCCAGCTTTGCTCCGGAAGCCAAACGTGCTCCTGAGCTTCCGTTTGTACTGATGCGCTGCTAATTTGCGTCCCCCCCGCATTGTAATTGGAGCCTTCTGTTTCCGTTCTGAGGTGATATTTGGTGCTTTTGTTTTTGCTGTTTTCTTCGTTTTCGTTTTTGTGACTGTGGCTTGCTCTTCTTTTTATGGGACTCTGACTTGCAACTTGTTTTTGTGACTAGAACCCAGTTTAGCTACTGACTGATTGTGTGACTGTGGAAATGGATAAAAGCCCCCCATCCAAACAATAACTCTCATCAGTGCAGGTAAGAAAAAAATTAATTTTAATTTTTATCATCTACAATACTGTTTTATTTATTTTATAGTACAGTACATTGATTATTGTTTTCATTTTATGGATCAATGGTCTTGTTTGATAGCAAAATTAATGTTAAATTGCTGTTTTAGGGGCTGTTTTAAAAAGTCTGGAACGGATTAATCCATTATGCATTACTTTTGATGGGAAAATGCGCCTCAGTTTTGGAACGCTTTGGTTTTAGAACGGACTTCCGGAACGGATTAAGTTTGGGAACCAAGGTACCACTGTATTAGAAATACAAGGAATTTTGGGGCTGGCCTAATTGGCCAGTGGTTTATAGCCAGGTGGGTGGGGCACAGGGAAATGTCTTGCAAAGGCAGGTGGCAGCGTCTAGGATGCGGCTTGTTTTAATAACGTGTAGCCTAAGGCTGGATTTGAAAGAAGGTCCTGCTGCTCCTCGCACTTTCTTGGAAAAAGTCCTTCAGGCTTTTGTATTCCAAAATCCTGCCACATCTGTCTAAGGAGAGGACTATATGTGGGGTGGTTGAGAAATTCTCCTTGGATTTCTAATTTGAACTTCCTCAAACAATATGTGAACTGAAATGCATCCTTCTTTCAGAATCCACACTTCTCCAAATTTTGTGGTGCGTTTCCCAACCGACTATTAAGGGAGTGTAAGACAAATGCTGATATTAGTGAAAATGACACACAAAAACACATTATGCGTCTTGCAAGACAGAGCGTTGCATGCATGACAGCTGAAGAGAAGTCATGGGCGTGTGCCAAGTGCAATGAGCTCTTGGTCCTCCAGGTACAAGTTTCTTCAGCTGGATAAATTGAGAAGGGTGGACAGATTTGAGGATGAGGCCCCAAGGACGTGGTAGCGACATGCCACTCCCAGGATGACAGCTCCTCTGCCGTCACAGAGATGTAGGTTCTCAGGAAAGGGAGGGAATGATTCCTCAGAAGGCTCCCATGCTGAGCATATGGATTTGTGACAGGCCAGCACCCAGGCCTGCAGCCACAGCACATTAGGGATAAGGCACGGTGTGGTCCTGGAAGCAAAATTTAGGTTGCTAGGTAGAACATTGGAATACGGTGCCTCCAAGGTATTTTGCATGTACGGCCAGCAGGACAAACAGAGTTAAGGGATATTCATGTACCTTGGTTCTCAAACGCCTTGGTACTCAAACAACTTGGAACCCAAACACTGCAAACCAGGAAGTAAGTGTTCCAGGGTGCGAACTTTTATTGGAAGCCAAACATACTCAGTTTTGAGTGTTACGCTTCCGTTTTGAGTGTTACACTGAGGTCTGTCTGTTTTTGCATTTTTGTAACTCTTTTTGTTTTGTTTTTGTGACTGTGTGGAACCTAGTTCAGCTGATTGATTGATTGACTGCAGTACATTGATTATTGTTTTCATTTTATGGATCAGTGGTCTTGTTAGATAGCAAAATTCATGTTAAATTGCTGTTTTAGGGGTTTTTAAAAATCTGGAACGGATTAATCCATTTTGCATTACTTTCTATGGGAAAACGCGCCTTGGTTTTGGAATGCTTTGGTTTTGGAACGGACTTCCGGAACGGATTAAGTTTGAGAACCAAGGTACCACTGTATGGATGATACAGTGGAGGAGGGAGGAGGTATCCTGGGTTCCTCTGTGCTGAGAAACATTTGGGGGCAAACCAGGATGTACAAAAGGGGATGATTCTACTTGAAATTGAAGTTAAAATCAAACTGGAAGTTAATATCAAAAATGTGGAAGAGCAGCTTTTAAGCTGACCCCTAGAAGAAAGCCGCCAGGGGCTAGTTCAGGAGGAATCCTACATCCTAAAGGCAAAGCACACTTGACCATCCAAGCAGGGATAGGGTAGGACTAGGCGCAATGAACGTGCAGCGGGAACCAGCTGCCTCTCTAAGAAGCTCTGGAAAGATCATGGGGGCTGTCACTTCCTACATCAAAGAGGACACAGAATCAAACAAACTAGACATCTCAGAAGAGGCAGACTCCCCCTTGGATCATTCTGAGGGGCAAAACAGAATGCTAAGCTGGAGAGACCCTCAGTTTGATCAATTTTATCACATATAACGTCAGGTGAATATCTCAACTTGAAGGTGTTAAACATTCTTAAGCAACACCTGAGAGTCGATCCTACTCCAATGTGAAACAGAGGCAGGCTGAATAATGAAGACATGCTGTTGCCCAAGAACAAAACAGAGAGACCAGATGGCGCTGTAAGCCTTCACTGCAAACAATAAAATCCAAAAATCTATGTGCCTTTGTTTTACAACTTCTTTCCAGATTGCTCACTTCCACCTTTGGCAACACACAGAACATTCCACATCCCTCCATAACCTCAGTGGGGCAACAGATGACAAGGTACTCTTGTGGACATTTCCACAGGAACAGACAACTATTACATACTGTTTTCTCTTGATGCCACAAAAACTCAGAGAGTTTTGTAGGTTGATTAAACTGAAGGACAGCAACATTCCTGAAATTCCACCAACTAGCTAACTTCATAAGCCTGGGTTCCCCACAGACATGGCCCTATTTCTAGTCACTGAGACACAACTGTTCACTCTTCCATGACTTCTATATGGAGAAACAGGAAGACTGTACAACTTGGAAGAAGTGAGGGAAGGTGGGCACACCCTACCTGACCCCCATTTCCAATTCTGGCGTTTCCAGCTCACTGTCCAAACAGAAAAAATGATGCAGATTCCCTGCCACACAAGGATACAAGCTTGGCAACCATCACTCAAACTGACCACATGTCTGTACAGGAGATCTAGATTTAAGAATGGCCATCCCATTGGCTCAAGAGCCAGAGCAAACATTTTAAAGTCATACCTCTGTGGTTGGGCTAAGGCTGCTTGGCAGTGTTTCAGAAGTCACTGTTGTGCTTGGAAGGCTGGAGAAGTCCCATGTATTCACAGGCTGTACAAATTCAATCTGCTTTGAGCGATCAACACTTTTGGGATTGTCAAGTAAAGTCACTTCATAAAATTCTTGAATATCTGGAGAGTGAGAAAATATGGCTCAGCCCTTGAATTTCAGAAGAGATACTGTATACAGTTGTTGCTTTCTACTTGATCTTCCTTCCACCTTCAATTTATAATCAGATCTCCATCAGAATAAGGGAGCATCTTGGGAGCAAAAACACCAGCGCCACATGGCACACACACAAAGAGACATGCTAACTGTCAGTGGAAGAACTTACAAAGCCTGTAAAGAAAGCACAACTTTAGGATATACAGCCAATTATACAAGATGGGGGGGGCAGTAAACTCTTAGAATGAGAAAACCTTTCCAGGCTTTCTAGCATCTACCTGAGAGTTCCCATGGAAAAGAAATGTGAAATTGCTAAGCTTCTAACAGAAAAATTTAACTGAGATTAGCCTCCACACCTGAGGACTGGAAAGCAGCCAGTGTAACACGAATGACTGAAAACATAAGATAGGGGACACCTGGCTTATGAGTTGTGCATGTGAAAAGGATTTAGGGGTAGACCACAAGCGTAACGTGAGTCAACAGTGTGATACAACAGCAAAAAATGTTAACGTTATTCTAAGCTGCATCAACAGAAGTTGAGTGTCCAGATCAAGAGAAGTAATAGTCCCACTCTATTCCACCTTGGTCAGACCCCACCTGGAGTCCAGTGTCCAGTTCTGGGCACCACAATTTAAGAAGGATGCTGACAAGCTGGAATGTGTGCAGAGGAGGGCAACCAAGATGACCAAGGGTCTGGAAACCAAGCTTTATAGGGAGCAGTTGAAGGAGCTGGGTGTGTTTGGCCTGGAAAAGAGGAGACTGAGAGGAAATATTTCAAGGGCTGTCATATGGAGGAGGGAACAAGATGGTTTTCTCTTGCTCTTGAGTGCAGGACTTAAACCAATGGTTTCAAGTTACAAGAAAGGAGATTCCAACTAAACATCAGGAAGAGCTTTCTGACAGTTAACATTAATATTAATAATTATTTTATTATTATTTGTATGCCGCGCATCTGACTTGGTTGCCCCAGCCACTCTGGGCAGCTCCCAACGGAATATTAAAAACACGATAAAACATCAAACATTAAAACTTCCCTAAACAGGGTCAGATAGTTGTTTATTTCCTTGACATCTGATGGGAGGGCGTTCCACAGAGCGGGTGCTCTTTGACAATGGAAAGAAGTTGTGGACTCACCTTCCTTGGAGGTTTTTAAGCTGAGGTTGGGTGGCCAACTGTCATGGATGTTTTAGCTGAGATTCCTGCATTGCAGGGGGTGGGACTAGATGACTCTGGGGGTCCCTTCCAACTCTACAATTCTATGATTCTATTCTAGGAAGCGGAAGCAACAGGCTTCTGCAAGGAAAAAGTCTGTCTCACAAACTATGCTCTCCAAGAGCATCAACAGGCAGGCAGGCAGGCAGAGGTGATCTGACTGACATTGTGTACTTTGACTTTTAATTTTTTTTGACAAGATACTTCTTCAAAGACCTTTGAGTAAACTTAGCAATCATGGATTAAGAGGAGAGCCCCTTTGTGGATTAGGAGTTGGCTAAATGGTAGTGAAAGTTTTCCAACTGGAGATACAGAAACTGTGCCTTTTAAACTTGCTCATAAATGATCTAGAGTTAGGGGCAAGCAGAGGAGTAGCCAAGTTTGTCTAGACACAGAAACTTGCCCAACGGAGTGAATGTGCTGCAAAAGAAGTCGGGCAGCAAATGCCATTCCGTTTCAGCGCAGAAAAGGCTCTCGGTGTCCCGGCGGGTCCAGGCGCCGCCTTCCCTCCCCGGCTGCCCCGATACTCGCCTAGGAGAGCCTGGAAGAGGCTGCTCTGGAAGATGCCGATGACTCTCTCCACGGAGCTCCGCAGCTGCCTCTCGTCCGCCCGGCTCAGCTTGGCGCGGTAGTCCTCCAGGAGGCGCAGGGCGCGCTGCGTGTCTGCAAAAGGGGCACCGTCGCTGCACGGGGGCTCCTCCGCCGCCGCCCCCCCCGGCCCTCCCCGGGCCGACCGCGCTCTGCACGCGCTCAGAGGCTCCCGAGCGGCGCCGCCCCCCCTCCTCCTCCTCCAGGGCCGGGCCCCCCCGCCGCCCTCCCGCCTCCGCCGAGGAAAACTTTCCCGGAGGCGCGCGCTCCCGCCCCTCTTCCCTCCGGCGCCTCACCTTGCTTGCGGACGGGCATGGCGGGGCGCGGGAGAGCGGCGGGGGGGGGGGCCCGCCTTCGCCTCGCCCTCCGCGCCGGCCCTTCGCCCCGCTGAGGGGGCTCCTCTGCCCGCCCGACTCCGCTCCCGCCCGACTCCGCTCCCGCCCGACTCCCGCTCGCCCCGCCGCCGCCGCCGCCGCCCGGGCCTCCGCCGCCTTCGCCTTCGCCTTCGCCGCCTCCGCGCTCCCTCCGGGGGGGCCGCTCCGAAATTCCAAACTTTCCAGGCAAGATGGCGTCGCGGGCCAGGCCGGCGGAGGCGGAGGGCGGGGCAGACACGCCCCCCGCGCCCGCCCGCCAATCCGCGCCGCCGCCCGCTACCTACGGGGCGGGGCGGGACAGGTGAGAGGCGGCCGCCGGAGCCCCGCCCACCGGGCAGCCCGCTGAGGAGAAGGAGGAGGAGGAGCGCGCCCGAGAGAGGGCTGCCCAAGGCGCTAGTCCTCAGCGGGCCGAGGCCGGAACCCCGCCGAGGCAGCCAGCCCTCCGGGTGTTTGGGAAGCCTCTGGGCCGCCGCCATCCCTTTTCGCGGCGCCCCAGGAGCAGCTGGAGGTCCGTTGTCCCGCCGAAGCTGCTGAGAGGGAAGGGTCCCTCCCTTTCCACAGTCCCCGCTTGTCCCCTCCGCCCGACGCCTCGAAGGCCCCGGGGCTCGGAGCTGGAGCCGGGACTGGGAAAGGCCCGTCTCCGCCCGTGCTCAGCTCAGCCCTGGGCTCCCTCCGCAGTCTGCTGCTGCCCCTCACACTCCCCAGCAGCGCCGGGTCCCGGCCGGGCCCGAGGATCACCCACATTGGGCTCCCGGGGGGTGAAGGGCCGTGAGACGGGAGGGAGGGGTTGCTGCCAGGCTGGGCCATCTCTGCCCAAAGGGAGAGGCAAAGGGGTCTTCAGGTGGCCAGAAACCGGCCAGAGGTCCAGCCCTGGTGCAGTTGCTTCCCACTGTTTGGGGTGGGGAGGGGCATTTGGACCCCAAAGCATGGAAATCTTGCAGCCTACCAAATGCATACTCTGGGCTCCAGAATCTGGATCCTGCTGCTGCATTTCAGGAAAAAGAGAGAGAGAGCGCGCGCCTCTCCTTCAGGGGAGATAACATCTCTTGGCACAGCCTTCTTCCTCACTTCAGGGCAAGGGCCATTGTTTGCTCTCTCCACAGAGGGCTTAATGTGCCTTGGGAGAGATGCCCTTGATGGCTGGGGCATCTGGAGGCTGGCCAGACCGTTGGATGGGCTGCCATGAAGGCCCCCACAAGGCTTGGGCTGCTGGGCAGGGAGCCAGTCCACAACAATATCAAGGTGAGGTTCAAAATAAAAAATATAATGCGTTAATAGAAGTGCAGTGCACTGAGCAAATGCGGGGGGGAGGGGCTTGAATTAAATTTAACAGGTGTTGGATCAGCCAGTGTCAACCCCAGGACTGGAGGGAAGGAGGAAGGATGGCGGAGGTCTTGGGGGATCCAGAAACAGGAATGGCCTCTGGCTTCTGCTTCCTGAGCCAGCCCAATTTTGCCAGAGGGTCGGTGGACCACTGGATGTGATCACATATGCTGCCCCCGCCTCCTCCCCATGCAAAGGCAAAAATCCAGCTTTGCCTGTAAGGGCTCACAGAGGAGAGGTTTCTGTGGGAGTGAGTGCGGGGAATAGCTGCTCCTGTAGTCGGCTGGTGGGGATGGAAGGGCTACGGCTTGGGGTGGGGCACCTGCTTGGCATGCAGAAGATCCCTGGCCCATTCCCTGTGGCATCCCAGGTGGGCAAGGAGAAGCTCCTGTCCTGGAGAGCTGCTTCCAGCCAGGGCAGGTGATGCTGAGCTCAAAGGCTCAGTGACCTGGAGCTTCCAGAATGTTTCCAGGTTCCCAGGGAAGGAGGCAGCCCCGCCTGGGGCAACTGACATGCGGCAGTGTCCAAAGGAAGATCTTCCTCTCGTTCTTCTGCTTGGAGGCCAACGCTGAGCTGCCTCTGGATGAGGCTGAAGTTGGGTCTGGCCGGGGAGGTGGCTGAGCTGATCATGAGCAAACCTTTCCACAGCCACATTTGGGCAATGACGTTTGAGATGTTTATTTCTCATGATTGCAAAGGAAAATTCTTCTGAACAGCCAAGCTTATTCTGTGGCTAAGAAGCTTTGGCCTTTGTGGAGCCAGCCCCACTGGAAAGTGTCGTGGGGCAGAGAGATCACATAGCAAAGTTCCCAGGCTCCACGCTGGAGGACTTGGGCTCAGACTGGCTAAGCCTGGCATTGGCCCTTTGCAGGTGGAGTTTTGCCAGCAAAATGGACCCAGTAAAAATTTGCAAAGGGATATCCCTCAGTGTTTGCCCGCAAAGCAGTTCTGTGGGATGGACCAGCCACTCTCTGTCCCTTTTTACTGATGGGGAGGGAGGGCCACGCAGAGGAGCCTGCTCCTCCAGAATCAGGCCCCCTGGAAGGGTGCAAAATGTCTGAGCCACAGGGGCAGCCTTGCTGAGGGGAGGGAAAGAGGGAGCAAAAACCAGAGATTGGCTATCCTTGCACTTACCAGGAGACTTTCCAGGAAAATGTTCAGGGCCGTTATTACGGAAAAAATAGACATGGAAAAGCAACACGCACCAGGGAGGACTGAAATCAGTGAAATGCCCCTCCAGTGCCAGGACAAGGATGCCTGCTTGAATTCCTGCATTGCAGCGGGATGGACTAGATGACCCATGGGGTCCCTTGCAGTTCTGTGATTCTGTATCCCCTTCTGGGGTCCTCCTGGCCACCTGTCTGTGGAGCCCCCTTCCTTCTTTGCTTGCACACAGCTTCTCCCTCAGAAATTAAGCAAGGTCCCTCCTCTTTGGGCATTTACTCTGACTTGTTTGCATGGAGGTTAGACATCTTCTCCCCAACGGATTGTTTTCCCACACTTTCTAGCACACTTCACTATGAAGAAGAAGAAGAAGAGTTTGGATTTGATATCCCGCCTTTCACTCCCTTTAAGGAGTCTCAAAGCGGCTAACATTCTCCTTTCCCTTCCTCCCCCACAACAAACACTCTGTGAGGTGAGTGGGGCTGAGAGACTTCAGAGAAGTGTGACTGGCCCAAGGTCACCCAGCAGCTGCATGTGGAGGAGCGGAGACTCGAACCCGGTTCCCCAGATTACGAGTCCACCACTCTCAATCACGACACCACACTGGCTCTCTATCACTTTCTGAACTTCAAAAAGTCTTTGTTTTTGTTTTTTAAGGGGATTTGTTCTGACTGAGTACTGTCACCCACTCCCATTGCACAGACCTAAATTTCCAGCATGAGACAGAATCCTTCCTGCAAAATGCTGGAGGTGACCATGATTCTATGACCATGGACTGAAAAAGTTTTAGCAAACCTCAAAAGGTATTTGCCTTCCAGCCACTGGAATTCCAGCCAATGAGCAGGTTGGGCAAGGCAAGGCAAGGTAGGCTGTGACTTGTCGGCATCCATCCCAAAGCAAGGAGGGAGCCATCACCGGAAGGGCCCTGTCCAGTCACACAGGTCACCCATATTCTCTGCAGCTCATAGAGCTGTCTCCATCTGTTCAAGGTCAAGTCAAGTAAAAGCACACAATATTTAATTTTCAGTGGGAATAACAAACACTCTTCACTTTCCAACAGAGATGTTACACCTGCTTTTTCTTCAGAATAGAAGAGCATTCTAGAAGCACAAATATCCTGATGTGTAGTTTCCTGCAGAATTCTTTCTCAGCAGCGGCTCATTCCCTTCCAGTGTGGCTGTTGGACTCTGTCCCTTCAGCACTGCCAGCCGCACCTCAGTTTTGGGCTGGGCAGAAGGCGCCCTTTGTGGCCGGCCAGAGGAGTTGAGAGAGCCTGAAGCCCTCACCCTCCTCCCTAACCACTACTCATGCTGGCTGCCTGGGCTGATGATGGGAGCTGCCATCCCATAATACCAAGGTTTGTGGCCCCTTCTATTTGTGCTGGGCGAGGAGACTTCCGGGTCAGCGCCATCGGTGAATGGCGGAGTTCCTCCGTCCGGAGGAACGGGCTCCATGGAAACTGGGTCTTCCCACCGCGGCGAAGGTGGGGACCCACTAGAAATCCCAGGCGGAGGAAGCCTGGGAACGTGGGGTTTGGCAGGGCACCAGGAGCGCCCCCCTACTCGCAGGGAATCCCATCCAGGGGCTCCGGAGCGAAGTGGGGTGAGAAGTGCGGTGCTGCGAACTGACTGCTACTTTCACGGAGTGAAGCCACATAGCCATTGCCGGAGAGCGCTGACTTTTTCCTGTGGACAATTGGATTTAAAACAAGTACCCGTGAGTAGAAACGGAAAATTGGATCAAGAAATTTCTTAATTTGGTAACGAAGCGGGTGTTGGGATACTGCCAGGGAGATAAAGTCCATCAAGGCCCCCAAGCCGTCTGCCGGACGATCCATCTCAGTCTCCCGTAGGCACGCAGCGACATGAGTTTCTAGAAAATATCTTGTACACATTCCAGACTCATGCACGCTCTATCAGCAGATAATGCACAGCCAAAAGTTGCAGTCAGGAGAGCATTATTTACAAGTTTATTCAGCGTTGATCAGAACACAGAAAAACGTGACTGCCTGCTTTAGTGTCTGCGACACCGAGAGAAAACGAAAGCAACAGAAAACATAAACATCCTGTGAACAGGAAATACGCAGACTCTGTGACTCACAGCCTGCTCCCTTTTAAGGTGGAACGGTAATATCCTAACATCCTCCCCTTTCCGTGTAACCTGTAGTACCTGTGGTTCAACCCAATTGCAACCTTTGTACGTAAACCTTAAGTTGTTCTCTGTTAACAACCTTAGACAACAGATCAGCAGGAATTTCATTTCCTGGCATGTAGGACACCTGAATGAGTCCTTTCTGAATACACTCTCTTGCACGATGTAGCTTAATCTGCAAGTACTTGGTCCTTTGCTTGCAACTCTCCGAGTTCAGCAAAGCCAAACACGATCTATTGTCTTGATACACTTGTACAGGACATTTCACAGAAACTCTGATGTCCTTAAACAGTTGCATCAACCATTCACAATCCATGAGTGAAAATGACAGAGCATTGAGTTCTGCTTCACAGGAACTTAGGCTCACTGTCGTCTGCTTTTTGCACAACCAGTCAAACAGGCAGTGGTTGTACATGTAGCA